GCAAACGCCATTCCTTCTCCTTCAGTGTCAAGAAGCGGTACACTGTGCCGTTCATGGCTGTCCCGTAGATCACTTGGGAGCCGGTAGGCATAGTGGAGTGCCAGGTGCCTGTACTGAGCCTCGTTACAGACGTAGAAAGATGTGCTTCGCACAATGCTACGGGCATCATCTTATCGTTCTCGGTTACTCTTCTCTCAGTTAATAGACTGATCCGGCCACCTCTGCTGGAGGCAAGTGTGAGTTGCATATCTCCTCCAAGATGGACATGAGAGAGCCCGTCATGTTTCTGCCGATCATAAGCATGGAGCACCAGTTTTTCCTCAGATGCATCGAGGATCATAAGAGATTCCCTCGAAGTCGACATGTATAAGTAGGGCTCATGGGAGCTCATAGAAACCGCTGGACACGGTACAGGGTACCTTGCTGTCCGAAGCCACCTCGTCTGTGAAAATTTGGGTTCTAATGGTACGATCTCATGCCCGGTTGAAACCATTAGAGTAAAGTTACCATATGGTGCGATCGAATAAACCGGTCCCTCAAATTTGTGAACATATTTCACATTACATTCGATTTGCGAAGGATCTGATGACATCCTTGACGTCTGTAGAAAAATGACCCGACCTCGGTCCTGCTGGTTTTTACGGGCCGTACCGATAACAATGAAGTGGTATTCCTCATCACCTTTCTTGGGTGTCCACTCCAGTATACAACTGATTTTCTCTCCAGCTGCTCCATGAGGCCTCCAGGGCCTGGGTTCATCCCCAGGACCGCCGATGGCTTGCTGTGAATCGGGATCGACGAACTCAATGTAAGATCGCGTGAAGCGCTTGATAGGATCCGCGTCGGTGTCGAATTCAGTTCGGCTGTATGCCACAACCAAGCTCTTCAGGTACTGAGAATATGCTAACTTAGTGGCGCTGCCTGGCACACCCATTCTCCTGGGAACAGTCTTCTCAACTCGCTGCAAAGTGCAAACCATAAGTTGTCCGTCTGCGATACAGAAAAGCGTATCAGAGAGACCTTCCACGTCCGAGTTCGCAAAGTTGGCGACCGAAAAGCTGTGGATACTTCTTGGGTGGTAGGCAGGCTGAGACCATTAGCTGCTGCCCCTGGGAACATATGGGAATACTGAGACTTACATTATTCTGGTCCGTGATCCAAATCCTCTGAAGAGTACAGTCCGGCATCACACTGTCATGTGCACACGATATTTGCCAAAATCCTGGCCCACAAGTCAATAACGCAATGTCTCCTCTGCTCTGCACTTTAAGAGAAGTATGCCCTAATCTTTGCGGGGTCGCCTGGGTCATCACTAATACACACCATAGGTCAGCAAGACTTGAGTCCTCAAATATGAGGTAGACATACCAATAGAAGACACAGCGTTAACACTGTCGAACGTCACACCAAATGAGACCAGGATGCCGCTTCGTAGGCCGCAGAGTAAGACAAACTTCTTCAACGGCCCGTTCTCTACTTTGTTGATAATTGCAAGGCTATCAATTGCCTTAGATATGTCCCCATTATACGCTACGTCCATGGTTTTCTCGGACACGAACGTGATAGATTCATTCTCTATGGTATAGAGAAATATCTTCCCATTGCCCGCGCCCACGCAAATGAGAGACCCAAAGTCAAAAGTTATGACAGAGATGCAGACCGGCTCGAAATGCATCCTTAACGGCTCACCCACATCGGTTAAAGCAACTTGGTCGCTAGATGGGGTTAGTCTTTTGGCATGAAGGTGCAGTCCACCTTGGTCGCGAACTATGGCGACAATAAGAGATGCAGACCCATTTACGGCAGCAACAGTGATACTCTGGTCATAACCATACTCAAAACGAGAGCTCTGCATTGACCCAGAGTTTGCTCCGAGATGAATGGCCCTTTCCGTAACCTGAATGATAACGCCTGAGTCTGTGCTTCCTGCCGCCAATGTCTGGGTCCCACAGTCCAGGCCGGAATCCGCCTCGTCAATAGCACATATCTCTCTTCGAAATCAGCCGGTAGGTCCAGGAGGACCGAAGACATAGGATCGGATGTTAAAACGATAACACCGCCACTTGTGCCAGTCGGCATTGTCCATATGTCTCTTGTTCCCGACAGTCCCTCCAAAGAGACAACCAACCCTATTTGCGCCTCGATCCCGTGGCGAAGTTCAACGATTGCACCCTGTGCGAAGGACGAAGTGGAGCAAACGAACAGTCGATCGCTAGCGACATCTCCAGACAAGGGCAACTGCTGATTAGGCGACTTCACAATTACAGAGTCCGTGACAGGAGACCAGTTCATAAATCTTTGGACACATCTAGGATGATCTCGAGCCTTTTGGACGAATAGACCACCATCTCCTGTGTTGCCAGCGGCGAGGAGTAGATCACCTCCCTCGTTACCAAAGTGTAGAATATCGAATGCAGCATCGACGTCGCAACAAAGTTGCCCTAGATGCGCTTGATTTTCGACTTCACCTTCGTTGCCGATCCCTAAGTAAGAGATTTGACCGTCCTCACGGCAAAGGTAGATGTCATCGTGCTTTTGGTTGTATAGCCAATTGCGCAATGGTCTTGCCCACCGAGTCCACAATGGGGACTTTCGAGACTCTCGATCAGGGAGGCCAAGCGGATACCTGCTAGGCTGTCTCCGGGGATCTAGCCTGTTCTTATATACAGCCATTGTACTCGTTGTAACAAGCATGAAAGAGGACGTTTTGGTCAAGGGGATGAGCATTGTAGGTAATCTGTCCTCAAAAGGCAGTAGTCTCTTGGTGACTATTGGAGAAGCTTGGCGCAGATGTTCGTTCGCATCCCACTCATAACATATCGCATGAGTAATCTGATCCTGGGCGACTAAAAGGAGGAGGAGAATCTTGCCGTCATCTTCTGGTCTTGGATATAGAAACTCCATGAATATGATGTCACCATCGACACGAAAGAAGCGTTCCTATGCCGCAGCTTAGTAGATGCAGGTGAAATTTACAACTGTGCACATACCTCTGATATGGGGTCTAGCTGCTGATCTGCCATCTGTGACTGGAGAACTGGTGGCTGCTTCAAAGTAAAGACACCAAAATAATCAGAAGATGCACTAACAGCTACAGCACGCGATCTGGTAAACCTGTTAGTCATGCCCAAGTAAGTCCAAAGAGATCACTACCTTGGCTCCACTGCAATATTTCGACCGAACCGCTCGAATGTGCTGACATCACTTGGTAAAGGCCGATGGTGGTGGACGAATTGATCACTCGAAGTCGAATAATAAAGGAAAACTAGTTCTCTTGACGCGAGACTTAGCAGCAATATCTGGGGAGGCAACCCTATCTGTGGCGGTGAATTGACAGGCGCAGAGCTTGCCCCCAATTTCATCTGTGCCTCCCAAGGTAACTCTGTGCCCACGTTGATGACTTTTGCTGCTATGATATTGGAATCAAAGTCCGACTTTGAAGTGACGTCCTCCAAATGGAAGCCGGACACGGCTTCCTTGATTTGCAAACTTCGCTCGCCGATAAAAACAACATCATTTTGATGCTCACTTCTCAGGCGCGCAGGTAGTATCCACTGGATGATTGGACTTGGTATCAGTGTGCGAGACAAAAGGCCCATTTTCGGGTGGGAGTCAGAAGAGGATAAGTCATCTTCTATCTCCATCTCATCAGCACCGTGGCGCTTTAGGGAGGCATTTATAGAATTGGGATTAGTGTCCTGGTAGTGTCTTGGGAAAGACATAGCGATCCAGTGAAGAGTTTGCAGTTTCCTGAAGAAGGGGTACCGTGGCGAATAGAATATTATTGGAAGCAATAGAATCAATGCAAGAAAGGTGAGTAAAGCTCTTCGAGGGAAGACCCGTTAGGTTTTATTTAGCCAGGGTTTCGCTTGGACCTTAGCAGATAACAGGATGCTCACGCAACGGCACAATTTGTCCAAGGAAAAAGAAGAACAGACTTGGTGATGAATAGAAAAGTGTTAGGGTCAAAAAAGAAGTTCTTCATGTAACATGGTTGAAGCTGTATAAGGACAATATCTCATTTTGTGTGCCCCGAGCGGAAAAAAACCCAGAATGTAATTGACCACGAACTGCTCCTCGTCGCAGAGGATCGAGGCAGCAAGTACTTGGCAACAGATGAATTTCTAACTGAGGGGCAATGTACCTGTTTGCCAGGCTTAGAATGTCCTCCTCGGAAGACGAGTGGGCCTGAGGACTTACTACAGCATATAGATCGCCCTACAAGGGTGTTCCGTACCAATCGCATGCATTCAATAGGCCAGGACCATCCCCCCTTTGAGCATCCAAGCTTGAGCGGAACAAACAAAGGAACTATGTGGGAATTGCGAATCCAACCGCCAAGAAACGCATGGATCCGTCTCAAGCTGCGGCCAAGTTCAACGGCAACTCTTGCACCACCTTTGGGGCACTGGAATGCACAGTGTTGGCCTCTTAGCACAGAATCGGGGACATTAAGTCATGGCAGCATTGTTTGAGAGGAACAGGGTATCTCCAGAGGCTGACAACAACTGCATGTCCTAGAGGGGCTGATGATCGATTGACACCTTGTTTGCTGTCTTTGGGGGCGGTCGGCGGATCGGATAAAACCCGATGAACAGCAAATCACGGGACATAGCAGCTTCTAGCCTGAGGCCTGCAGCAATGTGTCCGCTTTAGACTCAGCTTGCATCTACTCCATAGCTCCTTCCTGTGTCCAATTGTCCATTCGGTATGCAAATCGCCCGCGCTAAAATGTCAATCTTCTCCTGATGCCCGCTGTCAACTATCAACGCAATCCCGCATCGGTCTGACTTGGCATGTAGCTCGTGGGGCCCTTGCCAGCTGGTAATTATAATAATAGCAATACATCTTATTATCCATGGTCAGCCTAGCAGACGGGGTACTGATAAATCCTAATTCGCAATTCGACTGCCGTCTTTATTTGCTACCCCCTATGAGTTTCCATTAATACGGACAAACATTGGAAGGAATCATTTCTTTTTTACCAATTCCCGCCAAAGATGGACCATCGTTCTGAATTCAAAGATAAACCTGAGAGTGAAGGCTCAGAGACATGTTTTCAAACAGCACAGGATTCCGTATCTGAAAGTGCATCTCAAGTTTTGGAGAGAATTCAAAATGAGGAAGTTGCAGCTCGCATAGCAGAGAAGGAAGATAAGATTCGCCGGGCATGCGAGATGCGCGATTTGGATGCGCTGGTCTCATATGCCACTTCAGAAGGTGGTTTTCTTCGCGATGACATTAGACGACTGGCTTGTAAGTCACCAAGACGAATGGCCGTCACACTTTGATAACTAAGGAATAGGGCCTATTCTTCTCCAGAGCGACCGAGATCATGAGCTTGGGGACTGGGAAGACCTACCGCCACATGTAGATGAAGACCAAGTCCAGCTCGACGTGAACAGGTCGTTTGTCTATTATCCTAATTGTAGGTGTCCTTTCATCCCAGGCTTCTACATACACTAATCCTTCTAATATAGGCAGTGACGAAGAGCTAGCTTCAAAGAAAGATGAGCTGTCATATCTAATCAAAAAAGTGCTACGGCACTACCCAATGCTCTGTTATTTCCAAGGCTATCATGATATCGTGCAAGTTTTACTCCTGGTACTTGGCGGGCGGACAGCGGCCTCAGCGGTTACGCGGCTCTCCCTCTTCCGAATAAGAGACTACATGCTGCCCTCTCTTTCCCCAACTGTGAAACACCTACAGCTCATCCCAGCAATCATGGAAAGAGCTGATCCTATCCTGCGACGCCATCTTGCGGACATCAAGCCATTCTTTGCGCTTGCAGCGACTCTTACATTGTATGCTCACGATATTCAAGAGTATAGTGACATCGCCCGATTATTTGACTTCCTGCTGGCTCGGGAACCAGTTGTTTCTATTTATCTTTTTGTTGCTATTATTCTTTCCCGTAAGAAGGAGCTGCTGGAAATCCCTGAAGATGAACCTGAGATGCTACACTTTACACTCTCTAAGCTACCCTGTCCTCTGGATCTTGAAAGTCTGATATCGAGTGCTGTGCAACTTTTCAATGACTACCCTCCAGAATCACTCCCACTTGGGGCTTGGAAGAAAATTCCGCAGATCAGTGTGCTGAAGAGTACTCGAGATATCTTCGAGAAACAAACAACTGAAGAAGCTATAGATCTTTTTGATAGACAAGCGCGACAACTGCGCTACGAAGAGCGGAAAAAGAAGGCGGTTGGTTTCTTGTGGAAGCACAGGAGAACCATTGGAACTGTGGCCGTCACGATTTTGGTCGGTGCTTTGTCAGTATGGATGAGGAAGAAGGGCTTGGACTCGACGATATGGTCGTATATTAATCGATTCAAGCTGGCTTTCCAGTCTCACGAGCTCTTCTAATCTTCCACTTGAAAATTTGTGGGGGGACGATTGGGTTAAAATGGAGTTTGTGTGTACAGTATCATATTATTATACTACTGTGAATCAATTATCTCAGTAGACAACTTACATAAAAAGAAATTGCCCTCATTTTAAAGGAAAGTGAGAAACTAGTAGAAAGAAAACCGTCGATACTGCGTACATTTATAGTAGAAACCGACTCCAGAGTAAGCAAAAACATACCTGCTACCCGCGGGTCCCACAAATTTGGTGGCTAGTGCGTGGCTGATTACGACCATGCCGACAACCGCTGATGTGTACTCTTCCACAACTCTTTACCTTCATACCAACATAGCTCTCTAGGCATATCGAACAGCCCAACATGGCGAACCGGGGCTATGATGTGATTGTAGATGCGGATACCGAGGTACGTTCTCATTATCTTGCTTGCTCGATTCGAGACGATCTAATACTGGCTCTAGGGCGACCTTGGCCATACCGACCTTCAGGAGGACCTTGAATTCCATCCCTCTAGTACGTTTGTTCACCTATGTGGAGGCCATCATGGACTTCGCCAAGAGGAATAACTAACACACGTCTTCTACAAGATTTCGAAAATGATCAGCGCAATGCCAAAGTGCAGCACGACTCGACACCTTTTCTCGGCGGAGGTTCCTCCCGCGGTCGTGACAGGTCACCTGGGGGCAGCCCTTCAAAGCATACCTGGTGGTCGATCCATTATTACGCGCAATTCTTCAATGTTGATACAAACGAGGTCCTAAGACGATGCGTCGCGGCAGTGTACCCGCGCAGTAACTTCCTCGATGTCCTGGAAGGCAACGCCGACCTGTACGGCCCATTTTGGATCGCCACAACCGTGGTCGTGATCCTCTTTTTAACCGGCACTATCTCGCAATGGCTCTCAAACAACGACGAGGAGCACTTCGCGTACGACTTTACGCTTCTCTCTGGGGCTGCGGGCTTGGTCTACGGATATACGTTCGTTCTACCAATTGCCCTTTGGGGTGCATTGCGCTGGTTCGGTAGCTCCACTGCGGACTTGATTGAGTGCTGGGCATTGTACGGATACTCGAATTTGATCTGGATTGCCGTTGCGCTGGTAAGCTGGAGCCCCCTGACTGCGCTCAATTGGGCGCTTGTTGGAGTTGGCTTTGGCTGGACCGTCTTCTTCCTGCTGCGTAACTTGTATCCTGTGCTAAGTGCTACGGACGCTAAAGCCAGCAAGATTCTACTGATTCTGGTTGTTGTGCTGCATGCAGGTTTCGCCATCGCGATCAAGATCCTGTTCTTTGCGTAAGTGTCCCCTCAATACCCCCCTTGGCACCCAGTTCCTTTGCTGATAAATCGCACTTGCAGGCATGGAAGCCCCGTTTCCAAGAAGAACAAGGACGAGAAGGAGAAGGATCATGATGACGAGAAGCATGACGATGACGACAAGCGACGCATGTTGGGCATGTAGGGGACCTGAGGCTCCTCCCAATTCCAATGTATCTTGAATCCGCTAGATGACTTGATGGAACTGCTCGGGCAGCAGAGCCATATTCCAAATTATGTATCGACATCTTGTTTTCATTTCTACGTTCGATGGTCTTTTATTGGCTTTTGTAAAACTGTACCTAACCCAACAAGGGATTATGAGCGAAATTGAATTTTTACAATTCTTTTGATTGCAACTTGATCCGAGAGGGAGTCAACTATTAACATTTGACTTTGGCTGTAATGTTTCATCATTCTAACGCCGTACAAAACCTCCCAGGCTGCAATCGACTCATAACCCCCAGCAAGTCTCCACCACAGCAACGTAGAAAAACCGTAACAAGATAGATAGGAATCGTTTATTTGAGCTTCTTCTTAGGGCGGAGCTGGTTGGTGTGACCGCACTTCTTCTTACGGCAGTTGGTGGCACGAGGGGGAAGACGGGCGTAGCACTTGCGGCAGATGTTCTTCTCGCAGTTGTACTTGGAAGCGAGGGCCTTAAGGGAAGGCTCGATGATACCACCACGGAGACGGAGGACGAGGTGGAGAGTGGACTCCTATAGATTTGATGCCCATCAGCCGACCTTCCTTTCATTGAACCATGCATATCCAAATTCCGAGCCTCAATTTCGTTTCCAGTATGATACCCGTGCGGTTCGATCTTTGCTACACCTCCCTCGCTAACAAAACCGCATCGCACGTTCTTCATATCCGATCACGAAAGGCCATCCAAATCAAGCACCTCGAGAGTGGGATCCTTCATACCTTCTGGATGTTGTAGTCGCTCAGGGTGCGGCCATCCTCAAGCTGCTTACCGGCGAAGATCAGACGCTGCTGGTCGGGGGGGATACCCTCCTTGTCCTGGATCTTGGCCTTGACGTTGTCGATGGTGTCGCTCGACTCAACGTCGAGGGTAATGGTCTTACCCGTGAGGGTCTTGACGAAACTATCATCGGAATCTTGTCAGCAACAGTTTCCCCGTCATCGTTCGTGCCATCTCTTTCGCAGCCGGTTCTGGGTCGCATCGGCGGGATTTAAAGGTTCAATCTGGTGCGGAGAACGAGGGAAACCTACATCTGCACTGTAGACGCGCGAAAAAAAGGAACAAATTAGCTCATGATCCCGAGATCAATATAACGACACCACTCAAACCACGGAATAACATACTGGTTGCGATTTTTCGTTGTTGCTGGCTGACGATCGCTGAAAGGTCCGGTTGGTCGGAAGAGGCGATGACACTCAATTTCACCATTTCTCGCTTAGCAAACAAGTGGCCCACGTGATGTCGAGCAATCGCACGTGACGTACCCTAAGCCCTAGCTCGCAGGTACGGATCTGTCCTGTTTCATCAATGATCCCCTAACATTCTGCCGCCGACACCCGACCTTTCCGTCTCCACAGTTTCCACTCCACCACTTGATATGGAGACTGGTTCAGCAACTTAGCATACCCTAAACTCTTCTAGGTTATTTTGGGAACCTAGTGCTCACTACAATCTGCATGTACAGCTGCTAGAGAGCATTGCAGGCCTTGTAACAGCTTTATGTCTTGAGCAGTGGATATCTACAACGTCTCATGTTCAAAATATCTCGATATGTGACAGATATTAGCTTGGCTATGATCTCTGCCTCCAGGAGACTTTTGAGGATGTACTCTGATCGTACCATATCATCCTCCTTTTCAAGAAAAGGAGAAATAATTGCCGGCAACCCTTCTGGGTAGGGGTTACCGAGTATCCACCATCCAGCTCTTTGCACCACTTCAGGAGCTCAATCATACAGGAATTACACCGCGACAAGGCTATATAGATATCATCATTGCCTGCCGATGGAGCAAGCACACACATATACTAGACTATCTTCAACAATGCCTTATCCTAAGCAAACAATAGCCCTAGTCTACGAACCCCGCGCCGTCTTTCACTCGCTGGATTATTCTGGACTGCAAAGGGCTAGAGGTGGGTGAAGCTGCAGACGAAGTGTCTGAAGCCCTAACCAAGTTTAGATATAATGTCGCGCATGTCCCAGGTAATCACGCCATCGTCAAGAGACTTGCTGCCAGAGACGGCGAATTCTGAGGCCTGGTTTTCAATATGGCGGAGGCTTGCACAGGACAGACAGAGAAGGGCAAATGCCTGCTTTATTAGAGGCTTATCGTGTTCCTTTAACATTTTCTGATGCGGCGACTATGGCATTATGCATGAATAAGGGGCAGACGGTGGTACTTTTCAAGAGCATGGGTGGTAGAGACGTTGGCAGCGCTTTACTAATAATAAATGATCCAAAACAAAAAAGATGGTCCTTCCGCATGCTGCATCATAGTGTCCCACCAACCCCATTCGTCGTACTGCACTTCGACGATGACGAGGAACTCACACATGAGAAGATTCAAGAGACAATAGATTAATTCCTAACACACCAAAAGCCTCTCAAAATATCCGCTGTTGCAAACCCATTTGCCGAGGGCTGTTCGAAGGGTATACAAGTTAGCAACAAGATTAGAAACGCAAGCGAGTTATATTCTGCTCTAACAATTGGCCACCTCAATGGTTTCTAAAACACTCGAAAGAACTTTTCGCCGGAGCAACTCAAGATCACCGAAGATGGATACAAAGCAGGAGTGACTTAAGTCTGTCTGTTTGGCCTGTGGGGAAGGCCTAGGCTTATCCAAGCGGGCGGTGCATGTCTCAGGCATCAAGGCCACTAGGGTTTCCAAAAGGTGGGGTGATGATGTTGGCACCTCGACTTCCACTGCAGGAGGGATGTACGCTTAATAGATTACGGATATATATAGAGTGTAGATCAGGATCCTATGGGGTGTGCCCTAGCGTCTCGTGGAACCACGAGACAGGGGAAAAAACGAGATAGAATGTACTACTAGCAGTAGATCATTGACGAATCCAATCTAAGACGAAGCCCTAAGTTCTGACGAGAGAAGTGTACTAAGTGCAGATGAAAGTAAGCAAAGAAGGACTAGTAGATGTACCCAACTATATAAACCCCGTCCTCTCCCCAGGACTGCCCCTTTATCTTTCCTTCCCCTCCCCCTGTACCTCACTACACAGGGAAACAAACCACTGCTTCCCTAATTCCCACTCACTTCACTCTTGTATTCATTCCCAGGCTCTGTCGTACCACTATCTTCTGCCTACTACGTTAGCCATGGCGTCTAGCAACAAAGTCTACGTCGTCACCGGTGGAAACAGAGGTCTTGGTCTTGGCCTGGTCAAGTCGCTCCTGGCGCGGCCAGCGACCACAGTCATTGCTTCTGTCCGCAATGAGGAGGCAGCCGCCAGTCTCAAAGCAGAGACCCAAACTGTCGCCGCAGGCGAGCAAAGCAACCTCTACATATTCCAGCTCGACTTCTCATCGGCTATTGCTCCCGAAAGGGTCATTGAGACTTTCAATGTAGCCGCTGGGGTTGACCACATTGACGTCCTCATCTGCAACGCCGGGTACGCAGCACCCATGGCGCCAGCCGCCTCGACTTCGGCTGAAGACTTGCGGGCATCCTTCGAAACAAACACAATTGCCCCCTTGCTCGTCTTCCAGGGACTGTGGCCATTGCTCCAAAAGTCCGCCGCCGCGCCCAAGCTCATCAACATTAGTTCTTCTGTCGGCTCCATCGGCGGCCAAGAACCCGCTCCAGGCGGCGCTTATGGACCCAGCCGTGCAGCAGGAAACTGGCTCACGCGCGCACTTCATGCCCAGCACCCGGATTTGATTGTCGTGGCGCTACACCCGGGATGGGTACAGACGCGGGCGGGAGACTTTGTCGCTCAGCAGTGGGGATACGTACCTGGCCCTCCTGAGACGATTGACAATAGCGTCAAGGGAATGTTGCAGGTGATTGACGGGGCTACCCGAGAGACAACTTCGGGCAAGTTCATTACTTATCAGGGACAGGAGGTACCGTGGTAGACCTTCCTCCGCCTCGACTGGTATATGGATTTCAAAAGGTTGATGCTTTGATCGAGGATTTTTCTTAGAAGCAGTACTAGAGTATATTATGGCTGTCCGTTCTGAATTTCCATCTTAGTGTGCTGTCTGTGGCTATATCTTGGCCTATGATACATACACTATACATGTAGACCCTTTCCTCTCCGCCACCCCTTACCACTCCTCTTGTGACTTCTATGCAAGGCTGTACACCCCACTATCACACTATCTACAACTAGATCAAAGATCGTCGTATCAACAGCTACCTCTCCATCACACAATGTGATATTATTCGCTAGACTTGGGCTAATTGAGGACGACACTACTGCCCAAACCCAACCAGCTTTATTTCGCTCCGGAGTCTATCGGGACCGTTACAAAGAATAACAGTCAGAATCTAGATAGGGACGAGGGAGTAATATCGATATCCACATATTCTAGTATCATTCTACGTGGACGAAGAACATATCTTGCAGATTGCCGAGCGTGATCATCTTATGGTATATCAAGTCTGCAACATCGGATAGCATTTGGGACAGGTCTTCACCAAACCCTGGAAGTCTGTACTTATGGCCCTGGGTTCGGTTCAGTTCAGAGAGGTAGAGAGGCAACGAATGCATCGTAGGGCATCAGAGACCTATCTTACTAGTACCCTACTAGTACATACGATCGATCAGATATGTGACATATCGTGGGGACATTGCGACATGAGTCAGTTTATACTAAGGGGTTTATGGGTAGTCTTTCCACTGGCCCTGGAACTGGTAATGCAAAAACAGAAGGTGTGGTGATCCTTTTTTTTTCCCCTTCGGGGATCTATTTAAGAATCATTGTAGTACGGAGTAACTCCGAAAGGTAACGGATCTCGCTAGTTATGCTTATTGTAGTTAAGAGTGTCTCTTTGAGGATAAGCACTATGCTGGTATTGGAAGGCACTAGGGTTCGGGCAGTTCTTGGCTGTATGGATGGTATCTCGATGTAAATTGGAAAACTTGTTGTTGGTCCTCTTCCATCGCTCGAGTCAGGCCGACGATAGCAATATAAAAATACTAATTACGACAATGACGGAAGAAGAACAAGAAAAGTCTGACTATGTGGAGGCAGCATTGATTTTCCCGGGACAATAAAAAAGGACGTAGCATGTATATCTGATTCAACAACGGTTCTGGACCATCTCGTGGACGGCCGCGAAAGACGTTACCAGGTAGCAATAGTTCGAAATGCCATCGTCAGTTACTAATATGTGGCATCTTGTAAAATCCTTTGCTCTCCCAGAAATCAATGAATCTGTTCAACATATTGGAGTCAAATGGCACATATTGAATATCCGGTGCATCTTTCAGGGCAGCGACAGTGTTGGAACTATCATAGTGAGGCGTGTTCCTACTTGTCTCGAACCTGGTGACGCCGTTCAACACTGGCTCCTGGAGTAGGGGCATAACAGGGAGCAAGGGATTGTCCATATCACTTATTCTCTGTAGCATGCGAACCCAATCCCAGTAGGGGATATGATTCAACGGGTATCCGAGATTCCTGATCACATCAACGGTCTGTTCGAGGTTCACCGAGTCCTTCGGGTCGGGAGCAACCAGACTGTATGATCTGCCGAGGTTTTCATTACGAGAGGCGATGTGAAGGGTAGCATCAAGTACGTAGTCAATAGTCACATACTCCAGTCTCTGGCGTGGAAGGATTGGGAATGCGCCCAGTTTGATACTGCCGACTATAAAGCGTGCGAAGAAGTCATCTGGATTACCAGCCCCGGTTTGGGAGTCACCGACGGTGAATCCAGGCCGATAGATGGCAGTGGGAAGCCCACGGTCGCGAGCTCGACGGACCATCGTTTCAGAGACCCATTTGCTTTGCGCGTAGCCGATGTCGAATGATAAGCCTCGAACGTGGCGCTCAAGAGGCTCGTCTTCGAGGCATCTACGGGTCCCCAATACCAGGCCTGTTGGGCCCCAAGCGTCGATGCTGGACATGAAGTGGAAAGCCTTTCGCCGTCCACTAGCAGCAAGATCTAACATGTTCTTCGTTCCCAGTGTGTTAGAGTCAAAATGGGCTTGATATGGATCGCAGAAGTTAACTTTGGCAGCCAGATGGAAGACCACACTTGCCCAGTTGGCCAGCCAGTCGAACTGCTCTGGTGGGAGCCCGAGCAAATCGAGAGAGATATCTCCAGTCAAGACTCTTAGTTTGTGCATATGTTGTTTCGACTGATCCCAGAGATCATATTGCTCCAAAGTCGCCTCCACTCTGTCTCGCGGTGTAATGCCATTTTTAGGCCGTGCGACGCACACGATCTCTTTGACTGTAGACATCTGTAGGAATCGGCTCAGGAAATTGACACCGAGGAATCCAGTGACACCCGATATGAATACTCTTCCTTCATTTTCTGCCTGCCAATCAGGCACCGCGTGCAGAGAGTCAGCGATCTTGGAGTGTGCGATCCACTTGTCTGTTTCGACCGGTGCATTGCCTCCTTCAGTAAATTCGTCAAGGTGATTAACCAGATCACAAAGTCGTGAATTCTCATGAAGTGACTGCATGGAGATCGTCTTTCCTAAGTGATGCCTCAGTCTACTTATTAGAGCTGCACACTGAAGAGACGTTCCTCCAAGTGCAAGGAAGTCATCCTCGTTGTCGATGTTGTCCCTGTTCAATAAGGATGACCACAGAGACTTCACGACATTTTCAGTGCCGCTTCCATGGCCATTTGTCTGTTCGCCATTGGCAACTCCTTGACTCTCTCGACTTTCTCGATACTGCTGCTCCAATGCTTTCCGATCGACCTTATCATGCACCGTCATGGGATACTCCGAGCAAAAGATAAAATCTCTCGGAATCATATATGATGGCAATCTCTGCTTCAAATATTCAGAGAGTGTACGGGCACGAACTGTATTAGCAATAGCAGGTATCACGAATGCAACAAGGAACGGCTCCTTTTTTTCCTCTTGTGAAGTGATTTGCCGTACGACAGCACCGGACAACCAGCCGCTTGCGTGGAGGGATTGTTCGATTTCTCCTAATTCCACACGGAAACCGCCCTGTTTTACTTGATGGTCTGCGCGGCCAACAAATTCAAGGACATCAGGCGTAGCCACGCGATACCTTGCTAGATCGCCGGTTCGGTAATATTCGATTCCATGTAGGGTGACGAAGTTGTTCTCGTTCTCCTCCGGGCGGTTGATATATCCTGTAGTCATACCGGGCCCCCCAAGAAGAATCTCGCCTACCTCACCGGGCTTTGTAACGGGTTTCAGATTCGCATCCACAAGGCATAATTCAGTGTCCCCAGCTGGCCCGCCAATGCCCAAGGAATCGTGTTGGAACTCTTCCACTTTAATTTCGTGCATGGTAGAGTAGGTCGTTGTTTCTGTTGGGCCGTATGTGTTCCAGAGATGTTTTGGAGGTGCAGAGGATTTCATGATGGCCTTGACGGCAGCGACACTGGGTACATCTCCGGCACTCAGGACAAGCCGGACGCCGCGGAAAGCCGCAGGACAGGTGAAGCCAGTAATAGAAAGTAACGCTGCCGTCAAGAATATCACCGAGAGAGCTTTCTCTGCGATGAACTCTCGGAACGCGAACGGATCAGTCGCAACCATGCGAGGCACGGGGATCATTGTTGCGCCTGCGACCAATGGACTGAACACTTCGAAGAGAGAAATATCAAAGCCTGGGTTGTTTATAAGTGCAACACGGTCGGAGGGTTCCAGCGGCGTACAAGCTGTTTTGGTCACTAGATGAATGATAGCACTTTCAGGTATCTGAACAGCCTTTGGTCTTCCACTTGACCCTGATGTGAACAGAATATGGCTGCGATATTTGGGATCTGGGTCATGGTCTGAACCGTTCACTTGGCTGTCTTCCCGCACATCGGAAGTATCATGAGGACTCTGGCCTGTTATAGGAATCACTGTGTGTTCGGTATTATTGGTAACATCCTCCTTGTCAGAAAGAATAAAGCTGGCTCCGATATCAGTGAGCATGTCACTCAGACGAAGCTTAGGCGTCGATGGCTCGATCGGCACACAGGTCAGTCTTGCTCTAATGACTGCAAGCTGGGCAATGACTAGTTTGGAATTGATTCCTTCTATGATGCAAATCGGCTCCTCAGGGCTCAAATGGTAATTATTCAGCACAGATGCTAGTTTGTCAACTTCTCGTTCTAGGTCTTCATAGGTCAATTTCTGGGCATCGTCTTCGATGGCGATGGCGGTCGGCCTCTGGCTAGCATGAGTGGAGAGGTAGCGGTCCATTTGGACGGATGCAATAAGGGGCGAATGCCTTGAATAGAAGAATAAAGCGAGTAGATATTTGATGATAACGGATGTCAATGCCGTGCTCTCAAAATTTGTAATGCTCGTTTTGAGGGTTTTGCTCTGGACATCCTGTACAGCATCTCGAAACCTTTCACAACATTATATATGTCTTTCCGACTGCACTAGAGTGCTCCATGCATGCTTTGACGATGGTGGTATTCGTCATTTTCATGCTCAATGATCACCTATGATGGAATGTGCTGTTATCCAAGATGCAAAATTGTTGCATTAAGCTTTTCCTGTCACAGTCACACGGCAGCCGCAACTGCAGCTCGATATTTGAGGAACTGTATCCCATTCAATAACAAGCCTACCCCCCTTTGTTGTCCAGTAACGGGGGGAATGATATTCCTTATTGAGGATGGGGGTTGAGAGTGAGGCTTCAATCAAGATGGCTACGAGCGACATCAGGATGTTGAGTCTAGCGACCAGGAAAGTCAGCAACAGGCTTGTTATTCCAAAGTTAAATAGTCAGTAGACTGACATCGCATTGGATATATTTCACGTCATTAGCTTTGTATCTGTCGCGTCTTCTTGATTTCCGGAAGAGAACCGACCTGACGCTGATGGGTGAGTGGGTCCGATGATGTAGTAAATCCAGCATAAACCCTCGCCACTGCGCTGGTTCAGGGTCAGGGCGTCGGGCAATCAAATATACTTCCGAGAAGCAGGAATTTGGCCACTTGAGGGCTTTCTGGGTCTTCACGGAAACAATGATTCTAGACTCTGTACTGGGTAGGGTCGTAGGCTATCAACCTAAAAGAAAGCAAACTCTAGGGCCGGGAGTCGGTGGCGCTGCAGATTAGCGAAGAACACAACTACTGCATGGATTGAATTGCATGGACTGAATAAACCCTTGATTGGCAAGATAACTAGGCCTGGTATGATAAGGAAACATTGGATAGTAGTGATACGGGAGCAAAATGAGGTAGAAGTGCTTCTGTCATAACTCCCATGGGTCGCTTCTCCATATCAGGTTCGTGTCAAACGTGACAGCTGGCACAGGGCCAGGAAATGATTAATGATATTGAAACACTTTCGTAGCCAAAACAAAATCAATTGAACGTTCTATATGTGCATGGATATCTATAATTACAACATGGGCTTCAAGTCATCCGCAACCTTGAAAGGAGCGGCGGTCTTGCTGCGGATCTCCTCAACAGTGACACCCTCGGCGTACTCGGCGAGGGTCAGACCTTCAGTGGGGCTGACTTCAAAGACGGCCAGATCAGTGATGATCTTCCACACGCAGCGGGGGCCAGTCAGGGGGAAAGAGCACTCGGGCAAGATCTTGGGGTTGCCCTTCTTGTCGACGTGTTCCATGGTCACAACGACCTTGGTCTTCTCAGGGTTGGCGACCAAGTCCATGGCGCCACCGACACCCTTCACCTTACCAGGGAGCATAAAGTTCGCGAGATCTATGGGCAGTTGTTAGAGGGCGATGGAGAATTCAGGAACAGAGTCGAAGACATACCTCCGTACTGGCTGACTTGGAGAGCACCAAGCATAGTAAGATCAATACGTCCAGAGCGAATCATACCAAAGCTCTCTTGAGAGCCGAACACAGAAGCACCCTTGGCCAGGGTGACAGTCTCCTTACCAGGGTTGATGAGGTCAGGGTCTTCCTCACCAGGCTTAGGGTAACCACCAAGTCCCAGAATACCGTTCTCGGCCTGGAGAACAACCTCCACGCCTTCAGGGAGATACGAAGGAGCGATCAGGGGCATTCCAATACCGAGGTTAACATACATTCCGTCGCGGAATTCCTTAGCAGCACGCTTGACGATACGCTCACGACGGGCGGTGGCTTCACCGGAACCTAGGTGATTGTGAGAAATGAGATTAGGTTGAGGAAAGGGAGAAGATCAAAGAACGGACTCACCGGCCTTGAGCATCTCGCTAGGGTCCTTCGCAAAGGTGAGCTTTTCAATCTGCTTTTCACCCTGGCTCTGAATGACCTTGTTGACGTAGATTCCCTGCAGGTGGATATCCTCGGGATCGATCTCTCCGACTTCGACAATGTGGTCCGCTTCAACAATGGTGTACTTGGCGTTCTTGGCCATGGCCTCGTTGAAGTTGTTCATCGCCTTACGGAACTGGCAGTTACCAAGCTTATCGGCCTTGTGGACCTTAACCAGAGCGTAGTCACCGAAAATAGACTCTTCCAGAATGTAGTTCTTGCCGTTAAACTCGCGGGTTTCCTTAGGCTTGGACGTTTCCGCCACAGTGCCATCCTTGTTGTAACGTACGGGGAGTTCACCAGTTTGCACTGTCTACCGTCAGCTCGTCTGGCCTAGCAAAGAAGTTCGAGAAGACGGACCAATTGTTCCATAAGCCGCGGGAGTGTAGAAAGCAGGGACACCAGCTGCACCAGCAGCACACTTTTCAGCAATGGTACCCTGGGGAGTAAGTTCCAATGCGAGGTCACCATTCAGATACATTTTTTCGAAGACCTTGTTTTCACCAATGAACGAAGCAATCATTTTACCGATTTGTCCGGATTCCAGCAACTGTCCTGTTTGGTATTAGCTGTCGTCCTGCTGGTGTCGCAGCCATCTTCCTTTAGCAACGTACCAAGACCAGCACCCGGCATGCCGGCATTGTTGGAGACCACGGTCAAATCCGTGACTTCGGGACGATCACGCACAGCGTTGATCAAAGTATTGGGCACACCCGAGAAACCAAATCCTCCAACCAGGAGAGTAGAGGAACCTTTCAAGTCCTTAACGGCTTCCTGAGCTGATTCACATAGCTTATCGATTGCTCTTCTTGAAGTTGAGACGGAGAAGTTCCGCCGCCCTACCGGGCGGAACATAGAGATGAAAGGTCGCGACATCGTGTCGACCAACCTTGGACAATGGACTCAAAACCGCGGTGAGTATGAATCTGAGGAAAGGAAAAAGAAAGAAGACGAAGAAGAAGAGAGGGCAATAAAAAGAGATCCATAGCGGCGCCGCCACCGTAGCGACCCCAGCTCCGACCCCAACATTGACGGTCGATGCCCAGCTACATCTTCGGTTAGATACAAAGCCGACAAAGTGATTATCCGCCCGGTCTTCACAGACCGCTTTGCCGCCTTCCGAAGCCGGGCCCACCGCCGGTTGTGGTTTGGGGTACTGCCGTGTATGGCACTGTATTCAACCTGCGGTATCGCGGAGGGAAGAACCCTCATCCCCGCGGGGGAATGGAGACAACTTGGGGGCCTTGCATCGGATGAGTTCAAGTTCTAGTTTAATTGTCAGTGTGGGCTTTGATCTCTCACTATGAATTAGGCCCCGGCTTGGACCTATAAGTAGAACGGTATAACCCATTTGAACACTTTCGAGGTCGATCTCAAGAACCAGATCAGATCGATTAGATAAACGCGGTACGGATATACGGATATAGTAGTCGGAAATGTCACGTATCGATTGTAAGTTACCATTCCGACAGCGGGAGTCACGTCGGCAATGGGTTTTTTACACCGTCCTAACAACCCTATAATGTCAATCCTCCTTACAAGTTACAGTTTTGTTGGGTTTTTGTTGGCTAGATGGCCATGCTACTTGGCCGTTGATTCCAATACCAAGCTAGCGAATATATATATGTCCAACCGACTGTATGTATGTATGTACAGTATTAATCAAGAACTTACGAGGTCGTGACATCAAGGCTTCCGACCATATACAACATGGACTGGAAGGTATAGATGCAATGATCGGTCGAAGAGTTCCTTCTTAACCTTGTCCATCATGACTTGCATCTCCTCTTCACTCCAACCAAGGACCCGCGTGAAAAGTGCCGGCGTATAAGCCTCAATGGCTTGCAACTCTTCAACGAAACCGAACTTCCCAATTTCTTTCATTCTCGCATCCTTAGGCCAAGTACCCAGGGGTATCTGTATTCCAGACCGAGTTAGAATGATACACTGGCATGCAGTTCGCCTACTGACCTTAAGTAACGTTTCTGTAACGTCCACGAAACCAACGTCTTCCAGTTTCTGTTTCCACTCACAGGCGTCATCCAACGGCTTTCCGAATTTTCTACCACCCTCACGAATTTTCCTCATCCACGCTTGAGCAGTGACAGCCTTTTCGGCAGTGTCGTCATCGGATAAAAAATGGGCGCTGACAGCTTGGAGTTCAAAATAGCCTCCAGAGCTTGTATGGTCAAATACTTGCCGAAAAAGCTTGTCGACGTTGCCTATACACCCTGACAGTTCACGCGCATGGATATAGTCGAATGGCGTTTTATACAGCCAGTCTGATTCAAAGTCGTCTATCTCAAACTGGCAGTTTGGCGGTACCCTATAAAACGTATGAGCTCAAGTCTGAATTACATTAGTGAAGAGGGAGAGAAGAAAAAAGACACTATACCACTTCGGCTGGATAGGGCTCAAGTCGTTACCAATAACCTGAGCATCTCCGTGTTCACTATAAGGTGGTGTGGGTGTCAACGCATGAGAAAGTGAGCGATAATTATGCACCCTTACTCCGCAAAATCTATGGCCCAAAGTCCGGTCCCAGTACCCAGATCAAGAACGCGTTTGGGGCTCTCACTAAGAGGCGCCAGATGGAGCTTTCCTTCCAGCAACAGAGAGTATATATGGTGCACCAGGCCCATGCGGTCTTGTTCTGCTTCATCATTCGGCTATTGGAGACTTAGCAATCCGTATAAGGGGTAAGTTATGTGATGCGCTAGCTACCCCTATATATATTCCTTCACGGTAAGCGTGATAGCGACGTCCATTCTATTAAGAATAGATTAGCTTAAACACATCACCTAATATGTTTATTGACCATACCTCATATCTGATTATGTCAAATACCTCGTTTCAGCCAGACGAACATTCAGAATTTGCGGGGAAAGCATCAGGAGGTCATACCTATAATCGGTAATGCTAGCGCTTATAGAGGTCAATCCACTTGCTGAGGTGAGTTCTCTGCAATGCACTGTTAGTTGTGCTCTCTGCTGTTGTTTATTGATCCTCCAGAATAAACAAGGCACTAACGAGTATTCATCGCCAGCATTATTTCTTCCGCTGGAGGAGTTGTCCTGGGCCATGTCAGCCGAGCACATAAAGACCCTGCATTGAGGCGCCTACATCGATTAATAGAGGATCTGCTCCGAGTACTGACGAATAGTGAGCTTTTTGGGACGTTTCTTCGGACATTTTACCAACAAAGAAGCAAAGGGAACTGAAGCGGACGTGATTTGAGAAAAAAAAATTTTCTTTTCTTTTCTTTTTCCGTGGGCGGACGTTGTGGTTTAAAACAGCTGCCCTTGCCGAGGCTTCGTCCTTGACGTATCCCTGTCAGTGGACCGGGGAGTATATCGAATGGTATGATAAACCGATCAATGGCCTGTGTCAGTGGTATCGTGCCCACTTTTCTTTCCTTTATGCTGCCACTTGTGCAGGTCTGATTTGCAAAGAGCCACTAATCACAGCGTTTAGTGGAGCATTACCTAACATGCGAGCGAACCATCTGCACTTGGTTGCGTCGTGTAGCGTAGCATTCGGGCGATTAGACTCGGATAGTTAATTAAAACTGACAGTCCGATTGGGCCAAAGGGACTAGCGTCAACGGTCAACCCTGCAGAGGACACACTAAGTTGGGGATCGACTTTCCCCAACGTGGATGCTGGTCGTCGTTATGGTACTTTTGTCGCCGTATCAATTGCTCCATATCTTTGCAAAATCACATGATTCTGTAGTCGAGACGCGATCTAGACAGACAGACAGCTCTTGCCCCACGATCTCAATATTACAGTCACTAAGACACTCTCAGATACAATATTGAAGCTAGATACTTTCGATCGCCCTATCTCCGTGAGTATCCACGAGATGGGGGCGTTTGCTTGACAGTCGTGTGAGCTTATATGACACGTGGCCATGGCTACAAAAGATAATCCAGTAAACCAGCACAATAACACCCATAGCCACCTTGCAAACACTCTCCTCATGACTTCTTATCTAAAGCTTACCAGAGGGTATTCTGGCGGGAGGTAATTCATGTAGTAGGTCAAGACTCAAGTATGATAGATCATAGCGCCACTTTTGTCAAGCCACGATTGCTCCTTGTGGTATCGAGTTCCACTCCCCCGTAGCTTATACTGCGTAAGGCTATAGTTAAGTCTAATCTACTCCGTAGTACTAGTTGTCCCGAGCCCCACATGCAACTTGTGGTTCGCTGTCACTACGGGGTAGGCGCGGATGCTATGAGGAAGCTCGAGCCAAATTGTTCGATAATCATCAGTCATGCAATTACTATGACGAAAGATGGCTAGAACTGTTGATCAATCATCCAGCGAGAATACATAGCGAATCAAGACTGCTAGTCTCTCAGTAGAGTATTGTACTGGGAGTTAGGCCCTGCTACCCGATTCAGGTTTCGCGTAGTCAATATAGCCAGCTGAATCTATGAATAAAATATCTGAATTAGAGGTTAGCCAGGGTTATTTATAGCTTTATTCGAAGAGTCATAGACCATCCTTGTTCAGAATAGCAGTGATGCCCTACGAACTTTGCCTTTGGTATCATCACCACCAGTAACACAGCCAGCCAAGATCGTTTGCATCGCCCATACATGAATGCAGCCCATCTACAGTACTAGTAGCAGTATTGTAGGGCTGATATACATTGGATGACAGGTTTTCAACCAATCATCGCTGATCGTCGAGTAACATTAATCCAGCACTAACTGGTGGATCTATGCCTTCTCATCCAATAATTAATGACCCAATACTTAATAGTGGGTACCATCCATGATCCATGGATGACACATTTTCAACCAATCACTCATAACCGGTGGATCGCAACAATACTGGTAGTAGATGATGTTGATGCAGGAAGTACTCTGTGCCTATACAATGGATCCCGGCCAAAGTAGTCAGGTAGTGGCTTTAAAAGAAAAGCCTTGTCGCCAGACCTTCTAACCTTCAACCTTCAGCCCTTCTTCTCATTTTGCCAGACTTACTCTTTTAGGTAGCTTACCCTACTTTTCCACGACAAAACCCCAGTGTAGTGCCCAATCAACCCTATCATGCCTACATTCAGCAGTCAGGATATTCCTGATCTCCACGGCCAGGTCATAATCGTCACTGGAGGCAACGTGGGTCTTGGATACGAAACCATCCGCCAGCTCAGCCAACATAACCCGGCTGCGATCTATCTGGCAGCGCGATCCCAAACCAAGGCTGAACAAGCCATTGCAGCGCTAAAACAGCACAATCCAAAGTGCACCAATATCCGTTTCTTGCAGCTCGACCTTGCATCGTTCGAAAGCGTCAAAGCAGCTGCAGCAGACTTCCTGCGCCAAGAGTCTCGCTTGGACATTCTGATCAACAATGCCGGCATCATGATGACCCCCGAAGATGTCACCAAGGACGGATACGAGATCCAATTCGGCACCAATGTCCTGGGTCCAGCCCTGTTGACCCAGCTGCTTCTACCAGTTCTGCGCAAGACGGCGAAAGTGAACAGCCAGACCCGTATGGTCATGCTCTCTTCTGCCGCCCACGCCCGGGCGCCCACTGACGTTTACAAGTTCGATGAGCTTCGAACGAGCGCCCCAAACCGACATACTACGGAGCGTTACACGACGTCCAAACTCGCCAATCTTCACTATGCGAGAGCTTTGGCGGAGAGGGAATCGGAAGTCATGATTATCCCCGTCCACCCCGGTATGGTAGCCACGAACCTCCACCATGCCTCAACGGGGACTTTTCTCAAACCTTTCCTCTATGCCGCGGTTTGCTTGGCTGGAACGCCAGTAGAGAAGGGAGCCCTTTCGCAGATTTTTGCGGCTGTAAGCCCCGAGGCGAAACACGGACAGTACTATGGGCCTATTGGTAAGGCGGAATCTGGCTCGAAATTCGGCCAGAATCGTGATCTTCAGGAAGAATTGTTTAGATGGGTCCAGGGCGAGCTTTCAGGACATAGCGAGATAATATTCTAGAGAATGTATTTCGTTTTGTGCGTGTGTGTGTGTGTGTGTGTGTGTGAGATAAGTGTGTATTATTAATTATATAATGCTATTTTATGTTTGTATATATCTTCACTTCCTTAAGCCATGCTTTGCAAGAATGAAGTCTTTGTTAAATCGTCAAATGTTCCGTCTACCATTAACTACGCTGGCGTTATACAGGGGGTTAGGTACAGCATAGCTTTTGCATGTCCCGTGTAGATCTAAAAGTCGAATTTCTGCTTCACCAGCTCCTCACTCAACATCCAAAGTCGTTCCGCAAAGGCACGGTTCTTAGCAAATGCTGCCACATTTTCATCATCGACTTTGCAGTCGGCAATATCAACCCCTTTGACATCGACCTCCGAGATATCGACAGGTGGCAATGTGGGGTCAACGGCTGCGAGAACAGAAGAATTCGCCCCCTGCTCCGGTGTTTTCTCAGCAGAGTCAAAGCCAAGCTCTGCGACCCTCTTCAGCGCTTGCTCAATTTCGCTAGGGGTGGCATGTCGGTTGATGTTCGTGTTGACCGCGCCAGGATGCACGGCAAACGACGAAATCCCGTACTTGGCCCACAGCTTCTGGTTCAGCGAGATCGAGTACAAAATATTTGCCGTTTTGGATTGCGCGTAGGAGAAAAACCCGTAGTAGACGTCTTCGGCATGACTACTGCCCGTGAAGAACTCGGTCTTCTGCAGCTCGGGTCGCTCTTCTGCCGGCAGTTCGGCGGGGCGTTTACTGAAATTGATATCGGAAAATCGGACGGGAGAGTACTGATGTCCGAATGAAGTCACATTGACGATTCGTACCGGGGTGGAAGAAGTCTGAGCGGCCTTGATCATCTTTGGCAGGATGAGATTGGTGAAAAGAAAATGGCCAAGATGGTTCGTTGCAAACGTTGTTTCCACCCCGTCCTCCGACCGTACGATGAGGTTTGCTGGGGATTGCGATGCGAAGGCGGAGGCAGTCGCAAGCCCTAGGCTGTTGGGGGAAACTCCAGTAACAATGATGGTGGAGCAAGCGGCCCGAAAGCGATAGCGGTTACCATCCTGTCCATGCTTTCTTCGGATCCTTCCGGGGGTGGATTGGAAAGATGATTGTTTGAAGATGAATGGGAGAGGCCAAATGACACGGAACGACGGGCCATTTTATACTGCCATCTTGGTCCTATCAGTCCAGGGTATAGGATATACTCCGGCGTACATTAGTACCTCGTTAACCGGATCTACTACTAGTATAACACAGTACACCCAATGGTCGGTGGTTGGCTGAACATCTGTTATCCGGCTGCAGCCATGGTTCCCACAGACGGTGGATGTGGATCAATGATCCGTTTCATAAATACGTATAGCGTTTGAGTTTAGGGTACAGTTTGGGAACCTCGGTGATCCACCTTTTGCCACCAGTCAATCAATCAAGTGGAGCTGCGATCGGAACCTTCTCCAGCTCTTTCCGCCCGCCCCTTTACATTCTTCTCTGTCCTCCGGAGTCCGCACTCCATCCTCTTGCAGGTCTATGTTCGACACCACCCATATGCATAGGACAGCATAAAGGATCCCTTCTCCACATCACCCCTCGAGCTTCGTCTACTAAGTACTAGTAGTTAGTACTAATGTCTTCGCAAGAGCAGATCTCTCGGCAGGACGACGACGATTGGACGGGGGTCACCGATCCTGCCCTTCGGAAGAAGCTGCAGAACAAACTCAACCAACGTGCTTTGCGTAGGTCTCCTGGGCACATTTGGATTCTCTATACGGCATTCTATTCTTCTGTAGATGGCGATCTTTTATTGATCATGTTCACAACCCAACCTCGGCACAAACTAACTCCTTGGTAGGAGCACGAAAACGCCGCGACCGGCAAAAGGCTCTTCTGTTGCAGTCCAAGGATGACAAGGCAGACTTGCGGCGCTATGCATTGATACTTCCACGACCAGATCAAGCCAAAGGGCCGCAACAGCCGCCTCGACCCACATCGCTCTTGGAGGCGGTAGCAATGATGCCGCGCTTCGACACCGAAGCCTACGAGAAATACTATGCCGCGGATCCATGCCTCGACCATCTATTTACCTTGAGCAAATTTAACGTACTTCGTGCCTTCCTGGATAATATGGCAGCCCTTGGATTAAGCATGGAGGCAATGGGAGACGACGTCATCTCTCCCTTCAGTACTGATATGCCGGAACCCCACGAGAGGGAAAGAATCCCAGCTACTCTCCTTCCCACCGCTATTCAAGCCTTAGTTCCTCATCATCCCTGGCTAGACTGCTTCCCGTTCCCGCAAATGCGGGACAATCTGGTCATGGCCGATGGGTCATTTAACGATTGCGAGCTGTGCACGGATATGATGGATCCCACCACTGGCGATATCGGGGTCATGGTCTGGGGGGATCCCTGGCTTCCGCAGAATTGGGAAGTCTCGGAGTTGTTTGCTCAGAAGTGGTCATGGGTCATCAAGGGGTGTCCGGACATCATTGTGCACAGCAACTATTGGAGAGCTCGACGAGGGCTAAAGAAACTGAAAGTGAACTTTATGTAATCAGATATTGCAGATTTACTTATTCCTCACTGCAGGAATAGTGAGGACCATCCTATGAAATACAGTCTAGCATCATGGCTCCACCTCTGGTGCACCACGGACCTTCGCAAAGACATCAAGTGTATGTTTCCAGATCGAACTCCTCACCCCGTCCGCACGATACACTTCCATGATCTTGCTGGGTTTATATGTCGACCCGGTTGAATCAAGTCGATAAAACCCACTACCAGGGTGACCATCAGAACCTTCGGCAACATCAGGTATACCATCCTTATCTTTCTGCGGAGGAAACCGTGGACTCGACGCTGCATACAGATGTCTTTCTCCACTTTCGTTTAATTTAATCTCCCATGGCCGGGCGAGAACCATCAAGGCGGTAACAGCATACTTGGTGGCAGTGCTGAAGTTTCGGTTAAGTCGTGTCCTCACAATTCCTGGGAAAGAGTGGATAAACGAGATCTGTGGGTAAGATGCAGCTAGATGCTCCATGGAAACAGAGTTCATGGTGATTGCATGTTTTGCGCAGTTGCGAAGGGAATAGTGGGTTTGAAGAGATAGATCATCAAGGTGAAGAGCAGCTTCGCCTCCGGCTTCAAGAACCGAGATCACGCGAGATAGTGGCCGTTCATGTGTCACGGTCTGTTCACTTTCGTCACCAGCCTTCATAAGTTGCGGTAGGAGATTAGCCACGAATCGCATCCGGGAATAATAGTGAAGGTTCAGCTTTTTGTCTAGGCCTTCGTCGGTCTCTTAAGATCAAAAAGATCAGTATCAGGCTGGTGGCTTGATTCAGATTAGGAGCATCATACCATCACGACCGGTCGTTGTCCCTACACCGGGACTCAAAAATAGAATATTGACTTTATCCTCCTTCTGCTGAATGGCACTGCACGCGTCATCTACCTCACGCAACAGAGAGACATCTGACTGGATGAAAGTGACTTGTGAATCCGGTTTTATCTGGTGCAATTCTTCGATAATCTGCATTGCTCTGGTCTGATCTCTCCCGATAAGGTACGCACGAGAGGCGTCTGTGTTGCGTATAAAGGCACGAGCCGTCGATTCTCCTATTCCGCTAGTTCCACCCACTGGGTGTGTTCAGTGGAAATCCTTGTAAAGACCATCCTGACAAATGACGATGGATGGAATCTGACTCGCCACGAGACCAAGGGTAGTAACCATTAAGTAACTTACCAAAGACAGCGACCAAGCCCGACCCATAGCGACGAGTGATGTCGGCGTTGTTGTCTAGTACTGTAGCAATCGATGCCATATTTCTCTTAGGGATGTCGATCAGACTGTGAAATCTCACATGGCTGACTGAGGGTATTTAAGCTGCTGATAGTTGTTGACTCGAGCAAAAGTAACGTTTTCTGCATTAGAAATCACCAATCCTGATGCTTGCATCTGATTGGAGAATGGAGCGTCATCCAGGCGGTGCTGAATCTTGACAGTGGGCCCGGGAGCCAAGAAACGATATTGTAGGGCCGGCCCAGTTGCTAGCCTAGAGTCTCCTTAGACTAGGCACAAGTCTTGCTCGGCTTCCGGCAGGCTTATTCTAGCTTAGGATGGTCCTCCTATCTATGCCCTCTGTTGTTTTATGAACCCTCTTAGGTATCGCGAGTCTTGCCAAACCAGTTGAGCGTGTTATAGCCTGTATCAATTCCATGCCCGGGTCAGGGCCATAGATAATCTGGATGATGGATCATATCGGTATCGATCGTTAGAGGATGGCAGTAGTTAAGAAAAGTCCCGGTCCTAACATACTTTATGAACAATATATGTTGGTCCTTACCTGTCCTGGACTTGACCCTGAATATCAGTAATAAAGAGAGCCCTCAAACATCGCAGTATAGTCAGTTATACTTGTAGTCTCATGTGATTAGTAAATAGGGTTGCGGCAAACCGGGATCGGCAATTGAACGGCTCCGCAAATGCCGACTGTTCCCCCGCTTGCCGCCAAGAAGGCTGTAATTTATCAAGGCTGAAAGGAATACAGGCAGTATACCTGAATACTTGATCGATGGGAATCTTAAGCCAGTTACTGACAATCTCGAAAGGAGTGGCTAGTTACAGTACCTGTAATTGCTTCTAGTCGGGGGCGCTGAGAACCAGGTACTACCTCTTACCTAGTAGCTTCCCCACGGGGGTACTAAAATGGGGCACCACATCTGCAGCTGGCTGTATGTATAAATGTATGTAGTAAGTACTATTCGGGTGGCAACAACGTCTATATTGCATACAACAATCATATCACGAAACGTACATCTTGAATGAGTACATTGCTGAGAACGATATGGGATACTGGAGTGGGATTTCTGCACTGATAGCCAGCAATACTACATTTGTATTATTTATTACCGATATGATATCCAGTCATTGGCTATTGGTAGTAATGTATGTATGGATGGATGTATCCTACGTACTACTACTTACCAGTAGGTATTTGTTACTAGCTGAGGTTAGAAACCCAAAATGATCCCCCATCCCGCATGCCCCCATTCTTTTTTTTTTCCCTTTCTACTTCTTCTACACCTCAAGCGTTGTCTACTGCTGTTTTATCCTGACTGTTTGGACTGAGTGCAATGCTCTCACGGTCGGAGACCTCAATCAACTATCTGTCCTTGCAGCTTCGCAAGCTCCATCATGGTTATAAAGAAGTGCAACATCTGTGACCGTCGCTTCAAAAAGACAGAGCATTTCAAGCGCCACGAACGGTCCCGTCAGTGAATCTCGCCCGGACTCTTCCCCAGGATGGTTTTCTAATATCTCACAGATACTAAAGAAAAGCCCTACGAATGCAATGTCTGCCATAAACGGTTCTCTCGAAGGTATGCAGCTTCCAACGCGATGAGCATTCTTTATATAATTGGAGAGCCTGCACATACACAGGTTGCATTCGACGGGTAAGCGGCTGTGACTTACAAACTCCAGCGATGTTCTAAGCCGTCATGCTAAGGGCCATAACGGTCCAGCTGCGCACACGACCACCAAGGCACTCAACCAACAGCCCTCCGCGGCATCTGCCCAGGACTTCCATTATCAACCGACCAGTATCCCCGACCATGGTCAACAATTCCTTCCTAATGTGGATACCGGTGTTTATTCTAACCCAATTCAAACGCAACCGGTAGAGCCTCGCGACATACCCATCGCTGGGGCAGCAGGTCTCGCATCATCCCTGGACTTTTTGGCGGACGTCTCGTCTCAGCATGCGCGCACCGAGCCTGATGCCAATTCAATGCTCGTGGTTGGCCAACAAGCGTACTTTGAGGAACCAACGGTATACCCACCGTCCTACAGAGGGTCTGTGTTTGAACCTATGCCAAACGAATCGCTCCAGCTGTGGTTGAATCCTTCTGACGCGACTTCATATCCTGGTTCTTTGGATTTTGGCCATGACTCTAACATTGGTCTGATTGAGGAGAACGTGGGTACCTCCGCAACACAGCGCCCCGAACGACATGATGGACCCTCCACTGATACAGGCGATACAAAAGCTGGCGCAGCTATTCCGAATGACAGATTTGCCAAAGTTCAGAACTGTTGGCTGGGTCCATCGAATAACACCGGGCGCCTTATCAATGGTATCTGGCGGGACGTGGCGTACGGCAGCATGGATAATATTTTTGCGGCGCACCCTGGGCAATCGCTAAGCAGTCCGCCTGTCTTGCTGCAGAAGTCAAGATATGGCCTTGATGAGGACTGCAGAAGACACCTGCATACTACGTTCGGATATATGCGACTCTACGGCCAACAAAATCGGACTTCCAACACTCCTCCAGCGTACGACTCAGCACTGATCGCTCTCGCCCAATTTCCTCCCGCTGAAATTTTAGACATGGCACTTGACCTATATTTTCGTAGCTTTCATCCGCTCGTGCCCTTTATCCATCTCCCAACCTTTTCCGCCAAAAACACCAGTCCTTCGGTACTCTATGTCATGTGTCTGATCGGGATGACTCTCCTAGGAACGCAGGGTACAGCTTCTTTCGTCTCGAAGAATTTCACTGTAAGAGGCCGTCTAGAGAAACTCCGCAGAGCATTGATTTGCTGATATGTTTTTTCTACCAGTTCGTCCTGGAGAAACTCACGGCTGAGTTGGCCATGTGTTCTGCTGACACTGAAAGCGCGGGAAATACAATGTCAGCATTTGCAGCATCCGTTCTTTTTCTAAATCTGGCTGCTCTGACTGGGGTATGTAGTGTCTCACCCGAGGTGCTACTAGTTACTGATTAGTATGTAGGAGAAGGGCCATATTGAGAAAAGCCAGATGCTCTACGTTAACCTCATATCGGTAAATATGGGAAGCTATCCACAACGTTCCACGCTAACTCAGTATAGGTCGCACAAAGGCACGGTTTGTTTTCGGCTACTGAAGGTCAATTGCTCGACAAAAGTATGTTTGAAAGTATTCCAGACAATGTTCTGAAATGGAAAGCCTGGAGCAAAGTAGAATCGGTTAAACGGTTCGTTATTCAATATAATGAAAGCCCAGACCCTCACTGACCACGCAGATTAATTATTGCATTACTCGTCACGGATGGCTGGCTATCATCTTTCCTGTCCACCAGCCCCATCATCGTCTCCGATACTATTCAGCTTATTCTACCATGCAGTGAAGTGCTCTTCGAAGCCAAGAATCCAACGCAATGGGTACAGCTGATTCGTGGGGGCCAGTGCATGTTAATGCCCACTGTGCTGTCTCCATCAGAAAATCTAGAGATCGCACCACTGGACAGCCATGTTGATAATTTTGGCATGCATGCAGTATTATCAATGGTGCAGCTAAAGCTTTCAGAGGCATATCATCGCCTCCTATCCCATCGCGCAAGTTATCCATTCGCGCCATGTCACACCTATGCCATGGATGGTCGTGCCAGATGTCTCTCAACCCTTCAGATCCAGATTGCTAGCAAATACAGTGATATCCTACGGCACCTGGACCCCAACGCTAGTATCTTGTGGCACAACATGTGTATGAACCTCACAGCAGATATCCAAATCTTTGAACTGGCTGCAGGCCGTGCAGGCCCAGGCCCAGCGCGGAAGGCCCTCAACGATATTGCTGCTTGGTCGCAGACACCAGCCGCCCGGAGGGCTTGTCTCCACGCAGCCCACGTGTACAAAATTATGATACATCGCAAAGCATCGGATCACATTACGTTTCATTCAGTCTTTTCGCTTTTTTCCGCTGCTCTCGTCTTGGGTCTGTACATATACATGGTGCCCAGTAGCACCGAGCCACAAACTGGAGGCACGCCAATCGACATCCTGGATGATATAGACTGGAATAGTCTGTGTGGTGAGGGGTTCACCAGCTTTATGGAGCCTAATGGGGCTCAATCCTGTACAGAATCGGATGAGGCAGCAGTGAATTTCATTCGAAAAGGGGGCACCGTGTATTTCCGTGGGGTCCCTTTTCAGAGTGGCTACCACTCGGCGCGACGAATTTTGCTGGACTATGCGGGCCTGTTGAAGGATACTGGGAAGTGGAGCGTTCGCAAATTTTCCCACGTGCTCTATATTATGAGCGACGTCCTGATGGATATGGATTGAACCAACTGAGGTCGGCCCATTCTTAAATATTATCACACAATGATCCTTCCCACATTCCAAGTGGCCTGCAGAAGGAATCTGGGAAGCCGCCTCGAGCGCTTGACCACGAGGGTGTGGAACGAGGGCGTGAATACGCGGTGGAACATTAGGATCCTATCAGTCTCCCGTCGAATGCCAATCTGAATGGGAAGATTTATATTCAGCCACCTACGGGTGGTATACACATGACAACCTCGCAGTTCTACACCAATGACCACATACCAAATACCCTGACGCAAACGATCAAATATACGCTGAACAGCAACGAGAATGCTATAAACCATATCACATATCACCTCGCACGGGAATCGCCCTAGGCCACCCAACTCCTGTTCTCCACCCTCTGCCAAAGCTTTTCCATCTCCTCAGTCGAAGCCATCACAGAAAGCATATAATGTCCATCCTCGCTCAAATGTGATTCCCCTTGAGGCTCACCCGCAAGCACAACTCGTGATAGTCCATGGTACCTTTCTGCATACCACTCCGGCTCCGATCCATCGTCACTCCGCGCTTCGACATGGTCACCTTCGCCGTCGACCCCCGCTAATGGGTGTGTTTCACGGTATTTCGGCAGACTCAGTCCATTGCACCGCGCATTTGGCATATGCAACACATTATCTAGCACGAGTGTGTTGATCTCTCCATCACCGGAGCGTCGTCGGACACGCAGTTCAACGCTCCCTACACCAAGAACGCGCGAGCCGGCGATCTTGCCCGGCGCTCGTCGGTAGCTTCGGAATGTCGAACGGTTCTTGGCGTAGTGACAGTTACCATCCGTTACGATCCAATCCCAACATCTGTTGTATGTATTGAGCTGTTTCGGCTTTGATCGGGACTTGGACTTCTTGGATGGCTGGGGTTGAGAGTACGGTTGATGACGGTAGGAGGGTTTTGATACGTGATGATCCGATGCTTGAGTGGAATGCGGCATTGTTCTGTAATTTAAATCGATATATATAAAGTACTCAAGAAAAGGAAATCAAATAGTGAATGACTGATTCCAATAGAGAAAGAGGAGTGTCTTATTGAGTTAAGTGAATGTAGATGGACAAGCTACCTAGACGCATTTCGTGGCGAGTACATTCCTCGGGAGAATCGTATATATATATAGCCACTCAACGAACCCCGCAAGTACAAAGAACCCAGCTCGAACCTGGTCCAGAACCAACACTCCAATCCCAGGACAATGGGGGGGCACATCGGATTGGCAACCCAGTCACGGAAATGGGAAAAGTGTTGACGTAACCAGAGGCTGGATGGCGAATTGCTGCCACTTGGCTACCAATTAAGCATCCCGGACAAGCTTAATAAGGTGGAGCGATGAGTAAACGGTCTCGCATCAAGTTTCTGCGAAAGGCGCAGATGGTTCTCGTATTCTTTTTGTATAGACCTCGGGAGGGGGCTTGGATTTCGGGTTAGGGCTGCATGAACTTAAAGGTATTGAAGAAATATGATCTATCAAAAAAAATATGGTCGTCTATGTTTTGCATATGCATATGCATGCGGTATAGTATGTACAGCGGGGTATATACACGATGATATTTTTTTTTTTTTTTTTAAGAATCCTTCCAATGCATGTGGACGATCATCATTTCCTCCCATACAGAAGGCCCTCTACCATTTCCCCGATCGCCAACGAACTCGTCAACCCTGGACTCTCAATTCCAAGCAGGTTAATGAACCCAGGGAAGCCTTCCTCTTCCTGGATGATGAAATCCTGGAACCCTTTGCCGGTGTTCACGGCCCCACCGCGTCCCAGCTTGGGCCGGATCCCACAGTAGTCTAGACTGATTGCCTCCGGGTCCACGTTGGGTAGATAGGCCTTGATCTCCGGGAGCGCCTGCGCCAGCCGGGCGGGACTGGGCACGAGATCGTTCGGGTCGTCCACCCATTCCACGTCGGGGCCGAATCGTATGCGGCCGCCGAGGTCTAGAGTCAGATGGGTGCCTAGGCCGCCGTGGCCGGGCAGCGTGGCTGGATAGACCAGCACGGAGGTTTTCGGGAACGACGCCGCATACGAGAAGTACGTTCTTCGCGTAGTACGGGGTGCGGTGTCGCTCGGGCGGCAGGATCATATTATTGATATAGCACGCGTAGTTCCCGGCGCTGTTGATCAGCGTCTCGGCTGTGATGGACGTCTCCGTCCCGTCGCTCGTGACGGCCGTGATCCGGTATCCGTTCTTGCCTCCATCCAACGCCTCGATCCCCGTTACGTTCGTCAGAAACGCACAGTCGCCGCCGCGGTCCTCGAAGTCGCCCTGTAAATAGGTCATCAGGGAGTGACTGTCTACGATGCCCGTGGTCGGACTCTCGACAATCCCCGCGAGAGCCTGCACCTCTGGTTCGAGAGCCTGAGCCTCTGCGCGACCGATGAGTCGCGTCGGGACACCTATCTTCTGTGCGTGCTCGTGGGTCTTTAGCGCCGCGGCCCATTGCTCTTCTGTCTGCGCTACGATCCATTTCTTGGTGTTGCGGTGAGGGAGTCCGTTCCGCGCGCATAGATCGTACATCATCTCTTTTCCTTTGATGCAGAGCTTGGTCTTCAAGGTATCGACCCCGTAGTATAACCCGGCATGGATGACCTGTATGCAGCAGAGAACAAAAAGTCAATTGCAGTTAATGCGTTGATTCAATGCAAACTGGTCCGATCGGATTGGGGGCCGCTACTACTCACCTCCGAATTGCGACTACTAGTCTCCGTGCCTGGCGCATCGTGTCTCTCCAGAAGAATGGTGGATGTGCCTTCTCTCGCTGCCAATTCCCGGGCCACTGCCAGACCGACCACTCCCGCACCAATGACCTTTTATTTTGTGTGAATGAGCGTTTGTTTTGTACAGTGCGCTGGTAAGGGTCAGGGAGAGGTGTTTACCGCATGGGTGACATCTGCATTGGCTGTTCGCGTGCTGGAGAAGCTGCGTCGCGGGTGGAGGAATTTTCTCGACAGAGAGAGACTTGTCCGCATAGCCATGTTTCTCTGAGATTGGGGGTTGGATTAATCTAGGGGCCCCTTGACCACGTCTTTTTCTCAGGTAGGCGGAGTTGTCGATGGCACAATTCCCCACGTGGAGACCGGCGATAAGAGCGCGGCGATAAGAAAAAGTTGTCGGTGTTCTAGATTGGGTAAAGGTGCAGGCGACCTTACAATCGCTGCATTAGGCTCTAATACATGCATGCATTAGGGAGAACGAGGCCATTCTTGGTCACACTTCATTTACTAGAGCGCATGCGCGGAAATATCTATGCTATCTACATGAAGAAGAGTTTGAAGCGATTCGTAGGGCCCGTATGTCCATAATATCCTATGTATCTTCCGAGCGATTAAAATATAGTCGAGGATTCTAACCACGCTTTCCAACATTCTTTAACATGTCGTCCAAATGCTAGATACCATTAGTCTAACTGCTTGGGTAGAGGGCGAAAAAGTCTCCCACTTACCCGTTTCTGTTCGGTTGCTAACTTGCCATGGGTATCCTGCCTGAACGTCAGTGAAAGCGGTTCCTAGAGAGGGCAAATAACATACGCTGATGATAGTCAAAATCAAAGAATAATTATTAAATAGGAATCTTTCCCGTCTTTTCGCGTCGCCACCGATCCTGCTCAGTTTCGCCAAAAGGTTATCGAACTCGGTTGCTAGCCGCGATAAACTATTAGACACCGGCTCATCGTCTCCAGCTTCACTACTCAGCACCAAGATGCCATGCAACAACTGACCGAACCTCTGCGTAAGGAAGTGGGGCGCTGAGGATTGGTTCAAGTCATCCCCTCCAGTCAGAGATAGGGCGGATACAGCACTTCGGCCCGTGTGCGAAGCTACCCGCTTTAAAGACTGACAGTGAAGGTCCATGATCACCTGCAACCTCGGCCAGAGCCGCATGTTTATACCATTGATGTACGCGTCAGCAACGGGTACTTTCCGACGTTGGAGTTCAAAGGCGGCCTGCTGATTCAATCGTACGCAAACCAGGACGCCTAGAGAGTCGGTCGTGTGCTCGACTAACTGCTTGGTCAGTCCTTGCCCAAGAGCAAAGACTGGGTCGAATATTTCGGTAGCTTTGCGGGATATCTGCTGGAAGGACAAACTGGAGAACATCTCCGTCATGAAGGAGTATTCGGCAGAGACGTTGTCCATCAAAGCCAGGTTGAAGTTCCTGAAAGGGATCTCAATTCCGTGGAAAGACGTGTCCTCCTCTGCCACATATGAAGATATGGCCATGTGATTACCAGTTCGCAAGACTTCAATTCGCCTTCCGAGCGAGAATGGGTCATGAGCTGCGGCACCAGTCCGCCCACCGGGGACAAGATTTCCTATAGCGAGGTCAGATTCAGTAGCGCAGCGAGAAAACAAAAAAAGCTCACCCGATTTTGGAGCCGAGGGATCTCCCCCCAGAACCTCATTTCGATCGCTAGGGTACACCTTGATCTTCTCAAGCGCTTGGAGATAGCGAGTAAAATGAGATAGATAATACCACCGCATCGTGTTGATGTAAGCCTGCGTGATCTCCCCCGCAAGGGTTGGATGTGCCTTGAACAGGTAACTATGCAAATCCTTGAATTTCAACAAGCGCTGCTGTTGGATAATCTGGGCGTTAATATTTGGGGATCGCAAGGCTCTGATCTGGGAGACCAGATAGTCCCGGATCCTCTCAACGGCTTTTTTCTTGATATCACTCAGCAGTGGGCGAACATCCTCGACCGACTTGGTGCTACTGGGGCTAGAAACTTTAGTTTCGATAGCGGTTGCCCGGCTCTCGATCTCATTCAGCGCTTTTACCCAATTCTCATCGATCGGCCCCTCTACAATTAGTCGAACAGCTTTTGGAGCGATGCAAATTTCCTCCACAGCGGGTCCCAGAAGTTGTTCTACATTGCGTCGATTCGCCAACATTGCATTCAGCTGTATGGATCGAGTCTGGAGAGTCTCTATCTCCGCCGAAACTGCACCAAGTTCAGTCTGAAAGTCATTCAGGTACTTCTCTACCGATTTAGAAACATCGTCACAGCCTGTAATAGCCGAATGTAGATCCTGAAATTTATCTCTTTCCTTCTCGAACTGTTGGATTGTTTGCGCTCCAACGTCGCTATTCGAAACCCTCCTCGGCTCATCGGGTTTTGTGACAAACTCCTCGAGGCCGAGGTCTCCAAAGTCGATCTCCGCCACCAACTGCGATGGTTTTGTTTCAAGTGTAGAAGATAGGACAGGCGATTCCGCTTCCGCCAGCGTTTCCTTTCGTTTTCCAATAACATCATTTAGTACATCAAGTGGATCCGCCACGTTAGATGGGCGAGCCCTCGCAGGGGATTGTTTCAAGACCGAGTCGTCGCCACGTGGGGTGGCGGAGAGAGATGTAGTGGAGTCGCTAGGAGTGAGTAAGTTAGACAACGACGATCCAGGCCGACTAGGTTGCGGGCGACTATTCTGTGCGTAGGGGGACAGACGAGAAGTTGGCCGTCGAGGAAGGGGGGAATTGCTGCGACTATCAATCTGAGGTCCTGTAGGGGTCGAATGACCGGACATGCGGTCAAGCCACATCGTGAAAGGCCAGCCCGGAGAGGCGTTCAGGTATGGAGCTGTGGTCCACCGGCCTCATTGAAGGCCGTTTCGACAGTAATCCAATTCACGCTCGTAGCAAGGAGAGAACAACACAGTCAGACAGGGAGTATGAGCTTCCGGGGAGGAGAGGGGTGGGGAGAAAGAGTGGAGGGGGAGAAAGAGTGGAGGTTGGTATAAAGTCCGATGTTCAGGAGACCTCTGTAGTAGTTTCCATTGACACCCATGAGGTACACCAATAAAGGGACAACTATTGACGGGGTCGAGATGCTACGGCATTCCAAACAGGCCAGAGACACAGCATATCCGAGACTAAACCTGTTACGATCTAGCGACATCAACACCCCGCCACAACAAAATACTTTTTTTTCATTCGGCGGTGGTTCACTTTCTCTCTTCGTCTCTTTTAACCTTCTAATTTTTCTCTCTTTCCCCTCTCTCTCCTCAAGACTCAATTCCTTTCTCCTCCTCTCTCGCTCTCCCTTCAAGTCTCTATACCCCCCCCCCCCCCTCTTGTCCTTCACCCCAACCAAATCTATCACCATGGCTGACAACACCCACGTATGTACTCGCTCCTCTACACTTCTCTCCACCCCGTTTTGATGTACCTGGGCTGGCGAGTATTCTCAGCCCCGCATCATGATCCCCTCCCCTCGTTCTTGCACGTAAATGCATCTGCGCATCTCAGACCCATTTGACTACAGTTTTGATTGACACGATTTTCTCTACATAGTCTTTCGACGAGGTTAACGAGAAGGTCGATGCCGGTGCCTCCACCACCTACCCCCAGCAGTGCTCTGCCCTGAGGAAGAACGGTCACGTTGTCATCAAGGGCCGCCCTTGCAAGATTGTCGATATGTCCACCTCCAAGACCGGAAAGCACGGTCACGCCAAGGTTCACCTGGTCGCACTCGACATCTTCACCGGCAAGAAGCTTGAAGATCTGTCCCCCTCCACCCACAACATGGATGTTCCCTTCGTCAAGCGTACCGAATTCCAGCTTGTAAGTATCCCGAAAAATCGATGCCTGCCCAGTCCAGCGAGGATTGTTTTTGTTGATTTCACATAGATTGATGTCACCGACGATGGTTTCCTGTCCCTGATGGACGAGAGCGGTGGTACTAAGGACGACGTCAAGGTCCCCGAGGGCGAGCTCGGTGACAAGATCCAGCGCATGTGGGACGAGGGCAAGGACTTGAGTAAGTATCCCGCGTTGTACTCGGCGTCCGGTCGTCACTAACGAAGCTAGACGTTATTATCCTCGCTGCCATGGGTGAGGAGTGCGCCATGGATGTCAAGGAAGCGCCCAAGGGCAACTAAATTACCATAGTCATGGACTCTATTTGTGCTCCGTTGGCCCTTGTGTGTTCCAGGGTATCCTTGAAGTTTGCCCCTTGGGTTGTGAAGGATGTCACATTTTGGGCGAGATCCAACTTGGCTCTTCTGTTGACGACTGAGCCTTGGAGAGGGTTGCGTTTAGTTGGCATCGTAAAGCGAGCTTTGTAATGACGGGAACCAGTCTGAGTCCAGCTTTCACGATATTTTGACGAATTCTAAAAATTTCAATGGCTCTACCTAATTCACAAGTGGTTTTTTTTTTTCTTTCTTTTTTCTATTTCTGTTTCCGACTTGTACGATCACAATTTCGTAGGTTTAAAGCTTTTATAAAGGTCGGAAATGGAGACAGAACAAAAGCCGAAAAAAAAAAGAGTATGGCCGAGACAAGAGAACGGTTAATACATGTAAGAGTTCTTTAAACAAATACATAAATTCATCCTTCAGGACCGTGAGCCGACAGTACTGTACGTGAGATATTTTTGCTCGGAGATAAATTTGGTTGCAATGATTTTCCATAAATGCCTAAGATGGTGAGGGAAGAAAACGAAAATTTCCAAAACAACTTCAAATCTGCCCGCATTCAGCACTCAACCACAAACGTACCCCACACCACAGGGAAAAGGCCCATGGCCTCTATACTTCATATCTGAATGATTTAAGAAATGAAGAACACTTGTGCCCTACATGGAGTACACTACCAGAGGGGTCTGTGGGCAGGAAGGGTGCCGTGAAACTCGGTATTATCTCGACAATGGGCTCTGGTTCTGCCGACGGGGTCATCAGCAAGAGGTATGCACGTAGCCTATCTTAACCTCGCCCACTGAGCATGCAGAAGAGCATAAGCGAAAAGGGAAGAGCCATGCTTACGAAATAAAACAAGGGCCGGCAAGTTGAAGAAGAGCCCGACGACTTTGGGACACAGGGCAAGACGAATCGGGTGAAGAAGGCAGTGACTGAAAAGGGTGCAAAGAGTAAGCGTCGCCAATCCGGCCGGACTCGCATCGGGTGTTAATTTATTTTCTGTCAGCATATCGTGGCCGACAGGCTTACAGCCTCTTCCTGCAGGTGTATCAGTTGATCCTCTGGAAGCAGTGCCATGCCTTGGTGCAAAGCCGAGGGTTTCCGGCGCAACTTGAGGTGCCCCCCTCATTGGTTCAACCTCCTTCTATGGTGTCGGCTGACGATGAAGTATAGCATGTCGTCCGTGACCTGTGGGCTCTTCGTCTGGAAACCTATTCGGACAAGATCAAAAATCCATCCGAAGGTGACGAGGAGATCGAGTTCTTCAGCTCACAGCCCACCGCGGACCAGGAGGAGCCAGACCTCGTTAAGTTTGGAGGGAAGAATCTGCAATGGCCCCGACTCGTGGACTCTGTCGGACTCTGTTATCTAGGGGCTTTCTTAATGCGCCTTCCGGTCGGTATTGCGGACTTTCATCGGTAAACCCCCTAGGCTGGGTATCGGATGGAAATCACGATCTGACCTCCCGCGCTTCAGGATGATCATGTCGGGAGATATCCCTTATATTCGCATAACACGCTCAATTCCCCGTGAAATGAGAGATAAATTACCTCAGGAGTATCTCTCAATAATTGAGACCACGGTCAGAAACCTTATCCTCTTTCTGAGACCCATTTGCTGATCTTCTCTTAGAGGTTGCTGAAAGCCGAGCATCTCCATAAGGCTGTGTTGCAATTGTCACTGCTCTATCGCCACAAGTTTGGCATACACCTTCCAGCTCTAAATCTGCCCCCGATACTATATCACCATATTAGGAGACTAGCTCTTCCGAGTAAGAAGCAATCGCAGTGCGGATGATCGGCCCGGCCCACACACTAACATATTGCTTAGTTGACATCTACTCCGCCGTGAAAAGACTACAGAATCTTCTAGGGTTTTCCTTCGAATTCCCGAAAAGTCTTGCCGGCAGAAGTAGACCTCACGATCTACCTGAAATCCAGTTGATCTGCCTCATCGTTATATCTACCAAGTTACTTTTCCCCTTCGACGACCTTAAGAGATACCCTACCTCGGCAAAAGAACCCACTACGCAAGTCATCGATTGGAAGCTCTGGGCCCAGGCCCAGAGACATTTCGATAGCCGAGAAACCGCAAGGGGCAGAATTGGCAAAGGTAATGAAATCTTAGTGAATGAGCGTGATGTATTCAACATGACACCGAATCAATTGGATGAGTACCTGGATTGGTACGAGAACAACTGGCTCGACAATAGCAAAGGTATGGCGGCATCGAGACAAATTGTTTTATTTGTGTCTCTAACGATTGAGAGAAGCGTCAAATCCATTAAGCGATCTATTTCCTCTTGGGCCAACCGGCACGGACTCTCAAGAAGTAGCAGGTCCTCCGGACGAAGATGACGAGGAAGCTATAGGCTCAATGCTACGAACAGTTACACAACAAATGAAGTCGCGGAAAGTTATCGCTGAGGATGACTTGGATATCCCTCGACCGGGGTCAATGTATGTGCGGTATAAAATGGAGTCAGACTTGCCCGAGAATGCGCGGCCTTTCTACGAAACGGCAGCAAAGGTGGTTGGAGTGTCTTTATCTACCCTCGTCCGAGCCGTCTCCCAAGCAGAATACAAGATTATGCGATGGCTGGAAGACCAGAGACGCATTGAGCTTTATGGAGATGCTTCGGGCATGGAGTTTGCGAAATTCGATAGCTCTGATGATATGGGTGAACAGGATATGACCGATTCGGATGACAGTTCTTGATATTAAGACTTTCATATGGGGTACTGCCTCCCTGTCACATCTATCGTTCGAGACTATGAATGTCAATAAAAGTATAACTAGCAGAACACCTTACGGTCGCGTGACAAGTCCTGATAACCGGTCAAGGGAGCGCTTTAATCTACTCAAACAAGTCATTATCCTTGTGGTACATGATTAGCCCATGAAGGACACCTGCAATACGACGTTGGGGTAAGCATTATAGCCCGAAGTACTACAGGGAATCCGAAGCGATTCGCCTCTGACGGTCTGACAAACTACCATGATTGCTCCATCATCGAATCACATGTCGAAACGCATTATGCTTATTGTCATGCTTACTGATTTTTCGCGCTAGCAATGAACCAGTTCCTGTACTGTGAAGAGACATGCAGATACGAGCTGCAGAAGAGAATCTAGCCATCCGGGGGTGTTTCGCAAGGAGCATTAATCTACACTCAGAGAAAATGGTCCCTCGGATGGAAGTCATACGATGTGAACAAAGTACCAAGAACGGGGTATAAAAAGATGAACATGGCTTTGGTCTGGGAAACACAACTCGCAGCATTGACAGTGAAAAAAATGGCGACCTTCAAACGATGCAAACTTCTTTCTTCCCTCTACATTCTTCTCCCTTTTGCTATTCTCGCAAACCCAGCTCATGCGGCTCCTTATCAGACTCGCATTCTTGAGACCGGCAGTACCTTCAGTGCTCCGGATCCACATGGCCCATGGCAAATGATTCCCAGCAATCCTACCGAAGACCTGGCCTGCATCAAAACCACCAATACCGGAACCGGGAGGGTAGAGGTTCATATTGCGTCGGGTTCATCCGGATTCAGGACTCGCACCCTTGAAGTCGGAACAACGTTTGTCTCTGAGGATAATGGAACTTGGCAACTGATTGATGCAGACGGTGACGGCAGCCCTGATCTTGTTTACATTAAGACCAGGAATACCGGGACCGGTAGGGTGGAGGTACACATTGCGTCCGCGTCATCCAACTATCAGACACGGATTCTGGAAACGGGAACCACGTTCTATCCGGAGGATAATGGGGTTTGGCAAATGGCGGACTTCGACCATGATGGAAAGCTGGATCTAGTTTATATTAAGACCCGTAACACGGGCACAGGGAAGGTCGAGGTGCACGTGGCATCTGGAGCCTCAAACTACCAGAGGCGAATCCAAGAGGTCGGGACGACATTTTACCCCGAAGATAATGGCGTCTGGCAGATGGTCGACTTCGATCGCGATGGAAAATTGGATCTGGCTTACATCAAGACTCAGAACACGGGAACTGGAAATGTTGAGGTGCATGTTGCGTCTGGCTCGTCCACTTACAACATTCGCGTTCAGGAGGTTGGAACGACCTTCTACCCGGAGAACAACGGGTTCTGGGAATTGAGTGATTTCAACCATGATGGTGTCCTTGATCTAGTGTATATCAAGACGCAGAACACCGGAACTGGAAGCATTGAAGTCCATGTGGCGTCAGGCAAGTCGTAACCCACGGCTGACGGCGAGATTTGACGATGATGTTGAATGTCTCGAATAACTTAGTATAATCAACCATCAATGGTGTCATTTAATGGGGATTTTCTTTGACATCATACAACTCACTAGTAGTGGTATCGTCTTTCTTATTTGGCCCAGGTAGCTGATGTTTCTGTTACAATTTCTGGGATTCCCGACGTACGATGGAATGAACCAGCCATAATCTCAGTACACGGTTTCTTTTGATTAGGTTCACTATCGTGGATTGTAAGGTCAATGTTCAACTACCAGAGGAACTGTTGTTGAAAGTTGACAGGCGGCGCCCCACTCCAAAAGCTGGGTTCCTGCGGCGTGATACTGAGCCCTTCGAGGGTTTCTGACTGAGCCCGTACGGCATGGCGCCTCGTCTGAGGCCCTACATCACTCTGGATGGGTCGAATTGCTTTCGGAAGGGGTGGCTTTCCAGGTCCTCTGCTGGAATTGGGGGGTAACGGGCTTGTAGTCTTAGGGGAAAGTGGTACGCCGTTATTTTCACCTCGTTTGGTGTTCAATTCAGTCTGGGATAGGTCCGAAGATGGGTATTCAGATGGCTCGCGTTGATTGTTTGGCTCAAGGATCGTCTCTTCAGCAAACTCGGCTCCTGATAATTGCAGACTGGTATTATTATCAGAGATGCTAGGCGTTGAAGGTTCTAACCCTTGGTCTAGACAATCATATTGCCATTCCCGGACATTGTGGGGAGTATCCAGAGGAAATCTTTTCCAGTACTCCGCGCCTCTTCTCCCTAGACGGGGCACTGGGGGGTATAACAAGTGACCGTTGCTGTTTCTCGTTCTATCCTGCTGGCCTTGAGCGATACTGGCGGACAGTTGAGCGTCCGAGATCTGGGCGAGCACTTTGAGCAAGACGTTCTCTGTTTCATGCAACCGGTGCTCTAAGGATTCGATATAGCCTTTTGCAGGACCACTGTAGGCGCATGAGATAACTGCAGTCCAAATCCTAGATCGAGTATCACACGAACCGTTTAAGCTGCTCAGGCCAGTCACATATCCGATTGTGCTGAAGACATTGGGTACACACTGGCCTTGAGATCAACCTATTAGTCACAATTGCGGTTCATATCAATTATGGCTAAGACTTAAGCCTCACTTTTTGCCGCTACACTACATATCCATTAGCTCTATGGTCCATGGAAAAGTTTGAACTTCATACGCTTCTCACTTTCTGCTTTCGAAACCGACAGGCGTTACAAGCAATTGTAATACGGGACACTTTCGTTGCTTTCGTTGAGGGGGCCATCTCACAACAATTTCCAGATTCTGTTAAGTATTTGAGGTGCAGTAGTTTAATGCAAGAAAGTAAGGCGATGGCTAATTGGGGACGTGGCTTGAGAATGATACGGTGCATACAAGAAGGAAGTTTATTCTGCCTGGTGTTCGAGTGGGGAGAAAGAACGACTGCGGTAGAAGGTTTACCCGACTGGAAGACCCCAACCTGGGAGCGCAAATTGCAACAAATATTGGATTATCATCTACTCTGCTGGGTTAATCCTATAGTTTCGTCGTGTCATGTTTCTGTCTCCGAAAACACGCTTGGTTCCTGGTCCTGGCCCATTTCCTCTTCATATTGAATGAGTGTATCTCTCGCTCTCACCGTATCAGGATGCTTGGGACCGAGCTGCTTCTCACGGAGTCGGACACACTCAGCCAGGGATCGAATGGAATCGCTGTGTCTGCCCGTTTGTCTCCAAATATGAGCGAGGTTCAACATGCTGGTTATCGTGTCAAAATGCTCAGAGCCTAATGTTTTCTTCCGGCTTTCCAGTGTCTGGGTCATCAGCTCCTCTGCCTGATTCCATTTGGCCTGCTGGGAATATGTTAATGCCAGGTTATTCATACTGGTCAGAGTGAATGGATGTTCCCATCCAAGCATTTGTCCTTTGGCCTCAATGACTTCTGCCCCGAGCTCTTCTGCTTGCTGCCATTTCTCTTGGTACCAGTATGTCAATGCCAGGTTATTCATACCGGTCAGGGTTCTTGGATGTCTGGGGCCTAATGCTTTCTTCAGGACCTCAATCATTTGCTTCTCCAGCTCTTCCGCTAGTTTCAATCGGGTTTTTGCCCCCCAGGTTCTGAATAGGGTGGCTAAGCTATTCGTAGTAGACAAAGTAGTAGGATGCTCAGGGCCCAGCACCTTCTTCATTCTCTCCATCGTTTGCGTAAACAGCTCTTCGGCTTGTCTATATCGTCCTTGCATCATGTAAACTGATGCCAGTCCGGAGGTACTGGTCAGAGTCGAGGGGTGTTCAGAACCTAGCGCTCTGTTCTGACTGTCCAGTACCTTCACAATGAGCCCTTCTGCTTGTGTAAAGTGTCCTTGCTGCCGGTCTATCGCTGCTAGGCCAGTCATAGTGGTCAGGGTATCAGGGTGGTCTGGACCCAGTATCTGGTTTCTGGTCTCTAACACATGAATATTGAGCGCCTTCGCTTCGGTGTATCGACCTTGGCCAAAGTATGCTGATGCTAATTTGCTCATGCTGGTCAGAGTTGAAAGGTGTGCTTCCCCATTTTGCTTCTGCCGTATGTCCCTGACGTCGCAGAGCAGCGCTTCTGCCTCATTGTATCTTCCGTCACTGACCAGACAGTCCCCAACAGTTTCAAGCAAGTCTATGTATTGTTCTTGCTGATCTTTAAATTCATCCTCTTCTAACAAAGCCAATGCGTGGGGTAAATATGCCCTCCAAAGAATCCGGTTTGTGTGGTTGTTATCCGGGAAAATGTCTCTTAGCCTGTCTGCTGTTTTGCAGATAAACCTCATGAATTGCTGGTTTCTCCTCATCCAGTTGCGAGTCGCTAGATGTACAAGTCGATGAAGGTTAAGAGGGCTATCCTTGGCTTGGTCAGAAATAAATGAATAAGCACTGAGAAGCCCTAAAGCCTTCACCATCTTTAACTTGGACTTGGCTGGTGGCAAGAGGGACTGTGGTATATTTCGTGGGTTGACGCAAGCCATGAACGAGAGATACTCAGCAGCCAGTTGATCGATCTGCTGGATTTGCTGAAATGAAACTAACCAGGTAGTTGCTACCGGGTTGGGGACATCCTGATAACGCCCTTCTGTCTCAAAATCCTCACTTAAGAGCTCCACCACCTCTGGTTCCTGCTCCTGTAGCAGAGTTAGATAGTCTTCGAGGCTGATGCTGTTTTCCTTGATGAATGCCGCTGCTTGCATGATTGCTAAGGGCAGGAAGGTCAGCTGGCTCAAAAGGGCCACGGCGGTTTCGTGGTCTTTGGACAAGTCTTCCCCAGGCAGTGCCGTTTCCAGCATCTTAACACCAGTTTCCTCATCTACCTCGGGGATCGAGATCTCACGGGAGGCCAGCTTTACCGCCAGCTTTTTATTACGAGTAGTAAAGATGATCCGACCTTGGTCGGTTTGAGGTATCAGGTCCTTAAGTGCTGGAGCACCGTTGCTCCCCTTGGTCCACATATCCATGTCATCTGCGTTGTCAAAGATAAGCAGCCACTTCAGATCGTCCTTATGACGAAGATATGCCATGACTTGCTCTTTTGCTTCTGCTGGTTTAACGTCTTGCATCCCAAGTATCTGGGCGATGTCCATGTAAGTCTGCTCAATGATCTCAGGGCTAGTACATGGGATCCAGAAAACTGAGCACTCAGCATCTCTTTCTCGAACACGATAAGCTAGCTCCAGTGCAACGTGGGTCTTTCCAACCCCTCCCAATCCGCTAATCGCGATCTTGCTTGGGCCTTGCCTTTCTATCATCAATCTTTCTAGCTCCGCAATCTCATTCTGACGGCCAACAAATTGGAAATTTCTGCCAAAAGGAACCATCCAGTGAGGACTTTTTAGCTTAGTACCTATACTTCACTACACTTAGCTGGGTGTCCAGGCGCGGATCAAGCATCGTTGACTGACCTTCGTTGGAGGCAGGATTCCAAAGCCGCAAGAAAGCTTTTGCGCTTGCTGCGCCAGTTGCTGCGGCATATGCTTGCCACCTTTTATCCTTGTGGCTATCTGCATAGTCACATACGCCCTTGATAATGATGCATGGCAATGCATCCCATACCCCTGCTCCTTCCATGTCGAAGCCAGCGACGCTATCATCATTTGCCAGCCTGTCACGATGCTCTCCAGACTTCATGACCATGTCACCAGAGGCAATAGTTCCAATGTGAACTGATGGCGTGGTTGTATGCATATCAGGTCGGCGACGGATAATGCCCTTCTCGTCACACCCTAAGCTGTCGCAACTACTCCTTTGAGCCTCCTGACATATCTGACCAGGGGTCCCAGTGTTGAAACATAAGCATTCCACGGAAGCAGCCTGCCGATGATGCTTGTGATGATTAGAAGCCCCAAATAGCACATCGCACGTATTGCCTGGATATTTCCAAATTGGCCGTGATTGTTCCAGTCCCTCGAGATGCTGGATAATGTCATTCTGGAGGTTGTTGCGTGCCCGGTGGGTTTCCAATAGATTCTGCAGACCTCGGATCTCTTGATTTGGCCTTCCTAATGTCTGTGTGACGCCTTGCCTTCGCTGAATCCCGTCTGGGTATTGTCGACCATAATCATATTGGACCACCGCATTGCTGATAATGACATCGCCTAAAAAAATGGGAGTCTCGCTGGACGGCAGCACAGGAACTCCCCCACAGATACCAACGACCAACGCGAGACGGACTTCAGTGTAGCTGGACTTCATATGAGCCGCCACGCTCGAAGCACTTACCTTTCCCATTCCGGGCATATGGCACAGGACAACATTGTGTGTCCATATTTTTCCCACTGTATAGGAGTTTGTGTCACTGGGGTGTTTGCCGTACTGGTGGTCATAGATTTCATCGAACAGCTCGGTAACGGCATCCGCCTCTATTGGAAGTGCGCAGAAAATGGCGATGTTAAATCCGCGGCGGTCCTTTGGGCGCATTTTGATGTATTTTTCTTTTCTCTTTTTTTTTAAAAAAAAAAAAGAAAGAAAGAAAGAAGGAAAGAAAGAAAGAGGTATGAGTTGAGGGGACACTCAAGATCCGGCGCGTCCGGTTGAAATGCGAAATGGCTGATCACCATAGCCGCTTGGGGTGGGGAAATAGCGTGGTATAAGAAGAAGCGGTTTATAATGCCTGCATCGGAGGCGCCAGCTAGTCACTGGCCCAGCTCGACGATCAATTTGTCCGGAGGGGCAAGTACTAGTCAGACACTAACGCTGCAAGGATGTGTCGTGCTCATCCCTCGCCCACTGGACATTCATGGTGGGGGTGATATTCCCGATGCCACGGTGGCGAGCATGCAGAGTACAGATTCATACCGTATCATGGGATTCCCTGGTCAAACTTGATATAATGCCTTTATCTTCCAGCGCCCAGTTGCACAAGACTCAGTGGCGTGTGGGCCTCACGAATGCTGAGGACAGCTCCAGGAACTCCGTTTGCTGCCAACCTCCCTGCATAAGTAACACAGCCTGCAGGCCAATACACTTATCCGGGAGCAAATATCGAGAGTCCATACGTGGTAACGCCATCTACTGTACTGAAATTCGAAATCATCCCTACTATTATGGCACTTTGGAGCTAGGACGAATAGTTTGTTCTCTGATGCCCCATGTCCGGATGTGAATGTATATCGACCATAAGCTTCAAGTAGGATAGCAGAGACCAAGTCACTCTTGTACAGTACAGAGCATGGGTAGTATGAACTTCTTCCTCTTCAATGCTTCCATCTTGAAAGGAACCGTCTGATACCCCCTGTCTGGAAAGCCACAGAGGTATAGATTAGACATCGGACAGCCATACGTGAGATCGTATTATCCTAGGAGCGATAATTTGATAAATGCGTCTATGTGTGTCCAGCACATACATACATACATATCGGTAGTCCAAGTGCGGGAGATGCCATTCATCTGCAGTTCGCCTTTGGAATTATTAAAGAAGTGAATCCTTTGGAACCGCCGAGGACTGTCTACACAAAACTAAAGCATTGTATAATTGATAACAGGCTTGCAGGTCTACCTAGTCACATTCACGGTGTGTAGTGTCGATCTACTTGAGCATAGCTCTTGTGCTAGCAAGCCCTAACACATACAATGCCGGAGAAGGGCCAAAGCTTCGAATCGTGTTGGATGCCGGATCTGAAGAAACCCACTCTTGGTCTGAATAGCCAACCAGCCCTACGCAGACAGACTCTGGAAACGGCACTGAATAGTCGAACGCACAGTACTAGTTGCTGTCGGTCCTCACGGCCCAGGCTCATCAGGTGAACGGGATCCTATACGGGTCGTAAAGAGGGTCCACTGCTAACTCAGGTACCCCTTCTAGTAACAATCCGCCCGTCTTTGGCAATCGCCACTAAGGACTTCTGTACACGATCCAAGACTGTGATGTCTTCGAGGGGGGTTAGCATTGAGAATCAAAAAGTCCGCAATCGCCCCCGCCTTAATACAGCCCAATTTCCACTTCATACCCACCAATTTAGCAGCGTTAATAGCCGCCGACTGAAGAATCTCGAGCGGACTGAGCACAGCCGATTGGATACTAAATTCACGGTTCTGTAACGTGTAGAGGTCTGCCAGAAGATCAGAGCCGTAGCACATAGTTATGCCCGCGTCGCGCAGAATTGATGTCCCCGCAAAGGGAGAGGGGGTAGGGCTTCGCTTCATGTGGCTAGACATTGAGAAGGACTGGCAAGTCTGATATACTTGGTATTATAATCTTCATCGTTAACTAGGTACGGGGACCTTTATATTTCATCATCTATCATGGCCAGTAGCAGACTATGCAGAGCTAACAGAGCGCTAGGATTCGTTCAGACATTCAGCAATCGAGTGTGCCACATATTCAACATTCGACGGATTAAGTCCAGCGATGGAAACCCGAGAGTTGCTCGCCATATAGATGTGATACTTGTCTGTGAAGAAGCGATTAGAATGGCCATATGAAGACTGATGGCAGAAGTAGACTCACCCTTGAGCTTCTGGACGACCGCCGGTGAGAGTCCTAAGAATCCAAACATTCCAGATTGGCGAATCAGATGCTCCCATGTGCCAGGGGCCCCTATAGCCGTATCAGCAGGAGGATACGCACTCTTCCGGGGAGAGAAACTTACCAGATTTGATCAGTCCATCATACAACGCTCGTCTCATGGAGCGTATACGTCCGCTCATCGTGATCAAGTCTGCATACCACATCTCTTTTAAGGCATCGTCGCTCAAAATCGTACTGGCTATCTTCGCTCCATAGGCTGGAGGATTTGACACTTCGGAGCGCTGTAGCATCTCAAGAACGGACTGCGTGTTTGTCGCGGCCTTTTCCGTTCCGGCTGCGAAGAAAAGGCAGCCCACCCGCTCACCTATAATTATGGTGTTAGCGAAGCACGCGGTCATAGTTCGATCCACCCTGGGGAGGTGTCATTTTCTCTTACCGTAGAGTCCCATGTTCTTCGCAAAGGAAAGACAGCCACCAGCTTCCATTTCCAGTTCGTCTATAAAATAACGCATGGCAAACGCGTCATCGTCGACATTTCCCGAGTTGAAGCCTAGATATGCGGCATCAAATAGAGGGAACAATTTCCTTTCTTTCATTATCGCACCAATCTGCTTCCATTGCTCTTTGCTGGGGTCGCAACCGGTAGGGTTGTGAGCACAGGCGTGGATAATAACAACGGAGTTCGGCTCCGCGGCTCTCAGCGCAGAGTAATACGCTTCTATATCAATCTCTCTCTTCTCTGCATCATAGTACTGGAATGTTTCGCACTGGAATCCCAGTGACGAGAAGACTTGGCTGTGGTTGGACCAGGTTGGCGAAGGAATGTACACTTTTGGCAGCGGGCTGCGAACGCTTCTCAGAAGCAATCCTGCCAGATGCAGAGCACCCGTTCCTGAGAGACTTTGGCAGATGGCCAGCTGGTTATTTATCAGCAATTTGTCATATATAGTGGGAAATCAAATTTGCAAGGGATGATTAGAAAACACACCTGGGACTGTTTCTTGTCATATATTTCCGGTCCTAAGGCCAATTTTGTGGCTTCATTGCGGAAGGTTTGGAGGCCAAGAATTGGTAGGTATTCGTGGAAGAGCCCCTGGGAAAGAAGAGTCTCGCGAGCCTTTTGCACCGAAGGCAGGACCCATGGCTGTCCATTCTCGTCGCGGTAGGTTCCCTGGCCCAGGTTGACCTTCTGGGGAAAGGTATCCGCATTGTACTCTGCCGTAAGAGCGAAGATCGCATCCGGGGGGATATATGATGCGGCGTCGAAAAATGAAGCAGAAACGTCCGTTTCGGCTGGGGCGGTCTGCGTCGCCATGTTGAGGTGCTTTCTTATTTTAAGCAACATCTTCGGAAACCAAATACAACCGTCGAGACGCTGGGGCAGTATTTCTCTCTGCGATTCAAGCGCGTTCAACGGCTTTTAAGTGACTCTCCCTCGGCGTCGAGACCCGAACTGTCGGCTCCGCATCCGACTTGCCAGATCCATATAGATCGGGTGGAAATCCGATTTACGCATTTCTATCAATGGGTTTCCAGTCCATCTTTCTGTTATCTATCGGGTCTGACCCCGGTCACTGTCGCTCGGAATGCAGGGGTGATGGGACTGATCAGTTTGACTCTATGCACTGGACTAGGACTGCGGTCTACAAAATGAGCCGTTATCCTACTTCTCCAATCCTACCTTGCATAATCTCGGTTCGAGAACTATACATCGTTCAAGTGCAATGTCTTCGTTACAGCTTGTCATTGAAACGTATTCGGTCCTTACTATTGGAAGACACATAATATCCGGTCTCGTACTCCAGTCAACAGGGGCTTGCTTTCAAGCTAGATCCGTCGGCTCCTTCCATTAAGGACCCTGACTCTCATCCTAATCCACATATCAGCTCCCAGTTATCCATAGAGTATCCCAGGGAGTTTCATACACAGGCATCAGAGTGTCCATCCGGGGCCCGTTGGCACACCGTACAAGGTCCAGAGTATTCGACGATGCCGTCCATCTCGCAGTAAAAGAGAGCCTTCTCGACGTTGGTGTCCCCGTCTGCAATCGCCAGCAGTTCGCTCTGTGTCCATCCTAGCAGAGCATGGTCAGCTTTGCAGACACAACATCAGGGGGATTGGCAACCAAACCCAACGAGACCAAGGTGGATCCGCAATAGTTCAGACCCTCTCTGCATCTTCCAGCTGCCAGGGCAGCCGGGAGACCAGTGAACAGTGCAAGCAAGGGAAGAGTCGCTCTCATGATGAAAGATAGATTCGTGAGTGAGTTAAGGGTTTTACGGATAATGCTGTAGTGACGAGCTTGTCAATGGTTCTGCCCAAGCGGGATGTGTTGGGCTTTTTTATACTGCCTGGGTATGGAACTGGGACATGAACCAGCGTCACACACACCTACTCACACAAATGATTTCCGCATTGTCGACGTGAGATGTTTGCCCCTAAATCAAGCTCGGAAAATGTGTAATTCGACAAGCTAGAACCTTGGAGGTGCAGTATGACAGTGTGTATGACATGTAACTGTATCACCGAAGGTAGATTTCCCCGATGGAATGGGGCACATAGCCACACGCAGCATCAGAGGGATACATTCATATTCAGTCAGCACAGCATGTCCATAACTTGGGGCGTACAGCAGATCTTGGATCCACAGCCAGGTCGTACATATCAAAGCATCCAGCAGAAAAGACAGTATCCAATGCGTACATTAATTTCCAATTACGCTTGGGGCAACACAAGCATAGATTGCACATTGAATGAAACATCCCACACGGTTGATTGCAATACTACCAAGCGCATACATGTAGCCCAGATCTGTGCGCATATGAAGGCGTCCATGGAACGTGGAACAAACTGTGGCCACAAAGCCCTTGTCATTCCGCTCTTCATCTACTCGCTTACTAGAGAGGCTAATAGGACACTATCTCGGTACCTGATCGAGTTGTGGAATGAGTATAGTACGTGGGGGCATCTTCAGCGCCGGCTTCCCGCAGCGGGTGAACCTTCAGCCAGAACACCACCGACGAAGTATGCTTGGCTTCATCCACGTCATAGAGATAGAGGATACAACATTATTTATAGTAGATGCAGGGTCTCTGACCTGACCAGTTTCTACTAGATCTCTAGAATCACGCATATCATACACAAAATGGCCGCTCAGAAACCTACCTACCGCATCGCGTCCATTCCGGGCGACGGGATAGGTATCGAAGTCGTCGACGCTGCCATCCAGGTGGTAGAAAAGCTCGCCAAGACTCTTGGAACATTCGATATCGATTTCACACACATTCCATGGGGAACTGCATACTACAAGGAACACGGCCGATATGTGTCAGAGGATTGTTTAGACACGCTGCGCAAGTTCGACGCCGGGCTGTTTGGTGCCGTCGGTGCCCCAGGTCAGTTACTAGATCAACCCGGCTGAGACGTTGCACTCGCATCCGCATGCTTACACGCGACACAGATGTTCCGGACCACATCTCCCTTTGGGGCCTCTTACTAGCACTTCGTGGGCCGCTGCAGCTATATGCTAATGTCCGCCCCGTCCGCACATTCCCGGGCAGCAAATGCCCGCTCAACACCGCGACAGAGGGCATTGACTGGATGCTTGTGCGCGAAAACTCCGAAGGAGAGTACTCCGGTCAGGGCGGACGCAGTCATGTCGGTCAACCGTGGGAAGCGGCGACGGAGGTGGCCATGTTTACCCGTGTCGGAATCGAGAGGATTATGCGCTTTGCCTTTGAAGTCGCTCAATCCAGGCCCCGCAAGCTACTGACTGTGGTGACGAAGAGTAACTCCATGCGGAATGGTATGGTGCTCTGGGACCAGGTTGCGGCGGAAGTCGCTAAGGATTTCCCCGACGTGACGTGGGACAAGATGCTGGTGGATGCAATGACGGTCCGCATGGTGGCGAAGCCCCAATCTATCGACACCATCGTGGGAACGAATCTACACATGGACATTCTGTCCGACTTGGCGGCGGCGTTGGCTGGATCTATCGGTGTGGCTCCTTCCAGTAACCTGGATCCAACCCGGAAGAATCCCTCTATCTTTGAGCCCGTACACGGGAGTGCGTTCGATATCACTGGAAAGGGTGTGGCCAACCCCGTGGCCACTTTCTGGTCCGCGGCGGAGATGCTGTCCTGGTTGGGTGAAAAGGAGGCGGCGAAGAAGCTCATGAATTGCGTGGAAAGGGTATGCGCTGCTGGTATTCTCACGCCGGATCTTGGAGGCACGTCGAATACGCAAGGAGTGGTAGATGCTGTGAAGAAAGAGATTGAGCGCTTGGGATAGTTAATGCAGCCGGCGGGTGTCCTGCCTGTTGCCTTTCGTTCTATTTAGGGTACACCACCTCATAGCAGTGTCTTCCATATACATTCCGTCCTTGCAATTTCTCATTACCTCAAACAGCGGAACAAAATAAATGTTAGGAGCCATTCAAAAGAACGAGCCAACAGCGAATAGAGTATAACTCCGTCCTCCGCATATAATTAATTCTTGTACGGACAGTTGTGCACACGACATTGGGAGGGGCTGACTCAGCGAGGTGTTGTTCATAAAATCAACACTAAACCAGGATTCGAGTCATGGAGTCTGACACTCACCCTTAACGGGGTTTCTCAATGCAAAGATCCCAATAGGCACATATTCTCTCGGGATATCGTTGTAGCCCTGGTGCTCATTATCCAACGACTGGCAAAGCACCATGTTTTGGCCAGAATGGAGTCCACGGATCTCACGTCTGGCCCGTCAGAAATCGGTTCCTTGACGGCACAATCCAACGAAGAGAGCCAATTTGTCGGTAGTTCTAGCGGTGTTTACTTTATTAATACGGTCCGGCAGGCCTTTTCAAGAAACTTGGATTCGTTAGATGCATCTTCCGGACAGGAATTTCCGCTGCCAGAGGACACCCTCGTTGGCAGCGATGGCTCGCACCATGACAGGCGCTCTGCCCCATCCTCTGTCAAAGCATCACCGATGCCCGGGGGCGAGCAACCTTTTTGTCAATGGGAATATGACCCTGCAATGGCGGCTATACTGGGTCAAGCCCCGCCGCTAGACACCGCAAGAGAACTCATGATGGTATATTTCAAAGTTTGGCACCCATTGTTTCCCTTTCTGCATGGACCAACCTTCCTGCAAGCAATGGAACTGCTCTATTCCGATCACCGCAAAAGCCATTCTATTCCACCATCGCCAGATCACCGAAATACTTGCTGGACGGTGATCTTCCAGTGCGTGTTCAATTTAGCTAGCCATTTGAGACCTGATTTGCCTCTTCCGTCAGAGTCTCGAATTGAATCACCGAGCAATATGCAGTCATTACTCAGTTCTCTGACCTTCAGAAATGATCTCTCGTCTTTGCAGGCACTACTGGCATCTCAACTATATTTGGTAACCAAAATGTCGCTTCGAACGGCATCCACAGTGGGCGGCTGCATGCTACGATCGATGATGCATGCCGGTCTCCACCGCTGTCCATTCCGATATAGGGAGCTTTCATCGCATGATCGGCAGCTACGCAAGAGGATATTTTGGTGTGCGTACGCTATAGACCGGTATCTAAGCCAGGCTCTTGGTCTCCCTCTTGGCATACAAGATTCCGATATCGACGTCTGCGCCCCAGGGGCCGACGAAATCCATTCCCCTGGATCACATAGAGCACACGGCCTTCGAATGGGCCTGTCTACTTTCAACCTCGATGATAGAGCATCTTATGCGCCCGAGAGCAGTGCTGATGCAATACAACTACCAGCTGAGCAATCTGTTGGCCATGAATCTCACCGCAATACGCCGAGTGACTCCGAGCCGCTCCAAAACAGAAGAGAAATCGCCTTCGCAAGCTATGTTGAATCCGGCAAACTCACAGGGAGAGCACTGGAACTCTTCCACAAATCCATCCTCGTCCGCTCCATCCGCCGCAGCTCGGTCCTCTTCTTGATCACCGACGTCCACAAATGGTGGAATAGTCTCTCAGTTGATCTCCAAACCCTAAGACCCCCAACCGATCAAGGCACCATGGCCGATACACCATTCAACTTCGGACCCTTCTTCACCGTCCTCTACCAACACCTCATTCTCCTCATCAACCGGCCATCTCTCTCCCTAAGCCCCTCCACCCCCGAATTCTGCTCTGGCCTACAAACCTGTATCGGAGCCGCACGGGAAATCCTCACCGCACTCAAAGCCCAAGTAGATGCAAAGCAGGCGTTATTCTGGCCCGGATTCCTATCCGCGGCGTGGATGTCAGGTCTTGTACTCGCCTTCGCCTGTCAACTTCGACAATACGTCTTATCTAAAGGATTACAGTACGTAACCCCCCCTCTCCAACCCCCATCTCAACCCAAAACTAAGCCAATCCAAAACAGAGAAATCTCCAAATGCCTCGACTTCCTCCAACTTATGTCTTCGCAGTGGGAAACCGCCAAAAACTGCCACCGAGCATTAACCCTCCTATCCCGAAACATCCAACGCTCAAGCACAGCCCCAAGCCTACACAGACCCGAGGACAGTAGCGATCTCGACACCCGCAAGAAACGCCGCCTGAACTCCCATCCTGTAACGAGGCATTCTCGATTAGGGTCTTCAAATTTCGAGACAACCCATGATGGAACGGTGCATCCTAGCGACAAGGACGATGATACTAATGACCCCTGTTTGAGCGCCTCAAATATATCGTACTCCAATGATGTACAAGTGTCGGATAATCCACCTGGTTTGGTACAGGGTGGGAATAGGTCATTGTTGTCTCCTAATACGGTGCAAAGTCCGGAGGACCGGCTTTTCTTTCCGGAGAGTAGTTCGATGATGGATTTCGATCTGAATATGGTCGATCTGTTGCAGGGGGCGAACTTGGATGATTTGTTTGATATGTTTGGGCAGCAGTATCCGAGTTTTTGAACGGCATGGCGATTGTGTATAAATACTGTACTGTACAGGCGGTCTGGTTGATATGACGAGTTTTATGACTAACGATAGGAATCAATGGCCTGATCTATTTTCCTACGCTATCTCCTGTGACCATTACTACATCGACAGGGAGGAAGAATGGAGATATATACACGGCTACAGTGAAACGGAAGCGTATCCCGTGAGGAAGTCATAAGTCTATATTACACTCGTGTCAGACAGCCGGACGAGGTATGTAAGGTTAGGGAACAGGAAGAGCAAAGACATCACAACTTCCTCTTCGTGACATGAAAATTTGGAAAGTCATGGCATCCGAACAACTTTTCTCCGATCCCAATGTGGGGTGTTTTCCTTTGCTTTTCCCTTCTTCCAATGTGCGTTTGTACAGGATCACCAGAACACAACTACCGACACAAGGGAGTGGGCATAAGCATCGGGATCCGATAAACTGTGTCGCTCACTAGATACGGGCAGGTGACACCGCTAAACAAAGAACTTTTGGAAACCGAGGGATATCAGGACCAGCGGGGAATAGGAAATAATGAAAAATGGTAAGAGGAAATAAGAGAAGAGTATCGTTAATTCGAGAAAGGGGATAAGGGTAGGTCATCAAAAAAGAAAAAATAGAATAAGGTGAATCAAAACTTCCGTGTCGGGAGACCCAGTTCAAAACTCCGTCCGAATCCACCGTGGATATCACGCATTGAGACACAAAATTTACGACTTGTTCTCTTCGGTAGAGGTCTCCTTGGCAGCCTCCTTGGGCTTGCTGGCCTCTCCAGTCGCCTCGCTCTCGCCTCCCTTGTTCTTCATGTACTCATCATAAACGCTCAGGGCCTCGTCGACCTTGGCGCGCAGTGCCTCCTCATCCTCAAGTCTAGATTAATCAATATCAGCAATTTGCTCCGAAGCGTATGACGTTTGTGATCCAATGTGGCACTTACAAGCTAAGCAATTCGGTGTTCTCCATCTCTAGAAGCATACCAGTGATCTTGCCTGCCAACTCAGGCTGCTGAGCTTGAATCTTGGGGTAGAGGGCCTCACCCAGCATTTGCTTCTGCTGGGGAGGGGGCGCGGCAGAGAGAGCCTGGGCGGTGATACCACCGGCAACGGCCTCCTCGGGGCGTCCGGCAGGGGGCTGAGCGGCGTTCTGTCCTCGGCCACCTTGACCAGGACGCATCTGGCCTTGCTGAACGGGCACACCACCACGGCCTTGTCCGTAGCCAGGGCCACGCATACCCTGACCCATGTTGGGCATTCCTGGAACCTGGCCACGGCCACCAGCACCGCGTCCGAACTGCACCTGAGCCATGCCCTGAGGGTAGCCCATGCCATTAGGAATGCCGCCAGGGCCCTGCATGGCGCCCATGGGGATGCCCTGGAAGTTAGGAGGAAGCTGCTGGTTGGGACCCATGCCACGTCCACCCTGTTGACCAGGGAAAGGACCAGGATACTGACCGGGGCGTCCACCGGGGATACCGGCCATCACCATACCGGGCTGAGGAGGGAAGGCAATGCCACCACGCTGGCCAGGGATGAAGCCCTGCTGGCCAGGTCCGTAGAAAACAGCGGGCTGCATGTACTAGATCTGGCGTTAGTATGGAGTGCAAAGTTGGGACTACAAAGAAAACTTACGGGCTGGGGCATGCCAGCGGCAGCGGCAGCCTGCTGCTGTCTGATGGTGTTGCGAGCCTGGATGCTGGCCTCCAGCTGGCTTCTGCGGACGTCCTTGCGCTGAGCAAGAGCAACATAAAGAGGCTTGCCGTTGACCATTCTCTGGTTCATCTCAGTGACAGCCTTGGAGGCTTCATCGGGGCTGCTGAAGCAGACGAAACCAAAGCCCTTGCTCTTTCCAAGGCCCTTCTTATCGCTCTTCTTGGACTCCTTCTCTTCCTCCTCCTCCTCCTCCTCCTTCTTCTCATCACCAGACTCAGCGGGCTTCTCCTCAGCCTTCTCAGCCTTCTCAGCTTCTGGGGATTCCTTCTCATTCTCCTTGTTGGTTTCCTTGTTCTCCTTCTCCTTGTCGGACTCAGGGGTCTGAGTACGCTCAATGTTAGTGTCGCGCATGACCTTGGCAGAGGTGATGGTGCCGTAAGGTCCGAAGAGCTCGCGCAACTTCTCATCATCAACGTCGTCGGTGAGGTTCTTCACGTAAAGGTTCACACCCTGGTACTTGGAGGCCTTCTCTAAGCGGGCAGCCTCGTACTGCTTGCGCAGCTCCTCCTCACGCTCGTGCTTCTTCTGAGCACGGCCGACATAGAGCTTCTGGGTACGGATCTCCTTCTCATTCATCTCGTCAACGGCGGCCTGCGCGCTCTCGTGGGTAGAGAAGTTGACGAAACCGAAACCACGGCTCTTGCCCTCCTGGTCACGGCTGAGGGTGGCGGAGGTGATCTCACCGAACTTCTCGAAGAGCTCACGGAACTCCTCCTCGGTGACATCCTGGTCTACGTTCTTAATGTAGACGTTGGTGAAGTTAGCCTTCATCTCCTCGAACTTGCTCTGGCGGTCCTTCTTGGAGATGTGGTGGCCAACGAAGACCTTCTTGTCGTTCAGCAACATGCCGTTGACGTGTTTGATGGCGTTGTTAGCAGCCTCAGCAGTCTCGTAGTGGACGAATCCGTATCCCTTGGAGTTGCCAAACTCATCTTGGGCGACCTTGCAGCTGAGGATGTTACCGAAGGCAGCGAAGGTATCGTGAAGAGCCTTGTTGTCGATGGCACTATCCAGGTTCTTGATGAACACGTTGCCCTGGCCAGTCTTGCGCAGAGCGGGGTCACGCTGAGACCACATGATACGGCAGGGCTTACCCTTGATCAAAGTGTAGTTCAGATCTTCAAGAGCACGCTCACCGTCGGCGGTGTTGTTGTAGTTGACATAGGCATATCCCAGAGAGCGTCTGGTAACAGCGTCACGGCAGACACGGATGGAGGCAACCTGGCCGATGGAAGAGAAAAGCTCATAGAGCATAGCCTCAGTCACCGAGGGGTCGAGTTCACCGACATAGAGAGAGGCAGAGTGGGGCTGAGAAGCGTTAGGAGCAGTGGTGCTCTCAACAGCGGTGACCTCGGCAGCAGGAGCAGCAGGAGTGGTGCTGGTCTCGGGGGTGCTGATGACATTGCTGTCGGCAGCGGGGGTGGTAGAGGCGTCGGCAGACATTTTGATGATTTTCTTTTTAAGTTTTATTTCCTTTGAGCTACAGATGCAAGGATAAGATTAGTATGAGATAACCCTTATCGAAAGTGGGACAAATGATGAGTGGTAAAGGTAGGTGAACGTGTGTGCCCCTCCTCCAGTTTAGTGATTTGGTATCCCGTCACAATGCTCAACCAAACGCTGAACATGGATCCAGAGGGGTGAGTGCAAGAAAGCAAAAGCCACAGACGGAAGTGTGGGGGAGAATGAATGAGATGAGATGCTCTTGTTGTGTGAGAGGTCACACTATCGGCAAGACCAGCTGGGCATGGCAAGGAAATCAGAGGGAAAGACTGGGGTCAGCGCGATAGACGTACGACCTAAGTCAACAATCCACACAGGATCTGTAGTAAAAGGTAGGAGATGAAGAGGAATGGCGATGCGAAGTACGCGATCACGAGGGATGAAGAAAAGGCGGCAAAAGGGAATTCTTCCACACACCGCACAGTCCGAAGAAGTTGGGAAAATAAGTCGCCTCAAAGTATAGAAACCGGGACGATGTCTTTTTCTAGATTTTTCGGGTTTTTTTTGAATATTTTTTCTTCGACAATTTTCGAAAGAAAAGGGGAAGGATGTAGAAGAGGAATAAGAAGAAAAAAAGGATTGCTGGTTGAGGCAGCAGAAAGGGTTTTTTTTTGGAGGAAGAGAAGAAAAGAAAGAAAGAGAAAAAGCGGATGCAGTGAAAAGAAAGCGATGACCGCCTTCTCTCTTTTGTTTTTTTTTTTTCTTCTGGAAAAAAAGTCAAGAGGATTTTTCTTTTCTTCTCTTTGGCCCAAGACGATGCTAATCCCAAACAGGACTAGTGCTTGTTGCCGCTTCAAGAATCCAGGGCTATTCTGATTGTCAGTGTGTATTGTGCAGTGGCTCTCTTACCGGCAAATCACGAGATTGCAATCAAAGGCGCATAGGGCTTATCGCGATTGGCATTCCTTTCTCTCCCTCTTCATTGGATCCTGATGGTATGGAAACGCAACATTGGTCAACTATCACATTTTCAACAGTGCGTTATAACGTCCCAACATTTCAGTGAAAGAAAATAAAAAGGAAAACATTATTTCCCATAGTTCAACATATCTGTAGGATCCGTAATATTACTAAATGGACTTGGCCCTCAGTAGTTACTAGTCCTTGTCCAGAGACTCCGACAACTACAAATATGCGGGTGGAAAAGGTCCCATATACAAAGAGAAGCGAATAAAAAGAAAATGACAAGCATCAAGTTAATTGCGCCACAACGCCACAGCTATGCAACCAGTAACTATTCACTTTGTACGCAATGGATAACCTGTACGTCTATGTATGTGTGATCATATCCACCATCCCAGTTCTCTATAGCAATAACACAATTTGGCTCAACTAAGATCAAACCCGGCGCCAGAGTTGATGGCATAAAGAAGCTTTTCTCGTAGAGTGTCGGCGTTGTTATAACGAGGCAGCTTCAGAAGGTTCACGCAGGTACTTGTACTAGGAAGTCGCTCCTGATCCTCACTGGAATCACGAATGCTGAATCGTGGGTTCAGGTGACTAAATCCCAGTAGAGGAGCCCTAGGAGTGGACGTCACAAATCGTAGCACCTTCTGTCGCTCCTCGTTGGTCATCTTATGCATAACCTCCCAGAATAGCCGGATCGTCGGATGCTCTTCCCTATCGTCGCCAACGGTATACACTCCTCCGTATTGAGTGTTGCGCCTCAAATCCGATACGTCTATATCCCCTGATTCGCCACTAACCAAGGTCTGCAGTTCCGACTGGTTGAACATCGACAGCCACGAAGGCTGTATGATTTGTCCCAAGCCTTGGAGAAAGGCGTTCGTTTGCAAAGCGGGCTGTGCCTGTAGGCGGTACCGAGCAATATATGAGATATACACGAGCCGGTTCTGGTTTGTTACAGGTATATCTGACCCGTGGGGTTTGAGGTCCCGAGTAATCGTGCGACTTCTCCCGTTCGAAAGAGGTATGATATCAGTAACGGTGAAGTTCAAAGAAAAGTCTTCCACATCCCCTGGGTAGTTTTTCAATTGCAACTATAGAAAGGTTAGCTTGCAGATTGGAATGTTGTCTCTATCATCAACTATCGCTTACCAATCCCTGATATAGTCCCTGGTCGAGATCTTTAAGGTCATTCAGGTTGGCTCGATATGCTGTTTCCTTTTGTGCCGAGCCCGTGCCACCCGTCAAAGCCCATTTCAGCAGGAAAAACGGCGCAAAGTTCACATCAACCAAGATACCCTCGTAAAGACACTTTCCTATAACTCGCCCTAAGAACTCATACCGCCTGAGCAAATCGCGGATATTGTCATTCCAGTCTGGGCCGTTCTCAGCAAGCCCACCCTGTCTCAAGAGCTCCCGACGATGCTCAACCGCGGCTGGGTTCGGGTAGAGTAGATGTTGCTCGTTTTCTTCAAACAAGCTCAGGTCACTTATTGATTTGAAGGCCTCATTCGTGACGCTAGTTAGGAATTCCTTCGTCACACCACCGCCATCAATACCCGCTTCCGGAGTGTTGAACTTGTCAATAAATGTAATCTGAATAGGTTCTTTGAGGCCTTCGCCGAGTTCGTAGAACTGATCAAATGCATCTTTGAACACTCTCTCGCGCCGGATGTTCGCATGATGCCGGCCAAGGATATCCTGCACCGCGGGCCGCCCATCGATCATACGCCCCATCGAGACCTGGGCTACAGACATACGCCAGGCATCTGGGTCGATGAACCCTTGCCGTCTGCGCATCTGATCACGATAAATGAATTCTCGAAATATTTGTACTCGGGTGTGAAAAGGTATGAAGAACGGCATGTTTCTCAGGATTTCGAGTCTGGGAGCCACCGCCTCCAGTTGTTTCCTGCGAGCTGCTTGTTGTTGACGTCGTCTAAGAGCCTCGATTCGCCGGGTCTGTTGGGCACGTCCTGTACCAATTAATCCCAGTGACGGTTCATAATAAGCATCATTCATTAAATCATCTTGTTCGTTGCCCTCTTCCTCGTCCTGCAGTTGGTGTCTATTCTCTTCTTCCGCCACAACAGCGGGGATAAAACCTTCCATGTCAAAGCGGTTGGTCATCAGCCAGTGCCCGTCAGGGAGGAACTTGCGTCGTGAATCACGCTCATGAATCATCCTCAACAGACCGGTCACGAGGCCTTTGAAATAATCGAGAGGAATCCCCGTCACGCCAGATAGTCCCTTTTCCTTATTTTTCATTTCAAGATCCCGAACGCTTGAAATGGTATCAGATGGGGTAACAGAGGAGCTAAAATAACTCCGAATCCCTCCATTGTCATTAACAGTTTCATCTTCGTTCAAATCTGCCGAGTTCCAGTACAGAGTAAATGCCAGGTTTTTCAAGAATATTGTCATATCCTTGATGTCTTCCAGAGGAAGAGCGCTCTCCTTGGTCCATGAAACTCTCGTGTTTGAAGAAGCAGTAAAAGAAGATCCGCTAGAGAAAAACTCCTCATCATCCATAACTTTCAGGACAAACGTATACAGCTCAAGAAAGAGGAGAATAATCATCCACTCTTCGTCACGCTCTTTGGGTGACATGGTTGGTAGCCTAGCGTCATTCGTATCGCTGGCTGGTTTCAGTAAGGACAGTACCTTCGTTGAATCTTCGCTTATTGTATTAAATATGTTACTGGACCTGGATGCTTGCCAAAAATATTTGATAGCCGGTATTCTCGACCCAGGTTGGCCGGCCATTTGATCATCCGAGACAGCGGATCCCAAATACAACCACATTCGAATGTCATCGCCTCGCCGAGGAAACACCCTCAGAAGAGTGAGAGCGTATGTCGCAAGGATTTTCGCCTCCCGCGACGCATCAGATTGCAAATCTGCCAGGTCACGTTGAGACAAGTGACTAGATTGCAACTCAGAAAGCAATCCGGTTATACTTCCCTGGTTCACAAGACCGAATAACTGTTCCTTGATAAATGGATGCAGTTGTGCTCTTTCAGGTGAGTCGTCAAAGTCGGTGACCTCCCCGGATTCCAGACGCCGCGATATATGCACAGCAGTAGAGTTGAGTAGGTCCGATACAACCTTCACAAAACCAGACTCGGGTGCTTGGTATCCGGCCTGGCTTCCCAGAGCATACCTATGGAAGAATATAAAATACGAAAGCAGCCAGAGGCGAGCATCGACATCAACGGAGTTTTGAGGACTGTCTTTGAAATGCAACTGCGACGACTCGAACGCGGACGTCAGCAATTTATAATTAATATTGTTTGCAAGCCCATCCAATGTCCCTAGGTACGTTGGAAGATCTGGAACAGTCAAGTAACTCCTTGCAAACCATTCATAGGCAGTGAGCGTCTCGGCGGTTATCGGTCGAAGCAATGCTAAAACAGTTTGAACGAGGTTATCTCTCGATAAAAGACACCTTGAGGAGATTGCGTCTATATTTATCGTGAGAGAAGCCATTACGGAGTAATACTCTTGAGACAAGCGAGCCATTTGCTTCGGGATAAGGTCCGTCAAAAACATCAGTAACTCGAGAAGAGGCCACACAGCAATCGCCGGCACTGTCGGACCGATAGCTAAATGCAGCACACGTAAAGTCAACTTTGACAGCCGCTTCAGAGGCGTTGTCCACTCTCCTTCGGTCGCAATGGTGGGCACCTTGTGTAGGGTTTTTTGGAATGCCTTTGAAAAGTAGGCAAGTCGGAGGATATCACCACTGTTCCGCGGCTCCAGGAACTGTACCAACAGTCGTAACTGCGACAGGCACTCTGCTGCTGTAGCATAGTTAGGTGAGGTATGTACAGCATCATGGGATATTTCATCGAATGATAGGAGTAGTTGTGACCTCTGTTGCTCAGTGACATCCCACTCTGCTCGCCATGCATCACACGTTATCTTCCTACTTTGATAACCCCGCCATGTCCGCTGCACGATCCGGATCGCGCCCAACCGTTCTCTCTCTTGTTGCCTTAGTAGGCGCTCTTGCTGTGCAACTGCCAGAGTATTCTGGGGCCCTGTGCCATGAGGGTGTTGTCTTCCGGAAGGAAATGCGGCGAAAGGGTTCGTATTGCGACCTCCGAGATTAACCTGCCGCGGACGGCGAGAGTTACCCGTGAATGATTGGAACATACTCCGTTATTTTGCTCAGGCTTTGGGGATATTGAGGAGACCAGGTTCGCCAGATTGAAAAGTAGCTGCAAATTATGAGAAGCAAGATAAGAGAGCCCCCATATCGCAAATGGGCAAAGTTGGCTTGATCCGCAAAGATGGTGGAAGTCCGATGAGTTGTTGCGCTATGACATACTGGGGTACGCTTCTGAGAGAGCTTCCATGTATTGCCACGCACCATATGGCGGATAATCCATGTTGCCACGCACTCGAGCGCCACCAAAACTTCCATCCGCGGGATTTATAATGAATGGAATGAGTGAGAAGACCTACTTTGTTTGAGGCATTGTTACTATTTATAATTATTTCCCAGGTACCTCCCCTGTCTTATCGGTAATGGAGAAGGACTTCCTACTTTCCACAGCAGCTTAGGGCACTCTTAAGTCAGTTTATATTGAGTCCATGGTAGCAAACACCGCCGCAACGGCATTCATCAGATCATATAATTCATTTGGTATTCTGACAAAGTCTTTCTATATGACATGGCTGAATAAAGATAAATGAAGAGGCCGAGATGCAAAACCCAGAAATGCGCCCGCCAAAGAGTATAAAAATTCCAAGAGGTGTAGTGACGGTAGCCAGGAGACATTGCTTGCTTCCCTGTCACATGGTATCTTGTGAAAAAATGGGGTGGTTTTCCCTGAAAATAGCATGAGGCTATCCAAATCACCATACACCGCACATACAGTACAATATAATAATAATACAAAAGCGTTCAGACCAAGCGATGTAGGCGCGGGTAACAGTGATGCCTTATGTGGGTCAGTGGTATGCGCAAGCGAGAGGTTGAAGTGCGGTTGAGGATTTCTTCGCGCGGTCTCTTGCGATGGCCTGCCTTAGCTCCCACTGATATCTCCCTGATCCCTGGGTGAAATAGACTAGTGATGGGGTGTCTGTTGTTCGAGTCGCTCCTGCTCAAGTACCTCTTGGCCATTGTCCGAAGCCCACATGTCAAGGTAGTCCTTCCCGCCAAATGCTCGTTCAACTGTAATCAATTTGCTATCCTTCTCCATGTCCCTAGTGTATTTGGACTTTGTTGGGGCCATGCGTTGCGTAACGAATGGAGTAAGCTGTAGTCAAATGTCAACTATCCAGATCTAGGAAACAATCTCGTGAAAACGATCAAAGGACATACCTTAAATTCATCCAAGTTATCAGGAACAACAAAGGTTCGGACTTTTTTCCAGTCGATCACATACGAGCCGTTCTTCGCGAAGTAACCCATCGCGCCGGTGCGGTTTCCTTTATAGTAGCCACCATTGACCTGCTTGGTAGTCAAGCGCAGTCGCGCCATCATCGGTTGTGAAGGCTTGAACATTGTGGAGATGTTATGAGCAATTGGCCAGCAGAACCTACTGGATGGATTTGCGGATACGTGCAATGATGCCAATGTCGGAGTCGGAGGAAGGATTTGAAAGTCGGCGGCGCTAAGGCCAAGTTAGGTCCATTATCCGCCAAGAACCTGAACTTTTTTTGATCTGCGGATAAGAAAAAAAAAATATTCCAACTACCACACGCCACACTCTCATTTGTTGAGCAGTGCATACGAAGCTCTCAGGGCTATGGTTAAGATCGTGAATACATTCTTTCTACGATCTTGCCTCTTAATACTTATTTGAAGGTCCCGCAACAATGCCCCGCAAGCAGACTCAGTTGCGCGGTCCCCGAGATCAGTCATCTAAAAAGCAACCTCAAAAGAAAAAAACTAGCAAAGCTTTGAATGCTCTTGCTATCGCAGAGGCTCAATTTCCCATCAAACCAAAGATTCGACGAAACCGTTTAGGCGATGATGATGATTTATCCAAGCGGAAGCGGCATTCCGGCCGCGACATGGACGATTCAGACGGGCCCGATAACAAGCGTCGTCGGACAGGTGACGAGTCATCCGATCTGAGTGAAAACGGCGGCAGTGACGGGGAAGGCCATAAGTGGAGACTTGGGGAGGTCGATAGTGACGATGATAGCGAACTGGACAGTGATGAGGCCATGGGCTCCAGTGATGAGGAAAGATTTGAAGGCTTCAGTTTCCGGGGAAGTTCTTCAAATAAACCGAAGCGAAAGGGCCCCGAACCAAAGAAACGTGGTCGCCAGATTAACTTGTCCGAAGATGTGGAGGAATCTGAAGATGGCGAGATGGACGAAGATGAAGATGATCTTGGTGAAGATGCAGTGGATTTGATTACAGCTTGGGACATGAATGCAGCAGAAGAGGAAGAAGCAGAAAAGACAAAGTCCTCGAAGGCGAAGAGAGCAGCTGAGGAATTTGATGATAATGGTCACTCAGAGGAAAACGACTCCGAAAGCGACAACGATGATAGCAGTTTCGGTGATGAGAGCGAGTTGGAGCTCTCTGACAACGAAGATACTGGTAATGAGCACGGTCTTTCGAAACTGCAAGATTTTGTCAACTCTATGGAGACAGAGTCTGCTAAGAAGTCGACGCGCAAAACAAATGGCGGGCAGGAACATGGCAATCCAACGGAATTCGGATTGTCCTCTACACGGAAATTGACTGTGGCCGACCTTTTACCCTCCATTACAGACTCTCGCTTGAAGAGCTCCCTGAAACATGTTGATTCCACTATTTCTACGCACAAACCGTCCGGCGTTCCTGGAAAGCTAGATGCTCCTCTTGCAAAGCGCCAACAAGACCGGCTGGACCGAGCTGCCGCGTATGAGAAGAGCAAGGAAACCTTGGATCGCTGGCTAGAGACTGTCAAGGCCAATCGCAGGGCGGAACACCTTATGTTTCCCCTTCCCGATCCTGAAGGCAATCAGACGCACCGCTTAGGTGCCGCAGAGCCCCGAACGGATCTTGAAAGCACTATCCAAAATATCCTTGTCGAGAGTGGCTTAGCAGAAGCCAACGGCAAATCAGCTGAAGACCAGGTACAAGAGTTCGAGGAACTACAAGCGCGAAAACTGCCTATTGAGGAGATTCGGGCGCGTAGAGCAGAGTTGCGAAAACGACGTGACCTGCTTTTCCGAGAAGAAGTGCGAGCCAAACGAATCAAGAAAATCAAGAGCAAGTCATACCGTCGCGTGCATCGGAAAGAGCGAGAGAAGTTAGAGCAACAGGAAAGGCAGGCCCTTCTCGAAGCCGGTGTGGACATTGATGAACAAGAACGAGAGCAAAATGAGCGGCGCAGGGCAGAAGCGAGAATGGGCTCGAAACATAAGGACAGCAAATGGGCTAAGAGCCTCAAGCAGACGGGTCGGACTGCATGGGATGAGGAAGCCCGACTTGGCACAGCTGACTTGGCCTTGAAGGAGGAAGAGTTACGACGGCGAATCGAAGGAAAGCGTATATCGCATGGAGACGAAGACTATCTGGGTTCATCGAGTTCAGAATCTGAGGATGATGATGATCCTTGGAATGAAGAAAATAGCTCTGATGCGGAGAAGCGTAAACTTCGCGAGAAGCTCGAGAAGCTCGATCATGGCAGTGATGTCGAATCAGAAATGAAGGGTCCTCACGCCAAGCTGCTTTCGATGAAATTCATGCAGAACGCGGAGGCTGCACGCAAAGCGCAGAACGACGCTGAAATCCGACGTCTCAATCGTGAACTCCATGGAGAAGAATCCCAGTCAGAAGCCGAGTCCGAGGTTGGCCGACGTAAATTTGGTCATTCTAAGGATTCGAAGTCGGCCACGGAGAGCAAATCAAAACCACAGACTCGTAATGAGTTCGAAGAAGCCCCAGGATCAGATGATGAAGATGTTCGAGCTCCCGAGGTAGAACAGGATGTTGACATTATAGTCAATCAGCCCGACAAGAGAAAACCGACAGGATCAGATAAGAAGTCTCGCACACGTGGTGGTATATCTGGGTCCTTCGGCCAGAAGGAAGAAGCTGCTGAAGATGAAAATCCATGGTTGGTACAGACGAGTAGGAACAACCGTCGAACAACAGCGGATGATTCACAGCAGGGGCTTGACATCACTGTGGATGGAGGGAAACCTGATAACACAAAGTCCAAGTCCATACCCAAGAATCAGAAGGAGAAGCCGGTCATCCCTCTCAAAAAGCAACATATGGACGAGGGCGACGATAGTGATGACGACAAGGTGCCCGTGCTTCTCAAGAACCATGATCTCGTTAAGAGAGCATTTGCTGGGGATGAGGTTGTGCAAGACTTCGAACAAGAGAAACATGACACTATCAAGGAGGAAGATGACCAAGTGATTGATAATACCTTGCCAGGTTGGGGCAATTGGGCAGGTGATGGCATCAGTAAGAAGCAGCAGAAGCGACAGAAACGATTCCTCACCACTGTTGAAGGTGTAAAGCCTGAGAACAGAAAAGACGCCAAACTCTCCCGCGTCATAATCAACGAGAAACGGGTTAAGAAGGTAAGACAGCTCTTGTTGAGGCGATGTGTTATTACCGATCGATCATCAGATGCTAATATTTCACTTCTCCATCTAGAACACCAAATACCTGGCCACTCAGCTCCCTCACCCCTTCGAATCCAGAGAACAGTATGAGAGGTCTCTCCGTCTCCCGATTGGCCCCGAGTGGTCGACGAAGGAAACTTTGCAGAATGCAACCAAGCCTCGTGTGATGATCAAACAGGGCGTCATCAAGCCGATGGAGAAGCCTATGGTTTAATCGCCAACGTCGGCTGCGGGACGGTTGTTGGCGTACAGAGTGCAATTGGCCTTCGCTGACACCGTTGGCCTTCTATTCTACTTGTCATTTCTGTCTTCTGGTGTATGAATACTTAGACTGCAGGGCCTACATCACGATGCACTGTCATTTGATTAGATGACCGCCACAAAAAAGGAAAAGAGTCATGATTCCTATTTGGCTTGTATTTGGCGATTATAGTTTGAGTCTATGCTACCCCTATAGACATCCGGTGTATAGACCGCGATGACAACCGTTGTAGAGATCCTTGTGAAATTGCTTATACAATACACTTATAGTAGTAAGGTACCTACCTTTGAAAGGAGGCATCGAGCCCTATATCAATTCATAGTGGGACAAGTGATCGTGTCGGGTGAGCTCTTGCCTGCCTGAGGCGTCTGTCGTCCGTCAGGCGCCACGAGCGTCATCTGTACTTCGCCGCGTTACGCCTCGAGTTCTATGTAACATAACCCCGACACTTTAATTTTCACCCTGCAAGGAAATTGGTGGAGACCGGCCTTCGTGGTCGGCCACATGGACGGTCATGTCGATCAACTGCAAGATTTCGGAAATGTCACCGTATATCATTCACCCATCCATTGCCATCCCCGATTGGAATGCACCTCACGACACCCTTCATGGTCATCGTTCTTCATGGGGAAAGTCTGGTCTAGTACTGGACCCTGCAGACATTGTCAAGTACTAGTAGTATCTTCAGAGACTCACGTGTGTTTGCTGTCACAACCAAGAGTCTAGAGTATTTTAGTCGCCTAGCTTGCTCCACATCTGCTCCCGCTTCCTTCGGCAACATGCAAGATCATTCAATTCGACGCATCCCACCATCAAATAACTACGAGGGCGGACCATTGACTTGAAACCAATCAGGCGACCTATTCTATCATTTAGGTAAGTCATCTTTCCTGGATACATACCCGGGTGGGGAGAGAGGCGTGGCAGAACACGATAGTAGTTAGATCGGCGCATTCCATTGTTGACTCCTACATTGCTCTTCCTATTTGGGCTCCCACCAGGGTTATTTGTTTTCACCTCCTATACTGACATCCATGTAGATCGACATTCTCGTTACACGTCGCAGGCGACGCACTGCAGACAGCTGTGTCATCTGGTATCCCTTCACACGGTAACGGAGTTGTCTGCTCGGACTTGCCTACATTCTTGCAACGTGCGACTGGTATTTAGTTATATTCCTGGGGGTAAACCACATCTACATTGTGAGTGCTTTTAATCTCTTCATGCATGGCCTTCTCATTCTAGGACTTTCGTTACCTCTCTCACCGTTGTCGTTTTTTTTCTCTGCCACCACCCCTCAACATCACGAGTCTGGGCTGCTGTATACTTCGGATGACTTTTGTGAGCCCACACGGGCTTCATCATCAACTTTGGTAGTCACTACTGGGGCTACCGCTAAGTGCCTGTGACTGCATGTTGTCTTGGGGTCTTTGTATCCGTTGAACTTCTGTGGATACTTGGATCCTTTCGAGGGTTCATGCATCTGTAGCAAAGATACCCCGAACCCGAAAGTGGAAAAAGGACTTCGGGTCTATTCTTGTTTCCTTAGCAGCCATATCTGTTTTTGCCTGTCTTTTCTGTTTACCTGTTGTTGCATAAATAGTCACTTTGGTATATATTCATCGGGCTACGTCAGTTGTGGCGCATTCAAGATGCAGTCAAGATCTAGATGGCAGTCTGCGTTCATACTAACCGGGCTACTTGTTGCAGAAACGGTACATTCAGCCCCAACATCTACGCAGGAAGCGGCCACTTCCTTCAAAACTCAGTATCCTCCATCTGCTGCAAACGCCAGATTACTGGTGCCGGAGACGCAAGGTGTAAGCGCATATTAAACCGTTAGCGATGTACCTACTTACACTCAACAGTACTACCCAACCGTCCTTGAGCGAGAAGGCCATCAATTGCAGAAGCCCACTCCTGACCCTAGGGAGGACCCTTATAGGTTCGGCGGTGTTCTCAACAACTTATATGACCCTGCCTCGTTGTTAGATGCACTACTTCCCGGCATATTACCAGCTACTTCAGACACACCCGCTACCTCTCCAGCAGCTACACCTGCGCCATCTACCACATTACATTCACAGGAAACAATAAACAAGCCTCCGGTGACCAGTCTATCGCCTACCACCGCTCCAACTTCTATCTCAGTTCCCGTATCTACGAGTTCGAGTAGCACAAGTAGCCTGCCGAGTCAACCAGCTAAGACTCAAGATACTTCTACGTCTGCTGAGCCAAGTCCAGCAACCAGCGCAAGCATGGCGACAATGATCAACGGTCAAGATGTGTTTGTGCCAGTATCTACCGGGCCGATTCCCGGGACCGTGAAGTCCCGGAATGACCACCCAGTTCCCAGGGCGTCCATAGTAAGGCACCCCCAGTACATGAGGTTTGTATCCAGGTTAACTTTATCAGATGAACAACACGGACCCGATTGAAACAAACAAGTTCTATGCCGGATTGTTCCTAGGGACTCAAACCAATACAACCTTCACCCATCCATATGGGATTGCGTGGGCAAAGGGGAACGGGAATGCGAAAAGCTACGGCATGGCTATCTCACATATTGAGGTAGACAAGCTTGCTTTCGGGCCGAAGAATGACAAGATACCAGGCAGCCCAGTTCAATATTACGTGAACCCTATTGGTATCCAGTCCATTATATTATCGGCAACCGAATTGAAGGACTCTACCGTGCTCATGACAGAGAACCCGCTCCCATTCTCGGCGAAGGCTGTCTTGCAACCCCAAAGTGGATCCTCCGAAAGGATCACTTTTCCCGTGGTACAGGGCATGGGGTTTGTCACCGGGATATATTCGAACCTTCAGCCCGTCATTCAGAGCAGTGTTTTCTTCAGTAAAGTAGTCTCCGCTGGCTCTCCAAGGCCTGGTGTTTTCAAATATACCGTGGAGCTTGCAGATGGTACCAATTGGCTTCTTTACCTAACCCCAGATGATGGGAAAGATCCAAATCTCCATCTGGAGTCCACTACAAACCTGCGTGGGCCTCCTGGTTGGTCAGGAACAGTGCAGGTGGCCAAGAATCCGGCAGGTACTTTAGGAGAGAAGCTATTCGACAATTCGTCTGGTGTCTATGCGACACAAGGTTGGGTGAAAGGTGCTGTATCTGGTCAGACGGGCACATACAGCCTCACGTGGGGAAAGGAGGGCAAAGATAAAGACGGCACTCCATTGATGATGTATGCTCTTCCACACCACGTGGAATCATTTGACAAAGCTACCCATGACCGCCTGACTAATATTACGATGCGGACGACCACAAAGGGCAATGCAACAGCAGTGATCGGAGAATCTTGGTCAATGATGGAACAGAACCTACCTGTTGGTATGGGATTTGCCCCGTGGTCTGTGTCCGCAGGCAGCGTCGACACAATTTCTTCGGCGGCTCAAAAAGTCATCATAGATGTGGCACCAACAGAGCTCCAGCAGGACGTCGGCAACCAGTCCAACTTGAATAGCATGTACTTCAGCGGTAAAGCTCTCAGCAAATTCGCTACGCTCGTATACGCCGTGGACAAATTGGGTGGCAAGCCCGACCTTGCAGCCCCTGCTCTGAATGGTTTGAAGACGGCCTTCGCTCGGTTTATTGATAACAAGCAGCAATTTCCCCTGGTGTACGACAATGTATGGAAGGGTGTGGTGTCTTCTGCTAGTTATGACGGTGGTGATTCTGGTGCGGATTTTGGAAACACATATTACAATGACCACCATTTTCACTACGGCTATTTCATCCATGCCGCTGCAATTATTGGGTCCCTTGATCCATCTTGGATCCAAGGCAACAAAGATTGGGTCAATATGCTTGTCCGTGATGCAGGGAATGCCGCTACCAATGATCCCCTTTTCCCCTTTTCTCGTGGATTCGACTGGTTCCATGGTCATTCATGGGCTAAAGGGCTTTTTGAATCCTTCGACGGGAAAGACGAAGAGTCGACATCGGAAGATGCGATGTTTGCTTATGCTCTAAAGATGTGGGGCAAGACCATTGGAGATGCCAGTATGGAAGCAAGAGGGAACTTGATGCTGGGCATTTTGAGACGGAGCCTCCATAATTATTTCCTCATGGAGGCCGACAACAAGAATCAACCCCCGGTGTTTGTTCCGAATAAAGTGACGGGCATAGTAAGTGATGGACCTAACGTATCACAAGGGACATACTGACCCCGACTTAGTTATTCGAAAACAAGGTGGACCACACTACCTACTTTGGAGCCAACCTAGAATATATTCACGGGTATGAACGTCTTGTCCATCCATCTCTGCAGGTGGTTTGTTTCAATCGCCTAGAACCAAGCGGCTAATGCGTTGGATAGGATTCACATGCTGCCACTCTTGCCAGCCTCGCCATACATACGCAGCCAAAAATTCGTCAAGGAAGAGTGGGATGCCCTGTTTGCAACCAATGCTGCGGCTCCGGCAGAACATGTGCAAGCTGGATGGAAAGGGGTCTTGTATGCAAACCTTGCCCTTATCGACCCAGTTTCATCCTGGAATTTCTTCGCGGAACCAAACTTTGACTATAGCGTGATCGATGGGGGAGCAACACGGACTTGGTACCTTGCGCTTGCTGCAGGTGAGTTGACTACTCATTCATCAGGGTTCAATCGCACCACTAACAGCATATAGGACTCGGCGGCGCATAGAGTGTTCAAACCATCGTTTTCAATAAGTTATTCTAGCCCCAGTCCTCACAATTTTTAGGACGGGGCGATATAGTATGTTCAGCAATGTTCGGGGTCGGTGTCTTCGTCTTCATGCAGAATCTAGTTGAGTGATTACTTTTGTGTATATTGAACGGCCTCGCAGCACATGAGCAGCTATAGATACCAATCTTAGTGCCTTTTTCCAAGCTCGTGAGATATCTCTTTGGTCGTAGGAGTCTTGCTTCAGGTGCGGCTGAGCAAACCCTGGTCTACCAACCATGTGATCTTTTTGTCTATGGCCCGCCAATTGCTCCCCTAGGTTTTCAGATGCGATGTGGGAAAGCTGTCCGCCGGGTACGGTCAAAAAATACCGATCGATTTGGTGGGGGTATTTCTGCGGGCGCCGGCGCTCACCAATTGCGGCTAATAAGTCTGCAGTGCAGTGATACTACGGAGTAGTACTAACTAGTAGGAGTAGTGTCATACTAAGCATGCATGTATGTAACTAACTGTAGCCAGCCACGAATATCCTTCTCAGGTGGCCTGGAGGGGTGGAAATGCGCCACACCGAACTTTCTCTCACACTTCATGTGGCGATGACGTGGATTAGAAGACTTCGAATCCACACTAACCAGGGCTGTGTGTGTCTGTCGGATATCATAGATATTCTCTTCAGAATAGCGAAAGCCTATCTTCTCTCTCTCTCTCTCTCTCTCTCTCTATATATATATATATATATATGTGATTTGGTCGTGGGTACAAAATCGGTACTTGTACGATTGCACAAAATACAGTAACATAACTGTGCATTCATACACATATATCAACTACTAGTACTAGTAGTACTGGGTAGATTTCCGGAGTCTAAAATACGGGAAGAAGTGGGGAGATAATTGTGGCAGTGTTGGGTCTTGGCAGGTATCTCTACTAACTCTGTAGAATCGGGGATCCATCCAAGTGGGAACAGCACAGTTTCAGTGCAGTCACTTTGTGTCGCATGAGGTGGGGTTTTCCAGGGTGATGCATCCAAATTACTTACAGAACTGGCTGTAATCCAATAGTAGTGAACAGATACTAGTAATTACTCCGTCCTGGGTACTGATTGACGCTCGGGTACAGTATCATTGGGAGCTCCTGCCGCTAAGCCCAAAGAAGGAACGAAGCTTTTCCTGCATGTGGCTCCACCACGAAATTGTAGTAGTAGGAACAGATTGAACAGAGTTCTGTTCGTTGTTCATCTTGACGAAAGTTTCCTTCAAGCTCATACCATTACCAACAATCGGGGGAAACTTATAACCGATCATCGACCATTTCAATCCCTTTGGGCATCAAGCGTGGACGAGTCCATTCAGAAAGGAGTAGTCCCAGCGTGCTCAACGTCATCATTTTTCGACGACCACCAGCCATCCCCTCGATTAAAAAGCCTGGGATTGCTGCCCAGACCTCCTAGTCCAGATCTTAACACTCAAGGTATCCGAATCTCCCGTTCCTTGACCTCGCCTAACAACCACTAATGAACTACTCTCAATCGTTCTGCTAACCAGGTTCATCATAGTGGCCACCCTTAGCTTCCCACAACCCATCCCTGACCGGTTAATCATCACAAATTGAGGCTGTGCACGTCTTGGGACGAGAAGCTGGAGCCAATTCGGTTCTGGCACCAAATTACCCCATCGTCTTAGCTTGATCCGATCAATCTTCCAGCCACCGTTGGTACCGCCATTGAGAGACCGCAAAACTCTTTTCTGGAATTCAAAACTCCGCACGGCCCTTCATTATCTCCTTGTCCACCAGTCCATGGTTGTGGCTGCTGTCCCCAGTACAACCCTTCCGAACTCTTTAGTTTTCTTGGCCTTTCACGCTCTCTGGTCGAGCTTGGAGAAGAGCAAAGTCTAAATCCTAGGAGAAAATTAAGGGATAGAATACTCTTGGTTCTACAGTGAAATCGTCACCCGACAAGCCACAGCAGAACGTCACCTCCACTCGGATACTCCATTGAGTGCGCCAAATTTTGAACGGTTCTTCACTGAGTCCCGTGCCAAGTTTTAAAGAAATTGTCGATATCTTGCGATTCTCAATCTCTCTAGTAATTGCGGGTTGTGGTGCCGACTGTCGACCACACCACTACTCAAATGTGTAGGTGGAAACTCATTCTTTCTTCATCTTTCTCTTCTGCCATCAACTCTGTTTAACTCCTCCTTTATTCTCTCGCACTACCCACTTGTGATTCCTTCATTTTCTTCGTCAATCCCACGTCCTACTACCTCTTCTCTTTACGATTGTATTCTAAGGGAGTACAATCATTCCATCCAACAGTGTGTTTGCCCTCCTGTCCCAAATCCGAGTCGTTAGTGTTTTTGTATTATTTCTCCTTCCATCTCCTGTTTCCCTTTCCCCCTTCACTTTTTTTTTTTTTTTTTTCAATATGTGGACTTCTTTGATTTTATCCCAGCCACGTCTCTTTGTTCTTCTGTAGTCTGGAATTTTGACGTTATCTCTGCGTCAATGTTACTTCATCTGTCATTGTTGTTACTCTCCGAGCCTGCAGGATTACCCCAAGAGACATGGAGATGAGGTCAGGCGAATTCACGCTCACAAATTTCATGTACAGCGCCGAAAAATTTCCGTACGAGTTTCCGCAGTTACTCTTGGGGTTCGAGGAGAACTATGACTGGCCTCTCTCAAAATGGCTCTAGAGAGCCCAATGAAAGAGATGCCCTGATCGGTGACACTATTCGAGCCAACTCCGGCCTTGTTCCACGCCATAAACGCAGGCCGTGGGCGTACTGGCCGGTAAGAGTCGTCCACTTGACATGGGCTACCCTTGTACGCGACTACGTCAATCTCCTCCTAGTGTTCGTGCCATTTGGCATTATTGCAGGCGCTCTTGGCTGGGATAGTACGGCTGTTTTCACCCTGAATTTCCTAGCAATCGTGCCGTTGGCATCTCTGTTGAGCTTCGCGACCGAGGAGCTAGCAGCGGCGATGGGTCAGGCCCTAGGCGGATTGATGAATGCTACCTTTGGCAATGCCGTGGAATTGATCGTAAGTCCCCTCCCCCACTCCTGGGCTTTCTCTGGTTTTTGACTAACACTTTGGGGGATGGTGGTAGGTCAGTATCATTGCCCTGAAGGATGGGCAGATTCGTGTCGTTCAGGCTAGTATGCTCGGTAGTATACTGTCTAATATTCTCCTGGTACTAGGATGCTGCTTCTTTGTTGGGGGTATTCGTTACTCTGAACAATCCTTCAACACCACGGTGGCATCGACCATGTCGTCACTGATGACCGTTGCATCTGCTTCTTTGATCATCCCTGCGACACTTTACGCATCTCTGTCTTCAGCCGGCGATGGGGCTAACAGAGACAAGAATATTCTCATTCTTTCACATGGCACTGCGATCATTTTGCTGATTCTATATGTGATGTACCTTTATTTCCAACTCAAGTCACATGCGTCGTTCTTTGAGGAAACCACCCCAGACCCGGAAAATACAGGCGATGAGGTGGCGGAAGAGGAGGAAGAGCATATCCTTTCCCCTTGGGCTGCCTGTATTGCTTTGGTCGTGGTGACAATTCTCGTCGCCGTATGTGCCGATTATCTTGTTGGCAGCATTGATCCTATCGTGGAGAGGACTGGTATGAGCCGAACCTTCATTGGTCTGATCCTCATTCCCATCGTAGGAAATGCTGCAGAACATGTGACAGCGGTTGTGGTCGCTTGGAAAGGAAAGATGGATCTTGCCATTGGGGTTGCCATCGGCAGTAGTCTGCAGATCGCTCTATTTGTCACACCCTTCCTCGTTATTCTGGGCTGGATCCTCGATGTGGATATGACTCTCCACTTCCACATCTTCGAAACCGTGGCCTTTTTTATCTCCGGCTTGGTTGTAACATTCCTGATCCAGGATGGGAAGTCAAACTATCTTGAAGGCGGTTTGTGTCTTGGAATGTATGTGGCAATTGTCCCTTCGACTTGATTCTCACTAACGCACTTCTTAGGTACGTGATTCTGGCCCTGGCATTCTATGTATACCCAGATCAGGCCACCGACGACGCCCTGTTTCACACATGAATACGCACATTAGCGTAGACTATGATCTCTACCCTTTGAGGAACTGCGAGGATACGACGAGAACAAAACTAAGTTACATTGTCGACCCCCCTCAATTATCTATGTGACTCTCCTGTCCCTCCTTATTGATTCTCTCTCTCTCTTTTTTTTTTTGGTTGTAAATCATCCTTGGATGTTTCCCGGGCTCGTTACCCTTTAATCTTTTCATACGGTATCCAGAGGACTTGTACTGCCGGTCAGTCACTTTTGGCACATTTGATTTGGTCGTGTTGGGTGGCTTTCTGTATCTGGTCTTGTAATCTTGGTCATATCGAGTTAGGCCATGGTATCGTTGGACGCCACTAAATTTGATGCTTCAGTTAGGTTTGTGTAATATTAAAATCTTGGGGGTTGGCATTGAGAGAATAGGATAAACGAGCGAATTTTAGAAATCCTGCCAACAAGAGACTGGTGTGCTCATATATCTTGACAGACATACTCGTGGTAGTAGTTACTGGAACTGTATGACTTCATCATCTTTCAGGAGCCTGTCGATTCTTGGCGGGTGATGACTAAGCGATCGTGGAGAGGAAAATCGTTCGCCGAATTCCCAAAGCAGAGGGCGAACGAGACCATCGTCGGTTCAGCCATAGTCCACCCTTCCTTGACTCCAGCTCAGCATTAGAAGAGTGCGTTTCGGTATGCCGCCCCGTCTCAACCTTTTCAACGCGAGGACCGCGGTCCCGGTCTTTCGCCAGACCTCTGTCAACGTTTCCCGACCCAGCATCGCTACTACTATCAATAGCAACCGATCCACCCGCCATGGCCTGAGAACTGGCCTGTCGTCCTCGACACGAATGCAGAAGAGATGGAACTCCTCAGCGTCGGGGGGAGACAACTCGGAGCGGCCAAAGGCTCCCACGGAGGACCCGTTGCCTCACGTTAGCGAGGAGGCCGCGGAGATAAGCAAGATCATGGACAAGAAATGCGACGGCACTCCCGCCAGTCCAGAGTTAGAGCAAGGAACGCCTATTTCAGAGGTAAGCCGCCTCGGTGTGGTCTCTCTATGCCTCTGCTGTTCCAGTTGTTGGGAAATCGAACAATCCTATAACTTTTCTCTGTAGATCCTCCAACGGGACAAAGAAGCCCAGAAACACATGCCAAAGGTCATGCAAGACCAGATCAAATCATCGACTGGTACTCGCTCATTTTCGACATCCACTCGCCGGAGCCAGGCAGAACTACATGGCCAAGGAAAGAGCTTCGATGAGCAAACTGCTGCAGTGATGGCCAGCATGATTTCGCAGGTCAACCAGCAAGCTGAGGAATTTCATGACGGTATCAAGTTTGACCCCGTTGAGACCCTTCCCAAGACAGAGAATTTCCGCACAAGATATGACTCGCTGCTCGAACAATTTACCAAACTCTTAATGACAGACGGCAAGTTGAGTAGGGCCCAGAAGGTACGTGAAGCCCTTGGGATTATTAGATCATTGCTCTACTTTTATGTACAAAAGGATATGGTGAAGATACTAAGTTATATTGTTGTGCAGGATATGGCGTTCATTCTGGACCACCTTCGCACTGCCTCTCCGCCTCAGCCCAACCCCAAGCGGCCTCTGCTTCCTGGACCTCCGGCCCCGCAGCTTCCTCTAAACCCTGTCCTCTATCTCACCTTGATTGTCGACTCCGTTGCTCCTCTGATCAAGATTCGTCAGCAGAAAGGTATCGCCGGTGGTGGTGCGTCGGTGCAGATTCCGGTTCCGCTCGCACTGAGACAACGCCGCAGGACAGCGATTAAATGGATTATCGATGGCTCTGATAAACGACGTGACAGCAAGTTCGCTCAGCGAGTAGCCAACGAGCTTGTTGCGGTTGCAGAGGGCCGCAGTGGTGTGTGGGACAAGAGAGAGCAGCAGCACAAGCTCGGTATCGCAGGCCGGTCGAATCTCGGCATGGTCGGTGGTCGTCGGTAGGCTAACTTACATGCCTACATACAGACGCAGTAACAGACTGGCATTACAAGTGCGAGTTATTCCGGTACTGCATTCGATGAGATTTTTCTCTTTTTTCGTTTTGGGAATTAGATGGAAGATGCAGGGTCTCTTTCCTTTCTGTATTTTATTATGGACTCTTTCAAGCACCTGATGCATCTGTATAGGTAGTGTTTTTTATGTTTATTATTTATCATAGTGAAAGTGATTCTTGTGGTTTTGTTAATTCACCATGGTTGCCCATTTGTAGAGGCACTTGAAGGCCTGCATGTACGGAATACACAGTATATATTTTTTGGAGCGGTCTCGGCCCCGGGTGCGAAAAGATGAATGTAAGGTAAACTGTGCATGGTAGCCACAACTGTGGTCAAGTGATGAGATTAGAAGCGACAAATACTTTGGGGACGGACAAGTTGGAAACTCGGCGACACGTCAAGTCCAATATATCAGTTCCCTCACAGCCCAGGGAATCTTTCTCGTAATATGTTTGCATTCTATGGGTCACAAATCCAGCTGGGCGAGTTATCGGAACTTGAACGCTTTACCTTTTCCAGGTCGATTATTCGTCGACTCAAACGGATGACGAGGAAGCTAACCCTGATTGAGCAATCCCCTTGTCAGCTGCAGGAACGTGACTTCATCTCGAGAATCCTCTTCCCGCAAATTCAACCTCTCTCATTAGGTACTCAAGGGGATAAAGCAAGCGATAGGAACTCCTTCGTGTCCGTTGTGAACTATGATACTACATTAAGTATCGATGTATGTACTGTCTGGCCCCCCCGACATCGCGCTACTGTACATATTCTCCGACGTGCAACGTGTGATGGGATTCACTATTTACTAGTGTGCCACCGAACACCTCAAACGGCCTAACACCCGCACAACATTGGACAACGAATCCCATCCCCTCCCCTTGCTCGGTTCTTCTTTTTCTGTCCACCGTGTCGTCGCATGCTGGTGGGCCGAAAGTGGCACGCATCGCTTCTGCGACCAGTGCCTCACCCGACGATATCGACGTGACCAGTCGCCCCCGCTTATCTGGCCAGGATATCGAGCTCGTGGAGTATCCTGTCCCACCCTCCACCTCAACCAGGGCCTGGCAGCCACACACTGGATCTCAGGGATTCGATCCTCGACCGATCGGTCATCGCCAATTACTTGATCGTACTTCTCAAACGGGAACGCTCGGGCATTCGGATCCAAATTCCCGCCAAACTCGTCAGCACGCCCAGTGGGACAAGCCATTTCGCCTCAAGTATTGGGTAGAGGCAATTCATCGTCGCTCACGGTTTCCGGAGCCCCAGTCCAAGATGAAGTTTTCCCATAGTATCCAATTCAATGCGGTTCCCGAATGGAGCTCGTACTATCTTGCGTACAGCAACCTCAAGAAATTGTAGGTCTTCATAACCTCCCTCATTCCCCTCGCTCTGGCTCAATTGTCATGCCTGTCTCTCTTTTCTTCTACCCTGTCCTTGGGGCCAGGAATTGAGCTATTCTTTTCGGCGGGGATCACGTTGCATGCAAAGGGGAGCAATTTTTCACTCTATACCCGGGAAATGTTACGCTTCTTTGACCTGAAAGAAATCGCCTGTGTGGATTGCTCACTGTGTTATCCGTATTCTAGGATCTACTCTCTGGAACAACAAGTCCGCAAAGCCGGTGGGCAAGCTCAAGCTGATGTCGAGTCGGCTCCTTTGCTAGATAGTACCCCGAATACCGACGCGATATTTCGGAAAGCTCTAGACGCAGAGCTAGAGAAAATATGCACCTTCTACCGGGACAAAGAGCTAGAGATCCTCAAGGAGGTTGAAGAGGTAATTAGAGATGCGGACGAGTATGCTTCGGAGGCCGATGGGATTAATGTGGACCCGATGAGCGAGCATATGACCAAGACAAGGACGATGAGTTCCGGCTCTCGGCGGCGTTCTGGAAATGCGTATCATGATTTCCCACTAAATCAAGATCGGCGCCGTAGCAGTGTTACCGACTCCGTCGTGGATGATGATGACGACGCCGATAGTGACGACGAACATCTGTCGGTACAGAATGGGAGGCGTCTATCTCACGGCGCCGGGTCTACTAATCCTGATGATGGTCGAACAGATTACATGGGCGAATCTGGCTATATGGGGGATTCGAGGGCCGGGAGATCGAATAGAGCTCAGGTTGAGCACTTCGGTGATCCAAAGGTCTTAGACCTGTACAATTCTGGGCTTTCTTTGAAGAAACGGGCAGTAGATGCATACGTCTCTCTTTGTGGGCTGAAGTCGTACATTCAGCTGAATAAAACCGGGTTCTCAAAGGCTCTGAAGAAGTACGATAAGACCCTCGACCGCAGCTTGCGACGGGAGTACATGAACTCAACCGTCTCCTTGGCTTATCCATTCGCTGAGTCGACCATGTCAAAGGTGGAAGCAGACATCCACAAGATCGAAATGGCCTACGCGGATGTCATCACGACCGGTGACTTGTCGCTCGCAAGGCGTGAGCTTCGGTTACACTTGAGGGAGCATGTAGTCTGGGAGAGAAACACAGTCTGGAGGGAAATGATTGGTATTGAAAGGAAAGCCCAAGCTGCAAACGTTGGTATACGTAGAACAATCCTGGGGGGAGACGAAGACCCCGCAGCTGCACGACGACAAGGCGACGAGCAGGAAATTTCTCTTACAGAGTTTAGGACGCCTCTGGGCATCTTTCATCCTCCACAGTGGTTATGCAGCTTGAGTTTTGGAACTCTGGTTCTTGTCCTGGCTGTGTTTGTGACATTACTCACAGTTCCGATAATGGACAAGCCTGAGCAGCAAAACTGTTTGGCCATGCTTATTTTCGTCAGCTTGTTATGGGCCACAGAGGTAAATGATGCATTCTGCTACTCCATACTACTTTACTGACAAAATGCAAGGTTATTCCTCTCTTTGTGACCTCTCTGCTGATCCCTTTTCTTGTTGTCTTGCTACGCATCATGAAATCGGAAGAGAAGCCCTACAAACGCCTGGGACCTAAAGAAGCCACCAGTGCTGCATTCAGTGCTATGTGGACCCCAGTGATAATGCTCTTGCTTGGCGGATTCACCATCGCCGCAGCCTTATCCAAATATGACATTGCTCGTCGCATGGCAATGTTCGTTTTGAGCAAAGCTGGATCCAGCCCCCGTGTGGTCCTTCTCACGAATATGTTCGTGAGTATGTTTTTGAGCATGTGGATTAGCAACGTGGCTTCGCCCGTCCTCTGCTATTCCATCATCCAGGTAATTTTTGCCCATATCCTACCACATCATCGTTGCTAAACATAATGTTTTTAGCCTCTGCTTCGGAACCTTCCTCCAGATTCGAACTTCGCCAAAGCTCTCGTGTTGGGAATTGCACTGGCTGCGAATGTCGGGGGTGCTGCCTCCCCGATCGCCTCACCACAAAATATCATTGCGCTTCAGAACATGCACCCGAGCATCAGCTGGGGCACGTGGTTCTTTGTATCACTCCCTGTCTGTATTATCTCCATCCTGCTGATATGGGCCCTTTTGGTATTCACATTCCATCCTGGTCGTGACACCACACTTGTCCCAATTCGACCGGTTAAAGATAAGTTTTCTGGGGTTCAATGGTTCATCAGCATTGTGACTCTGTCTACCATCGCCCTATGGTGCGGCAGCCATCAACTTGAGCATGTCTTCGGGGATATGGGCGTAATAGCTATTATCCCGATGGTCCTTTTCTTCGGAACCGGCATTCTCAACAAGGAAGATTTCAACAACTTTCTTTGGACCATTATCATCCTGGCCGCCGGTGGCCTTTGTCTTGGAAAGGCTGTTACGTCTTCCGGTTTGTTACACACTCTCGCGAATGGCATTACCGCCCGTGTGGAACATCTAAGCCTCTATGGCGTCCTGATTGTGTTCTCCGTCCTGATTCTTGTTATGGCCACATTCATCTCCCACACTGTTGCGGCACTTATCATTCTGCCTCTCGTTCGACAGATCGGTGTCGGTATGGAGGATCCACACCCCAATCTGTTGGTGATGGCTAGCGCTCTTATGTGCTCTGTTGCTATGGCTTTGCCGACCAGTGGTTTCCCTAACATGAGTATGGTCTCCTTTCCTTTTTAGGTTTCGATAATAACTTTTTGCTAACCTCATCTTAGCCGCCATCATGACCGAGGTTCCCCAAACCGGCCAACGATACCTCCAAGTCCACCACTTCTTCACCAGGGGTATCCCTGCCAGTCTGATGGCATGGGCCGTCATTATCACGATCGGCTATGTTCTCATGTACATAGCTGGGCTATGATATGACCTCTGGCTCACTACACCCCCTTTCCTCTTTTTTTTGTCTCTCTCCCCAATTGGATTACGATACATTTTATTCACATTTGGGAGGTTATGTGATACATTTTGCACAATATGAGGTATAGTTAGGGTATTCACAAGGTGGTAGATGGAGTACAAATAGAACGGTAGAAAGGGTATACTTATTTCAAACATATACTTGTCTCGATATTTACATATACTGAATCAACGTTTATAACTCGTTTTGTTTTACATTCTTCGTCTTCCGGCTTCTTTCTCTTTCTTTTATCTGATGAGATTCAAGGAGATATAACTAATTGCCATTCATTAATAATCCCTTCCATGCACTCAACGATTAAATTATGATCATAGTCAAGCCTGGAATTAATATACATGCATCACACTGACGGAAGAAAAGGAGAAAGTTGCTCATGCCATCATATAACCAACGCTAATAAGTATATAGCCGAAGGGGGACAAAAGGAAAGGAGAAAGGACCATCTAATCTGCGATTATCGACCAGGAAGAGGCAACATAGTACGTAGACCGAGGGAAAACGGAACAGTAACATGGTATCGAAAAATTTCATCTGAGAGCTGACAACGTGGGATAAATGCTTTTTCTATTAGACGCATTCATATTCGTTTTTAGTTGCTGTTATGTATAGTTAGCTTGATATTTTTAGACGAGATGGTAAGAGGGGGGAGAGTTGAACTGACAGTAAGCCGAGTGTTAGATCACCGTGGATCTTAGCCTTGAGTTGCACTTCAATATCCAGGTTCAGGTCCAGCCGCAACCGCAGCTGCTCGTCCTTGCCGCCGCTATCGTCCTGTCCTTCCCCTTTGTTGCCGCCTAAGATGCCTCCCACGGCTTTGCCGGCGGTGTTGGTCACGCCATTGACGGCATTACCGGCCGTGTTTTGTACGAGGTCACCAGCCTGGTCTACACCACCGAGGCCGCCGAGGGGGCCGCCGTCTTGTTGCTGGCGACGTGATCGGCGCTGACGACGGGGCTTCTCCACAGCGGTGTTGTCCATGCCGCCGCGGTCGATATTTTCTGTGTCCGAGTCCTGTTGGTACTTCTGTGGGCGGGGTCTCCTTGGACGCCGCTGAGGTTCTTCTTTCTGAGGCTGGAGTTGAGGTTCGGGCTCGGCTTCCGACTGAGGCTCTTGCTTGGGTTCAGCGTCGGGTTGGGATTTTTCTTCTTGTGGCTTAGGGTCAGGCTGGGGGTCTTGTTTAGACTCAGTGTCAGAGTGAGACTCTTGCTTGGGTTCAACGTCCTGCTCCTCCTTGGGTTGAGGGGACCCCGGGTTGTTATTCTCTTCCTGGGGGTTATTGTTCTCTTGCTGAGGGGTTTGAGGGTTGTTATCCTCTTTGTCTGACATGTTGAGAAGGAAGGCGAGGGATTATATTCTGTGCCAGCAGTCTAGTGCTCGTGATATAGTGTTTAAGCATGGTCACATCGTCCAATATCATTTATATGGTGCGAGCGTCCTGCATGGTTGGCAACCGGCCGCCCACAGTCGACGTCAGCTATGACCATCTCTGATCGATTGGATTGGACCAAGGGCCGAAGCGAAGATCAACGGCGTCATCAGTGCGACAAGAGGGAGGAGGGTGGGAACCAGACATGATTGAAGCGTTGAATAATGAAGCCCGTTCAGAATGACGTCGACTCACACAAGGGCGTCTCAGTCTTTTTTGCTTTAACCTTGGAAGGTGGGCTATGGTAAACGATCGCCGGCAATCGCAGTGGTGTTTAATCTCTTTAGCGGCAGATGTGTTGCTAGATAGACCAATGACACGAGGCCGGAGAATTACCGCGTGTCTCCATATTTGCTGGTCCACCTTGAGTCTTGACCACTAACTGGGGGGATGACGCCACGCACGTCAGATCGTCATACAATCTAACGACATAATGGTGGGCCAGAAGCGACATTTGACGTTCCGATCGTGATAGACCATACCGTCAAAGAAAGACGGAGATGCGTTGCCGTTGGTGATTTTGATTCCCTGGTTCCCTCGGTTTCTGTTCGCGTGGGAAAGTAAGAAAACAGCGTTGATCCGCGGTTCGCACCCGAACAAAAGCCGGTGGAATCATCAATGTCACTGGGATTTCCGTCGGTGGCTGCGATAATTATGGAACAGCATATCCTTGGAACGGCGACAGGGGGGACCCGCCTCTCGACGACATATTGCTGTCAATCACCCTCCATGGGCTACGTTATCGTCCCCAGAGTTTCTCCCGTCCGTCTGACCCTCCAGGACTCAGACACAACAAGAGTAGCGCCACGCTGATTAGCTGCACTAGCGGTCATCTTGCAGTTAGAGATACACGGGCAACGTCATGCTCATGGCAAGGGGAAATTCGTAGGTGGCTGTTGTTCGCTGGCCCCGTCGTACAGAAGACCGACCTTCATCGGCCATCCGCACTAGCAAATATCCTCCCAAGTTCCTCTGTTGCTCAACAGTTCCCGCCCCTACACTTCTAGACGTATTTAGTTTCCGATAGTATTTCCGATTATAGTCTTTACTTCTCATTTTGACCCAGTGTTGTGATTCAAGCGCATCGCCGGTTATCGCATCCTTCTCCTTGCCTGTAATTCGATCCTCTCCTGAATCCTCATTGATACCTCTCAACATGGCCACTGCAGAGAAGAAGAAAGAAGAACAACAACCTGCCATTCAACCGGACGAGTACTCGGATGGCGATTACGATACAGATGACTATGCATTGTCCGAAGACGAGCAGGATCAGAAACCCCAGCGTCCGAACCAACAGCAAGCTCGACGACGCCAACAACAGCAACGCAAGCGTCAAAACGACGAGTATGACGACGAAAGTGACTATCTTTCCGACGAATACGATGACGATGACTATGACGATGCGGATCAGGGCAATGCAATGCAGCCATATAAGCGCGGCACCCAGTCCTTAACACAGGGCACAATCACAAATGGAGCCATGACGGACGCTCCAGGACAAGGGAAGAACGATGACGAGCAGGAAGGCCTCAAACTGAAACTAGAGCTAAACCTCGACATCGAGGTAGAACTCAAAGCCCACATTCACGGAGACTTGACACTGTCGTTGCTGTAAGTATTTCCTTTCGTTTGATTCTCAGAAACGACCCGAGCACCATCGGTCAATTTCACCCGACTCAACATAGAATAGGACCTAACCTATCAATCGCAGTGCATGATTGGGGAAAATGTTAATTTCGCCTGTTATATTAGCTCCTGACCGCCTCGTCCCTCGGATCGATGAACATGTCTGGCATGAAGTTTATGATAATGTTCCAGGGAAACAGCAACCTGTTCCGCATGTTTCCTGTTTGTTCAATAGAGTCCTGCGCTCAGGTAATGTTTTTTCGTTTTCTGTTTTGGCGCATAACTACTATACTCCACCTGTTGGTATGATTGATTGCATGTGTCTCATATTGTTCTTCGTGTTCCGGATTGAAAACGTTGGCTTCTGGTCGTGTTGATGTCTCCCTTATCTTTCAGACATACATACTTGATTCCTGAGGTTAGTTATTTTCATTGCGATTCAAGCGTGCAGAATATAGCGAATAGTTTAGAGATCAACAACACTATCTAAACTTGAAGCGGCCTAATTGACCCATGATAGATCCTAACAAGACTCGATAAGTCACGTAAGCTCTGGTGGAGTTCGTATAGCCGGTTTAGGCGTGATATAGAAGGGAGTTAGGCCCTTCTGCACGATGTCGCAATGCTTCTTTTCAGGTTCACTGTGTGCAGGCAAATGAGCCCGGATGATTGCTAGATTGTATACCCGAAATGTCTCAAAAAGTATATATAAGCCTTGGGGAATGGCTTATCACTCGGCAGTTTGACAACTAATTGTAGAATTGCTTCTGATGTATAAAGTCCCGAAGCTCTGGACAACCACATAGTTTAACCAACAGGTCACCACGGAGGTATGTGATAGAGAGAGAGAGAGATATATATATATAGTATAAAGGTTGATGGAGGATTCACGTTCTACTCTGGAAGGGGGGACATGATGGCAGGGCGATTCCTAAACGGGCGAATGGACATCACGTGCACATACCGTCTATATACTAGTAGCAGATCAATCGCATTGCATACCTAAAATACCTCAAGTGCCTGGAATCGAGCGTATCTACCCTGAAGCTTAAAAGTAAGTAGACTACTGAGAAGGGGAAGCACATGAGCATCGCAATCATCCGAACGGTAGTCTCTTCACAGAAGCCGAGGTAGAAGCTTGGCATTACCAAACGCAGTCAAGTACTTAACTCCTGAAGCGGAGTACCTGATGAACTGAAGGTACATACATTCTAACCTCCATTCAGACTGTCTCAAGGTCTGAAAAACACCTGAGTTCAATTGAAAGATCCACGCAGCAGCAACAATGGCCGCATCCAACGTCGACAAATCTGCGTCTAGCAAACACTTCATTATCAACCACATGAACGCGGACCACCAGAAATCGCTGGCGATGTACCTCCGTGTCCATTGCAATGTTGCCGATGGAGACGCCAAAGCCGCACGATTGGAAGACATCACTCTGTCTGATCTGCTCATCAGCGCCAAGGGCACCCGCTACAGCGTGCCCCTAGATCCACCCATGAAAACATTTTCCGATACTCGACAGCGCGTGGTGGCAATGCACAAGGAGTGTCTTGAACGGCTGGGGCTTTCAGATATCATCATCAAAGAGTATAGAGCACCCCGAGGCTGGGAGGCCATAAACTTTGCCGTGGTCGTAGCTACGTTAGTTGTGTTTTCTCGAGGCAGCAATTTCTTGCCTGGGTCATTGCTCTACGAGACGGCTGGCCTTGACAGATTCCCAGCATTCACTCAGTTTTGCCACACCGTCCAGCCCATTCCAGGCACGCTTCTGCTGGGGATTCATGTTATTGAGGTGGTTCTTCTTGCCGTGAAGCGCTTGAAACCTCACGGGGTGCCATTCTTGTCTGGTGTATGGTTTGCGTGGGTAGCAACCATTATGATTGAGGGGGTATTTGCATTCCGGAGATTTGATCGGATGGTGAAGGAAGAGCAAGTGAAGAGGGAGCATCGCAAGTAGTAAGCAGATGCACTACATGTGGCAAAATGGTCCACATAGGGGAGAGAGCCTAACAGTCTTTGCTGGCTCTTTTTTTTTTTGTTTTTCCTGTTGTGGATAAAGGGTTTATGGCGGGAAATAACAGATGAATGTATGTGTACAGACTGTTTTTTCAGACAGTGTCAAAAGCACAGATGCTGATTTATTACATTATTATAAGACATTCACCAGAGTAGACTAGTTCATGATCTTCAAACCATTTGAACAATTTCAAAGGGAATTCTATAGAAAGGGAAAATAAGATTGTTCAAAAGCGGTCTAGCCGAAAGGTCACGGGGTGGGTGCTATGCCATGTTAGGACTAGCGCGCACTTTGGACTAGGGCAACTTCTCAAGCGAAGGCACAGTGCGAAATTCACGATAGTCCGACGACAGCACTCAACTCCACGACCACCCAACGACCCTTGCCCGCTGCGTTCCTGGTGAAGGGCTGCAGGATTAGAGGTGAGTTTACTATCGTCATTCCAAGTGTTTTCGATCTCCTCTTTTTGGTTTCACCGTTGCATCGAGTGTCGAGCGTTGGTTATCGTGCCGTGTGCCGCTTAGCGATTGAAGTCGATCGGATTAGTTTAAGGGACATAATCAAAGGAGAGAACGGAGAAGCCGAAGGGGAATATCAACGACGAAGAAGAAAAAACGGAAGAAAAATTTTCATATATCGTCTTGTCTCCGATATATATAAACTATCTGCTTGGGCTTTGCGACCGCTACCAGTGCATTCGACTTGTGACCGCTCGCTATCTCACGCTCCAACGGGAAACTTGAAGAGGAAACCAAGACAAACGGAATCACTGCGTCTACGGGTTCTTGATAGCTAATAGTCTCTCTGTCGTTGTCCACAGTCCCCTCGAAACAGCAAACATGGGTATTTCTCGCGACTCCCGCCACAAGCGCTCGGCTACCGGTGCGAAGAGGGCCACCTACCGCAAGAAGAGGTATGAATGAACTTGAGCTCAGTGGAATCCAGAGATAAGAGACCCATATTCTTACACATTTCCAACAGGGCGTTCGAGAAGGGTCGCCAGCCCTCCAACACCCGTATCGGTTCCAAGAGAATCCACCTGGTCCGCACCCGTGGTGGTAACCGCAAGTTCCGTGCCCTCCGTCTCGACTCCGGTAACTTCTCCTGGGGTTCCGAGGGTATCTCCCGCAAGACCCGTGTCATCGTTGTCGCCTACCACCCTTCCAACAACGAGCTGGTCCGTACCAACACCCTGACCAAGTCGGCCGTCGTCCAGATTGATGCTGCTCCTTTCCGTCAATGGTACGAGGCCCACTACGGCCAGCCCCTCGGCCGTAGACGCCAGCAGAAGACCGAGACCACCGAGGAGAAGAAGAGCAACAGCGTTGTGAAGAAGCAGGCTGAGCGCTTCGCCGAGAACGGCAAGGTCGAGTCTGCCATCGAGAGACAGTTCGAGGCCGGTCGTCTCTACGCCGTCATTGCTTCCCGCCCTGGCCAGAGCGGTCGTGTTGACGGTTACATCCTGGAGGGTGATGAGCTTGCTTTCTACCAGAAGGCTATCAGGAAGTAAAAAGGGAAAATCGTGTTGTAAAAGGGTGGTATCGGAGTTTCAGCAATTTTTTCCAGAATACATTTATGATCTCTGGGGCACTACGGGTGCATTGTGTGTAGAGCTCTGAGCTGTCAGCAATGGAATGATCCTCGTTATGTTCTGTCGAATTTGAATAATTTTTCCTTTTTTCTTCCAAAGTTTTTTTTTTTTTTAAGAAAAAACTTTTCCCCACACTCGATACCGTAAAATTCTTGTCACCCTTTCCCCTCTCAGGTCTTGCCAATTTCCAGTCCGTTGTCTATGACGCCATGTCGGCCCCTCCCCCATTTAAACATCTTTGACATTATAAACATCCATCACCATCACCATCACAACGCCCACTCTACCCTAACACAGCACAACACAACTACCTACACTACTTTCCTCCCATTCTCCAACCAAAACACACAATCTACAACCCCCCCCAAGAAAAAGCAAACAAAATGACCATCAAAACCCGCATCTGTGTAATCTCCGACACCCACACTCTAACCCCCAACCCAGCCCCAAACACCACAAACCCCTACCGACATCCCCTGCCCAGCTCCGACGTCCTCCTACACGCCGGCGACATAACCAAAGTAGGGCTAAAAGCCGAACACGAAGTGATCCTAGCCATGCTGAAGGCGGCGCCGGCGGAGCTGAAGCTAGTCGTAGCCGGGAACCACGACATCACACTAGACGAAGAATACTACATGCGGATCGGGCACTACCGCCACCGGTACAGGACCGACCACACGGCAGCGTCGGCGACGGCGGGGAAGGAGAACGTAGGGGAAGAAGGGCGGGTGGAGTCTGTCCGGGCGATCAAGGCGCTCTGGACGAGCGAGGAGGCCATGAACGCCGGGATCAGGTATATGGAAGAAGGTGTGCAGACGTTTACGTTGGGCAATGGGGCGCGGTTCACAGTTTATGCGTCGCCGTATACGCCGGAGTTCTGTCAGTGGGCGTTTGCGTATGATCGCGATACGGACCGGTTTAATGGCCCGCGGTCGACGTCGGAGGGCGTGTTTGTGCCGCCGAATCCGGTGCCGGATCATGGGGTGGATATCATGTTGACGCATGGGCCGCCGTATGGCATCTTGGATAAGGTGGTGGGGTCGCATGCGAGTGTGGGCTGTGAGCATCTGTTTCGCGCTGTGGAGAGGGCGAAGCCTCGGTTGCATGTTTTTGGGCATATACATGAAGCATATGGGGCGACGCGGCTGGAGTGGAGCACGCGGAATCAGTCGATGATTCAGTGTGATAAGGAGACGACGCTTGAGGATCGGTGTGCGTATACGGATGTCAGTGGGGATTCGAAGAGTCCGCTGAGGGTGGGTGACGAGACGCTGTTCGTCAATGCGAGCGTGGTGACGGTTCAGTACCAGGCTGTGAACGCACCGTGGCTGGTGGATCTGGAGCTTCCTTCGAAGTAGTCATTAAGGGATTGCATGTTATCATCGTGAACGTTGGGTGGTTGTTTGAAACTGCATATATAGATGAGTCCCCTTTGGCGTACATAGTATCCTTGTTTTGCACCTTTGGAAAAGTGAATTCAACTGGCCGCGGATCAAGACTGAATTCCAATTGTATTCCGACTACTGCAATAACATGGTATCGTTACAGAGCTTTGTAGGTGAGTTGAGATGCTTGACCTAACTGGCGTGTTTTTGATTATATATAATTCCCATGGATCAATCTTTTTCTATAAATATCCAACTCCCGGGACGTCCAGCCATCCTGCACCTACGGGTATAAAGGGGTCCACACATAACAAGGGGTAGAAGAGATGGTTGGAAAAGGGAGTGACCGTATGAAAGGTAGTAGTGAAATTTACAAAGTGGCCCAAGATTATCTGAACAAACAAAAGAGACGTCGCGATCAGCAACAGACAAAAAGGGAGATGAGAGTAGGGATAGGTATCTAGGAGGAATGTCTTATGTATCATGTCCTGAATGTGAGAAATGAAGAAGAGAAAAGAAAAGAAGGGTAAAAATGGTCAAAAATGCAGATGAGAGAAGAAATCAAAGAAGTCGCCGGCACCGTCACCAACACGTGGCATCTGCAGGACTCGAGAGAGGAAAAGAGGAAAAGAAAATAGAAAGTATGATAAAGGCGAAAATCTTGAAGGAGGTATAGCAAAGAACAGGTACGCTGCGGTGCAAAGACAAAATGCTTTAATCAACAGCAGGAACAAGAAAGAGATGAGCAATGAGCATTAATGTCCAGACATTAAAAGAATAAAAGCGGGAAGAAAGGGAAAAGAAAAAAAGATGCGGAAATTAGCGATCCTACTCTTCGCGGACTGCCATGCCATGTGTATCAGATCTAAAATCGAGGCGACTACCCTTTCGCCCAACACCCTTAAGCAGGCTGAATCTTTTCATAACAGAGTCTCGAACACCACCGGTATGAAAGTGGGTTTGCTGAGGAATTTTCGGGCTACCCAGATCAGGGCTTCTCATTGAGGTCCTACTGCTCTGTGTCACTGGGCGAGGATAGTCACTAATAGAAGGAATCGTGGACCATCCAGATCTGGGGCTGATGGCTGTCGGTCGATCGCTCCCAGAGGCCCCTTTGTGTTGTGAACTTGTCCGACCAAGGGTCTCCTGTAACTTCTCTGGTTTCGCGCCTGCATCTTGGGAAGCACTTCTTGAAAGTTGACTTATCTGCGCTTGGGTATCTTCAGAAAAGGGTTTCGTGATTGACAGCGACGAAGTATGCTTGTGCAACTTCTCTCCAAAGAAGCTTCTGCGCCTACTCTGAGTATCCCGTGATTGACTAGTCGTCCGGCTGTTTATTGTTGCTGCATCCTCACGGTCCGTATCCTCGACGCGGCTGTTGTCAACTGGACCATTATCCTTTTCATCCAGTTGCGGCTTGGTTTCTCCATTGCCATTGGTCGCCAAGCCGCCGCCTGCCGCGTGATTTACACGTTTGAAGGGGTTCATGATACTGATGACTGACGGCCTCTGGGAATGTTTGCGAGTGTGGCTTTGCCGCGAAGAACGGATCAGTTCCTGCTCCGGAGTGTTGGCCGGCTGTTTACGATCTTGTAAAGAGCGAGGGGACTGACGCGGTGCTGAATGGGGTGTCTCTTGTACGACAGGACTAAGAGAAGCAAGTTCCGGGGCAAACGCCTCTTCGAAGCGGCGCATCAATTCAGCCTGCGTGGCTTGATGCGCTGGACGATAGAAGAGAGCCAGGGCTTGTTTGATTGCCAAGGCGTGATCAATCAGTGCGACGGCTAGAGCCTGGTTCAGAGGATCAACTGGCGTTGGCGTATCTTCATGCTCAACATCGCCTTGCGGATGCGACAAGAACTGTCGATAGAGGGCTACGCAGCCGGCGGACGACGAGCTGAGATCCAATAACTGCTCTAGCGCCTCTGTTAAGTTCGACAAGCTCATGTCCTCACCAGATGCGGCGCGCCTTTGCAGTAATGTCAGTTCTTGAGTCTTGCGCCAAGTTCGTTCAAAGGCGGTTTGCATGGGGGTAAGGGCTAGCTCTTCAACTGAAACCACTTCACTTCTCCGAAGGATATTTGGGAATGGCTCTGCAGTGGTGTAGACTGCCTTCTCCACCCATTGCTCCTGGACATCCGCACTACGAATATGTCGTTTTATTGTCGAACTGAAGCGGCAAGGCTCGGAAATCAAGAGGTGATCCCTTACAGATGAGGGGACTTTAGATCGTTGATAGACCGGATGTGTCATATCGCGGTGAACAGTTACCGGGCTGATATGTAAGAATTGGCCCTCATAATCATGAACCTCTCCCGGCGATACAATCTGCGCAGCTGGATGTTCCCTCTGCATACGATCAACGAAGGAGGCCATACGATCGGTTGGAGAACATTCAAAGATGAATTCTTTATCCCGTAGAGTTGCTGGGAACCCGAGCCCCTTGTACAGCACACGGAAGTAGCGCGGGAATTGTTTCTCCTCTTTTGCGATGATCTCGTATATCTTAGCCATCGAGCTTTGTGCCCGTGAGAGCTTGGCGAAGTCCATAATGGTATCTTCATATTGTTGAGCTAGCTCTTTGTAGCATACGAGCGCATGTGCCCAAGATTTAGCATCTTCAAAGAATTGAATGATTGAGAAGTACAAGGACTCTTTCCTCTCAAACGATGTCTGTTCTGGGAAAGGAGGGTTGAGAAGCTCAGGAAGGGACCGCCGCGGGTCCCACTCATAGAGATCGGCATGGAATTGGAGTGCAAGGCCAGCTTCAGTGAAATTTCCGGCTGCGGCTTGAAGCTGAGCCAACTCATGAACATAACGAATGAAGATATCTTCGCGGCCCATGTCTTTCATGTACTCCATCAGCCTGAGGGAATGCAAACTTTCAGCCATAGATCCATTTTGCGAGGCCACAAATAGATCAAGAAGCTCATCCACAGTTGCGATAAGCGCTTTGACCGCATTTGAGAGGGTCTCGTCGAACGAAGAACAGCTCTCGAAATGCTCAGTCAACTCAGCAATGAAGAGCTTTTGGACAACGCCTTCGTTCATATTCTTCGTTTTGAAGAGATTATCCAGGCTAGAAATGATCTCCGTTTCAATGATCGACAGGTCCTGGTTAAGGCTCCATTCACTGAGAATCATTGTCCGCAAAATCTCGACCGCCACATGTCGCAAACCTTCGTGGACACTGAGGCATAATTCGATGATAGGGGCCACGAGACCAGGGACATACTGAACCTGATATCCTCCAAGCTTTTTCAGGCCATACTGCTCCCTCTCTTCGTCTGTGGTATCCCAGCCTATGGCTTCCCAACTGGAATGCAACAATTCGGCGCCTTGCTCACGGACATCGCCAGCGATCTTCCAGATAGCACGCCGTTTCTGCTCTGGGAAGGTCTCGAGAGCTAGGACGTCGCTCGACACGACCTTTAGTAGAGTCATAAAAAAGTTTTCCCATAGTCGTGTATCAAACCTCTCTGCATCTTCTGGTGTCGGTAGGAATTTGGCGATCAAAAGCGAAGAGAGATACTCAAGGCTCTTCACGGTCGCCCGGTGGTTGTATACATGAACACTGAGCCAGCTCTCAGGGTACGCCTCGCAATTCAAGATGGAAGTATGGACCTCAAAAGCCTGGGAGAGAAAAGAAGCAAGCTCCAAACCCTTCAACCGAGGTCGTTTAGGGTTAGGTATTGCTGCGGTGGCAGCCATGATTGCGGACAGCTCCACCAAAGCTTCGTCAAACTTTTGCGTTTGCTTGGACGATTTCACCTGGAACGGGAAGGATTTGCTGAAGAGCAGAGAGAGATAACTGGTATCTTCCACACCGTCGGGTATAATGGTGTAATATGAAGAGACTATTTTGGGCATGAAGTCGTACACGTATGGGTCTGGCTCCTTCGCGAGCTCTGCGACTATTGCACAGTTCAACCGAACTTGATCACGGTACAAATCAGAGACAGGTCCGATTGCCCCCCAGTATGGTGCCAGCCATCCTATACAGCTGGAGACCAAACTTTTCCTCTCCGGCCCAGTACTGAATATCTCGAGACGTGTATAATGCTGTATCAGCACTAGCTTATAAAGGATTAGCATACCCTTAACATCTTTGCACGAATCCATAAAGCTGAGAGCTATCATGATTACTTCGTCCTTGGGGAGCACTTTTGTTAGCTCCGGCAGCCATGTATGAAAATGCTGGACAACAAGTGTCTTGCTTCCAACCATGGCAGGAGAAGGATTCTTCATGAGAGCCTCAAGAGACTTGAATATCATATGCAGGTCCCGGTTGAAAGTCGATTGAACTCGGGTGATCCCGATGCCCTCCTCCTTCACTTTCTGCTGTTGCCTAGCATTGATAATGAATTTAAGGACGTGCCGTCCCACTTTAAAAGTGGCACGAAGGTTACGGGACTGCTGGCCATCGGAGCCACCCTGCAAGAGACGTTGATAACTTCGAATGACGCATGGAGTGGCAAACGGGAAGTTGAATTGGTTCTCAGCGTAATGGTCGACCAATGGGCCAAGGTTGAATCGTCGGTCATGAACGATCCCGAGAACCGTGACCAGGTTCTTGAATATCAAGTCCTCATATTCCTCATTTCCAGCGTTCTCTACCAGGATTCCAAAGAGAGCGTCGAAGACACTGCTAAGCTGCTTGACAATCTCAATTTCTGGGACGAAAAGGACCCTCTTCAGCGTATCCAAGACTTCATCTACTGGACGGTCACGCCAGTTCAGTAGGCTTAGTATCACCTGGTCTTGGGAGTACTCCGTGCTACAGAGGCTGGTCTCCAAGCGTAACGTAGCCAACGGCCCGGTGATAGCCTCGTCCTTGGCAGACTCATTCTTGCCCAGCGAGCTCCAGGGGAGCGACAGATAAACCCCCTTACCATTCTCGATACTGGAGGTTAACTTGTCGTAGGCATGCAGTAATAAAGAATGAGGGCCGTCTCGCATGAAAGCGTGACTGT